AAAATTGGGAAATAAATAGAACACTCAATTGAAATGTAACAGTAATACTGTTACATTTCAATTGAGTGTTCTATTTATTTCCCAATTTGGGTTGTCTTTCTGCTTTGGTTCTTACTTCATGGTTTCACCCTAGTATACTGTCACTACATGTATAGTTCTACTGAAGTAGTAACAGCCAGACCCTCAGTAACAGCCAGACCCTCAGTAACAGCCAGACCCTCAGTAATAGCCAGACCCTCAGTAACAGCCAGACCCTCAGTAACAACCAGACCCTCAGTAACAGCCAGACCCTCAGTAACAACCAGACCCTCAGTAACAGCCAGACCCTCAGTAACAACCAGACCCTCAGTAACAGCCAGACCCTCAGTAACAGCCAGACCCTCAGTAACAACCAGACCCTCAGTAACAGCCAGACCCTCAGTAACAACCAGACCCTCAGTAACAGCCAGACCCTCAGTAACAACCAGACCCTCAGTAACAGCCAGACCCTCAGTAACAGCCAGACCCTCAGTAACAACCAGACCCTCAGTAACAACCAGACCCTCAGTAACAGTCAGACCCTCAGTAACAACCAGACCCTCAGTAACAACCAGACCCTCAGTAACAGCCAGACCCTCAGTAACAACCAGACCCTCAGTAACAGCCAGACCCTCAGTAACAGCCAGACCCTCAGTAACAACCAGACCCTCAGTAACAACCAGACCCTCAGTAACAGTCAGACCCTCAGTAACAGTCAGACCCTCAGTAACAACCAGACCCTCAGTAACAGCCAGACCCTCAGTAACAACCAGACCCTCAGTAACAACCAGACCCTCAGTAACAGTCAGACCCTCAGTAACAACCAGACCCTCAGTAACAACCAGACCCTCAGTAACAGTCAGACCCTCAGTAACAGTCAGACCCTCAGTAACAGTCAGACCCTCAGTAAGCAGCAAGAGTTTTCATTTTACTGCAGCCAATGGCCTACTGTAAGTCTACAAATTTTCAGCCCATTCAAGTTTCAGCCTCCCAGGGGTAAAACACATTTCGGCCTCCCAGGGCTAAAACACATTTCGGCCTCCCAGGGCTAAAACACATTTCGGCAGCAACACATTTTCAGCCTGTACTGCTGCCGACTGTCACACTGAACCTTGCAAAACAAAATTTCGGCAGCAACAAATTTTCGGCCAAACACAACCAGGCCGAATATAGCCGAAAAAAATATGCGCCGAATATTTGTTGACTTACAGTAGCCCTCTACCTAGCCACCATCCAGGAAACAGCACTACAGACTGTACAGCGCTACAGTACAGTCTGTATCGGCTATAGCGTACCCTTTTGATTTCCATGATTTTATCACTATAACCGATGCATCACTATATGCGATACGACCGATTTTTTTTCTTTTTTCCGATCGACACATGAAAGGCAAGGAAATACTTCCAGCATGGCGTTTTGACATATGAGCATGCTGCATAGTTGACAGTGCCCGCATTTCCATACAAAAAAATCTGTTATTTACATGTACATGTATCACTATAAAAATAAGCAAGGTGAAGAAAGTTAAAAAATAGGGCCTTTGATATTATTGCTACATGTATTTTAAAGTTATCACTATAGCCGATAATACTATAGTGTGTTATGCATGTTTTGATTCTTTGTTGTCATCATAATATCCGATATATCATTACATCTGATAATATTGGTTATAGTGATATTTGTACTGGATAAAATACGTTTTGCTTTTGATATTTCGTACCAATATCACTGTAGCCGATATATTCTTATATCCGGTCACTCTATAGCCGATACAGACTGTACTACAAGAGCAGTACTGTTTGCAGTATGGTGCTACTCAATAACTTGAACAGGATGTGACATGTGCTGGCTGCAAGCATGACTACAATGACTGTAGGCAGCAGCATACACCTGCACACAAGCAGCCCATCGTGTACATACAGTGAGCACAATGACTGTAGGGGCATTCTCCACTACAGCGGGACATCACGTGTACATACAGTGTGCACAATGACTGTAGTGTAGCCTGTGTAGGGGCCACATGTCTCCACTACAGCGGTACATCAACTATATGTACACAGTGTTGACGGCAAAGCTCTCCAAGGCTTCACCAGTCCACCAACGCTAAGCATGACATAGAACTGCCACCAGCTAAGTGAGTTGTAACTTGACACAACTAAAAACAACCAAATTTATCTATTTGCCAACCGTGCGCTATTGCACACGGAGCTACAGAAGAAAACACCAAGGTACAGAACAGTGCAGGAGAAGAACAGATTTTAGTGCCCATTTTTAGATCAACCAAACAATACTGGAGCCAACACAGTGCCAACACGGGCAAGACACGTCACCAGCAGCCACAGCCTTGAGACCACTTGCCATTTGTACAGATCCACGAAATCCCGTAGAATCCCGTAGACCCGGTAGGGTGTTCATTGTGTGCTATGCATGACCGTTTAGCGTCATAATTCAATGACCAGCAATCGCTTTTCCAGCTTCTTCACTTTGGTTAGAACTAATGACTAGCTAGATCTTTGTCAGAAAACGGTTTTCATATGAAATGCCTTCAGGCCCCATTTCTAAGTGGAAATAGCAGAAAACACAGGAGGGTCCTGCACATTCAACACCCTTCCGGGTCTACGGGATTCTACGGGATTTCGTGGATCTGTACAAATGGCAATCGGTCCATTTAATTATAGCAACCAGCAAGCTGTGTACAGTGTACCATGGTGTACAGCTGCTGAACCCTGAACCCTGAACCCTACTGCTGAACCCTACTACCCTACATGTAGTGAATCGTCAGTTCATGCAGTCACTTGGACCTACGTGTACAGTGTACACGTGTAGATCAGTGTAGATCAGTGTAGATCAGTGTAGATCAGTATAGATCAGTGTAGATCAGTGTAGATCAGTGTAGATCAGTGTAGATCACAGACTGGATACTAATGATACGCTGAAGACAGGCCCGTAGCAGCCCCATTTAGGTTGGTCCGGCAAGATCCGACTTTGATGCTCCCTCTCCCCCCCCCCCCCCCATACTCATACATATGCCGGTACATGTACATGTACATGACTTTATCTTGCCCGTAAAAGAGGCCGTTACCCGCCAAAACAAAACAAAAAACATGTACACACATTGTACATGTACATGTACAGTTGTATGTAATCATGACCATGCAGAGTGACATAGGGCGAGAAAAGGAAGAAGGACGTTCTGCATGAGTCAGGAAAAGGGCATCAGCATGTTGTGTCCGTCCAAACAGAACTTGTTGAAGCCTGTGAAGGCATAGCAACAGTATCTAAATGCATGTGATAAAAGAACCAAAATGTACCTTTGGAGGAGGGGAAAGGGTATTGCAATGGACTATCTTTGGTACAAACCCTATCTAGAAAGAATTGGAGGAAGAAAAGAATCCGAGCACGTTTCAGGAAGCAGTGTAGGAACATTCACGGGCATGACTTTCCTCATGACCTTCAGCAGGGTCATATTTCTGATGACATGTACAATGTACATGTAGGTCTACTACCGGCACCAAGAGTCCATAACTCTTTCCGGCACTACTATGTAATACCTCTTACTACTTATTGCACACATCATCATCATCATGGGTGGACATCCTGAGCTGCTCACATGGGTGAGCTCCCCCCCTCTTCTTTTTCTTTTTCTCTTCTTTTTTTGGCCGAATATTGGTCCGGCAGTTGCCGGACCTGCCGGACCTGCGCCTGCTACGGCCCTGTAAGACAGGATAGTAGTACACATTATCACTAGGTGAAACACATCATACATGTATTACATGTACAGTGCAGTGCTCAATGAAATTCCATCAAGCTAGTCAATGGCACGCCGTGCAGTGCTGTGCAGTGCTGTGCAGCCCTAGACCTGGCAACACTGGGATGTGAAGGCTGGCCAAGCCGACTACTCACTTGATCGGATTTTTTTGCCCGCTGCTACCACTAGATATGGCATGTTCTCTATTTCTTTCCTTGGCGCTGATAGGTGAAATTCTCTGCCTGTCTCGTGTCGTCAGGTTGAGCATCTGTCCGTTTTTTGTTTCGCTCTGTAAAGAGCACTTAGGGTTCCCTGTAAGACGGCAACGTCTGTAGGGCCTTCCCTATCAAAATGATAAATTCTACTAATTAATAATTTTGTAGCGCCATTGCTACCAATGTAAAACAGGTGGGGTCGAATCTGACAAAGTTGACTTTAACCACCGCTGCCACCAATTTTGTAGCGGGCCGCAGTCTCTCGGAGGCAAGAATACACAAGGGTCTCAGTGAACACACTGTAACTGGCAATTGAATGTAACTATAACTGGCAATGAAATTAACTGGCTCAAAAGAATCGTGCACAGCAGCTTTAATGCACAGGCAGACTCCGTATGCTAATGTACGGGGATTCGCTAATGTATGGGGATTCAGTACGGGGATATGCTGTACTCTAAACACTATACGCTATACGCTTTGAAGTCACCAGCGTGCCAACGCTACACTACTACTACTACTACTACTACTACTATTTCATCGAGCAGCACCATGTACATGTACTTGGTCTGTACAGAGATGGCAACACATCATGTGTACAGTGTGTACATATATGGCAACACATCATGTGTACAGTGCGTACATATATGGCAACACATCATGTGTACAGTGTGTACATATATGGCAACACATCATGTGTACAGTGCGTACATATATGGCAACACATCATGTGTACAGTGTGTACATATATGGCAACACATCATGTGTACAGTGCGTACATATATGGCAACACATCATGTGTACAGTGTGTACATATATGGCAACACATCACATCCAGTGTGTACATTTAATTAAGGCAACATACCATGCATGCAGCGCCTACCGTAGTTCCGCGCATATAAGCTCATGGGCTAATATACGAAATAATGCATTTTCCGGGAAAAAATCAGTAATAATGGTTCGTTTTTTAGCCCTGGGCCTATATTCGAATTTTGAAGGCAGCTGTCACGCGAAAAGTACAAGTCTGTGCGCCGTTGTCCGCCTACTGTAGGTACCGGTACTGGTAATGTAGTCTGCACTGACATGCTGTATTACGGTGTTTGGGTCTGTTTATTAGCCCATGGGCCTATAAACGGAGGTGGGCCTATATCCGGATATAGGCCCACGGGCTTATATGTGCGGAACTACGGTACAGATAGGGCACCACATCACCCGCACAGTGTGTACATTATGGCAATAGATCATGACTGATTGTGTAGAGTGACAGGAACTACACAACAGTACACAACAGTACACAACAGTACACATCACCGGTAAGCAAAGTACAAAGAGCAGAGACACATCACACACGCCACCGTTGCCATAAATTATGGAGTGACGCACCACATTGCCAATCCCGTGACGTGCATTCCAACACACCACTATTAGTATTAGCATAAAGCAGAGCACACACACACACACACACACACACACACACACACACACACACACACACTCCGACACAAACAGTACGGTACGGACAAGACCACAATTGACACCAAAATTCGATTTGGAAAGAACGTGTGGCAGTGATTAACTGAAAACAGGAACACAGCATTTCCTGCATGACATGCTCCGCTCTTAGCAATCACAGCTCAGTCACGGTTTAGCCACAGATCAGCCACACGTAAACACAATCTAAAATGCAAGCATGCAAATGAAAAGTTCGGTTTAACACTAAGAATGGTAAAATCACTTGTCAGTCACAATGAGACGATTGAGAACAGGAAGTGAGCAGCTGGGAGAGTTTCCTTCATTTGCACAGCTGCTGTACAGCTGCTGCACAACTGCTGCACAGCTGTACAGTCTCTATGAGTCCCAGCCTACCATTGGGCTGAACAAAGTGTGTGCGTGTGGTGCTGGAAGGAAGTGAAGCTGCACAGCATCAGCACACACCACGTGTATACATGAATGTGCTCATCTACACATTGATGTAGTTCAGAGTAGAGCCAGAGTACTGCACTATGCCTCACTGGTTAATCACACTAACAGAGTAACTAACTACAGTCCATTTCAAAACTATAGACGCGTGCGTACCTAGGCAAAAACCGTGATGCCAGCATCTATACCACATAAAATCCGTGATCACTTTGTGCATAAATTTTTCCAAATTGGGCATCTGTTATCCAATCGTTTAGAAACTATATGAGAGTAATTGTGGAGCGGACCTAAGCAATATTCCGAAAACTATTCTCAAAAAGTTCCAGCCAAATTTGAAATATTTCAAAAACCCTACGCGTCTATAGTTTTGAAATGGACTGTAGTACAAGTCAACCGTGGACGGGGACAGTTCGTCACCATGCCAAGCGCCATGAACTCAAGATAAAGTGCAAGAACATCAGAGTGGTGCCAAACCGCTGTTGTCCACCATTGCACTGATCCATGTAAATATCCTTACTCATACCCGCGGATAGCAACAGTGTAAATGTGCTTGTGTGGATGGCTCATTATAAGGTCAGGTCAGCTATTATTGGTCTTGGCAAACTGCAAACCGGCGGTACTCGTAGATGTATACCCCTGTCACAATGGATAACATGGCTGAATGCGTTTGACGGTCACACATCAAGGAGAACGAGGTTTAGATGCTACTATGATTGATGATCTCCATTTCTTAGCAGCAGCAGCAGCAGCAGCATTGGCAACTCTCTACAAACAAGCCCTGGTACTAGCACTACTGCTGGTCCTACACAGCCACACAGCCACACAGCCACACAGCCACACAGCCGCACAGCCACACAGCTATACATGTACTACCAGTAAGCCATATATGTAAAAGGCTATCGCTTATCAGCCAGTATGACATCATCGAGCACTCTGATTACATCATGATGATGTCACACCCATAGCACTATAGCTACAGTGCACTTGTTACCATGCCAGTCAGTCCATATAGGCAGCACACACCACGCTGCTGTTCTACTACAGTGCCTTCACAAGGCATACATCACAACTACACATCCCATACAGAATTTACGACCTGGCTTGACTAAACAGCCCAAGTTGCATACATGCACGTCACCGCTGCACAGCTTCAAGCCAGGCCACCAACTTCAGCCAGCGTGGCTAGTCAACGCCACAGCAGAGCAAACATAAATTTCCGGATTGAGCTCGCTAGGCCAAGGGTCAATGCACAAAGCTAGAGGGCATCTGCAGCTGCAAACACAAAATTTGGGTTAATGTGAGAACTAACTGGACGGCTCTGGCATGAAATACATTGCAGCACAAGTCATGCTGAGAAGCCACACGTGCACACACACACACACACACACACACACCACACACACACTCACACACACACACACACACACACACACACACTCACTCACACACACACACTCACTCACTCACTCACACACACACACACACACACACACACACACACACACACACACACACACACACACACACCAACTCAACCATGGCAGATTGCAAGTGCATGTACATGTACATTTTTCCCAGCCAGAGCATAGAGCAGGAAATGAGATTCAATCCTAAGCAGCAGCAGCTGCCTGCACAGGTGGTGAGCACACATTCAGTATCTAACCATCATGAAATCCAAACTATCCACATAAACTACGTGTATTCGGCGTATGCCATGACAGAAAATAACCAGGAAGTTGGCATCTGATACCATGGTTATTCACTAGCACTTTCTTCAGCCGTATTCTGGTGGAAGATAATCTTGGATTGCACACAGCCAAGTCAGGCAAACTCTGTTGCCATGCCTGTTTAACAAAGCAACACCCCGTGAGAACTGACAACCCTACAATGGAGAGGCAAGCAAACGCTGGCGCCAGAAGAAGAGATGAGAGGGGGATGCACGGCTGACCATCAGACGCACACACGTGCGCTCAACCGCGCTGCACCAGGCAACGCACAGAAACATGTCAGAAGCTAGCGCGTCCCAGAAACCCCGCACATCACGCCCACCACCGACGTGTAACAAAGTCCCCCGGAAACTCCAGACAGCTTGCGGCCTCACGAGCTTATAAAGTTAGCGACGCCAGAGCACCGTGCATTCATTGGTTATCCGGCCATACATGCTCGCACACTATGTATGTGCGTGTTTCAAGTGATGCTTAGTCCTCAAACGGCAGCAGAGATAGAACACCGTACGTGCTGCTTTGCCAGAGACGTGTACGTGCGTGCACTGAGAGAATATTATTGAGAAGGAAAGAAAGAGTCCAGAGAGTCAGTTCAGATAGTTGGTCCAGAGAGCCAGTCTAGGTAGTCGGCCGAGAGTCAGTCCAGAGTCAGTTCCAGGAGTCAGTCCAGTGAGGCAGTCCAGAGAGGCAGTCCAGAGAGGCAGTCCAGAGAGTCAGTCCAGAGAGTCAATCCAGAGAGTCAGTCCAGAGAGTCAGTCCAGAGAGTCAGTCCAGAGAGTCAGTCCAGAGAGTCAGTCCAGAGAGTCAGTCCAGAGAGTCAGTCCAGAGAGTCAGTCTACTTTGTCTCTGGCACTACAGATAACTACTACCACAGTGGCCAGCATCTCCTGCCAACCTACAGCTACAGCTATGAGCTAGTCAAGCTGTAGAGCTGTAGAGCTGTAGAGCTGCAAATAAGTGCATGCAGTAGCAATAGAGATCAGAGCAGGTTGAGAGCACTCATCAGACCAGGTTGAGAGCACTCACATTGCACTCACATTGCACTCACTACCTGGCTGTCCCTGGTAGTTGTACTCACTACCTGACTGTGCCTAGCAATTGGACTGACTGCCCGACTGATACTAGAAGTTGGCCCACCAGTTGTAAGACAGTGAGACCTTTGAACATTGGCTACTCAAACCGAGGAATGGTTTGCTTCCCAGCTCCTGCGAGGCTATCAACCTTTCCAGAATGAGTTTCAACTTCAGTGACTTCTTTCCGGCCGCCTGAAACGTCGATTGATAAACTGTTTCAGAGAAGTGAGACACCAGCATAGAGGCTGCTCATGATGAGTGCAGCAGCGGCAGCAGCAAGAACTGGCACGCCGGTGACCATATGCTCCGATGACTGGCCCATTGGGCCTATTGGGGCTATTGGAGATGCAGAGGTGAAGAGCGGTGTCAGTGACAGCAAGTCATCATCAGACAACACCAGCAATTCCACCGCCATGCCGGGGGACGGCGACGATGACGAGAGTATGGGAAGCACGGTGGCCATGGCAATGAGGACCTGGCTACAACGGCAGTGCCCCGAAGACTGGTACAGCGTGGTGTCACTGATCATAGACATCAGCTGGCGGGTTCTGTACAGCAAGCCAGCATCGTCGTATCCATGGTACAGGGTCAACGCTGGTATGCATGAGAACATACACATCAGTCCAATGATCGTAGAGCGGCGGACAGAGAGCCAAGAAGGCCCACGGGGCACACGGCACAGGCGAGAGTTCATCCACGACGAGATGCTGGACACTTCAAGTGGCATTCTGAATGTGGCATCGCTATTTGACGTCAACGACGGTTACTATCACGATGACACACCGATGCAGGAGACGCCAGATGGAGGGTGCTACCCAGAACAAGAAACAAAGTCACGTCCAGTACACAATGGACGTGGAGGAACAAAGTCAGGTCCAGCACACAATGGATGTGGAGGAAGCATGTCCCCACAGGACAGCGGTGTTGAAACCAGTACACAGATTGATGCCACCAGGTGTGTTCGTCTGCCCAGTCATTGCCAGCCTCATCACAATCACCGTCACGAGCAAAACTCCGTTGAGCCGCCATCGGGTATTCGCATTGGTCTGCACGGCGCACCATCGCTCGGCAAGAGCCAGGTGTGCCAGCGGCTGCTCCTCAACTGGGCGTATCGGCGGCAATTGGCTAGGTTCTACCTGGTGGTACACTGGGAACTGCGTGATGCCAGCGTACAGTCAGCCAGCTCACTGCAAGACCTGCTGCTGGCATTGGGAGTACAGGACGACATGGTGAGCAGCGCCGTACCAGCGCTGCAGCGCATGCGCGGACGCGGCTGCCTCTTCATTCTGGACGGCCTGGATGAGATGAGCCCGCAGACAGCCACCACCACCGCCACCACCACCACCGGCGCAGGCCAGTTTGTGCGGCAGCTGATGGATGGCCGTGCTCTGCCGGAAGCTTGCCTACTGGTGACATCACGGCCGTGTGCGCAGTCCGAGGCGCTCTTTGCCAAGTACACCATACAGCTGGACATTCTGGGCTTCAGCGATCAACAAGCCGAGGAGTTCATCAGCTGTCACCTGGCCACAATGGAGAGTGATGGGTCTGGCCCGCTGGCAGACCGGCTGATCGGTCTTCGCCGTGATCAGCCACACATCGCCGCGCTAACACGCAGTCCCCTGCTAGCACTGGTGGTGTGCGAGATATTCCGTCATGGCCGCCGGCTGCCCAGCACACGCACAGAGTTGTACGAGCAGGTTGTACTGACGTCAATGCAGGGAGAGGTGGAACAGGGCCGTCTCAAGCTACCTATCGGCGACCTCAACAGCACAACACTCGGCCATATCGGAGCAACGAGTGCACGCCTGCTGGAGAAGATTGCCCAGCTGGCACTGGTCACTCTACAGGCCGGTCACGTGGAGTTCGACAATCACATACTCAGAGAGAACGGATGCGACGAAGCAAGCGAGCCAGACGTCCACCACCTGGGCCTGCTAGCTAGTGTGCTGGATTCGGTGCACAGCGGGCGGCTACTTTCGGCAAGGAGGTTTAGCTTCTCACATCAGACTGTTCAGGAGTACCTGTCGGCATACGCCCTGGTGCAGCGCTTGCTCAGACACACACAGCAGCAACAGCGACAACAGCAGCAACAACAACATGACCGTGAGAAGAAGATCACACGGCTCATCTCTAACTGGTTCAGCAGGCAGAGCGGCACATCACCACGTGTGGAAGAAGAAACGCAAGACAGACACGAGTGTGGAGCACCAGACAACTGCCTTCTTAAGGAGATCTACGGCAGAATCGACTGCAGCAAGAACAGCCTACTGTGGCAGTTCATAGCCGGGTCGTTACCAGCCAAGTACTCATCCTGTCTTGGCGCACTCATCAACGGGGTCATGAGAGAGTCACGGCCAAAACCAGATACTGTCCTCAACGCCATCGGTTGCCTGTCGGAGTTCTGCCGGAGGGAGCCACCACAGCCAGTGCCGGAGAATCTGCTCATGCCGAGCGACATCAAGTTGTCACACATTCGCCTTAGCCAGTATGATCTGGGTGCGCTCTGCTTCGCCATGCAGATATCGACGCACACCAAGAAGCTCTACCTGTCCCATTGCAACCTGGCACAGCAGGCAACGGTGCGCCTCAACTGCAAGATCGCTGCCGCCACGACCATCACGGAGCTGTGGATCTCCGGCAACAACCTTGGTGATAACGGGTTTGCCAGGATAGCGTGCACCGTGCTGAAGAATAATGTAGTCAAGGTGATCTACGGCAGCAAGAATGCATTGAGCAAGGATTGCTGTGCCGACTTGGCCAACGCATTGGCACGCAATACCAGTCTGGAGCGCCTGGATCTCTCCAACAATCCAAACATTGGTGATGCTGGCCTGGCACAGATACTGGAGGCGTTCTGCATGCAGTCAGTACAGCAGCCGAGTGCACCGCGTCCTCTCAATGATCTGGGCCTGCGTGAAACCGGCCTGGGAGACGGTGCCTGCCATGCGCTGGCTAACCTGCTGATGGTGCCGCAAACACGGCTAGCAAAGCTGCGCATCAGCTGCAATCTCGTCACGGCCGACGGCACCGAGTCACTGTCCAGAGCTCTGATGAGCAACAGCAGTGTGACGGATCTCAAGCTGGACAGAAACAACATTGGCAACGAGGGCGTGCACGCACTGGCAGCTGTACTGCGGCGAAACACCACGCTCGCCAGGCTCTACATCAACAACACCGCATTCAGCGAGAGCGGCGCTAACGCACTGACAAAGGCAATGGCATTGAACGATACGCTCACTGCTCTCGATGTGCGCGAGAACAGCATAGGCTCAGGTGCAGGTATGGCCCTGGTCCTGGCTAGTCTACACCATCAGAAACTCAACTGGCTAGACATCTGCTACAATCAAATAGCAAGTCAGCAGTGTCAGGAGATCATGAAGCAGCTACGACAGCGCAAGCCTAGCATGCAGCTCTACATGCAGCCACAGTTCAACAGCACACCGAACAGAGGCTCGGAAACAGCGCGTGGCCGACACCGGGGCATGGGCTACAGCAGCACCTACAGCTGCAGCGGCAGTGGAAGTGGCGAGTACACTGCGCCCATTCAGATTACACTCAGCCAGCCGGTACGCAGTTGCAACAGCACCGACAGCACACTGTGCCATCTGTAAATCAGCGGTTGACAACAATTGGCTCCCACTGGATGCGACGACAACCAGATAACCTTTCTTGGTACATGCACTGTATGTGCTGTGTGAACCATCTGCTGAAGATTCCAACTTCACTATCTTCATAATTCCAGCGATCCCTTTGCCCTTGCCAATACATGCATTATATATAAATGCAAAGCCACACATTCCCTGCCACTAGCCATTTCCTTCTCTTGTTGATGTTGCCTTGTTCAGAGGCAGAAGCATGGATCACTTGAACAATGCATTGCGCACGTGACTGTCAACACATCTTATTATTACGCGCAGCCTTAGTCAGAGTTACATACATGAATATTGATTAGTTGACTGGCCAGGAATCTCGCTTATTTTTATTTTTTAGATACACTCATAGCTCGGTTATCCGGGCCCCGAAGTTACGGGCACTTCGGTCTACCGGGCACCCTGGGGGTAAGTTTCAGTGGAAATATTACTACTCCTTTGTCACTTTGTGTGGAAAAAGTGACGTCACACGCCATGTTCTGTGCACACTTGTGCACTTTCCCCATCAAGATGTATATGATTCGGAGTTACGGACATTTCAAAGTTACGGGCAGTGCAAGGTCCCGGACTGCCCGGATAAACGAGGTATGAGTGTACAACCTACAAGTAGGTGAAACCATGATGGTTCAGCTCGTATTGGCTGTGCATGACACGTATTCTTGACACGGGCACACGACCAGCACACATACCAAACCCATCACTGCTGTATGCATTTCTCATCTATGCTCATCTCTAGGCAGCCCTCATGATGTCTATACCATATGCCAACATACAAGAGCTGCTCTGGTGCTATTAGGAATGTAGTAACAAGTTAGGATTGAGGCCGTTACAGTCACTTCGGTAAAATGATCACACGAAATCCTGACATGTGTTTCAGATACAGCTAAACAGCTGACCAAAGTACACACAAATCTGCTAGTGCACTGGATGTACCCTACTGATTTCTCTGATAGCAAGAGTACATGAAAACCAGAGTGTGCAGCTCGGATGGGTTGCTGTCACGGCGGAATTCCGTGATTACATCATTTTAGTAATGTAGTGCGTACAAGCAGGATTCAAGCGGGTCTCTTTCTGCACAACTGCAGCTCAGTTGTACGCACTACGCCATTTCCCGCCTCAGATCTGCGCCAAATATGATGTAATCACGGAATTCCGCCGTGACAGACACCCATAGCAGAAAAGGTCCCAAGCTGCATACTCTGGTTTTCATGTACTCTTGCTTATAGCAACCATAGCAACCATAGCAACGATAGCAGACAAGGTCTGAATGAAACAGATCAAGACTTGCACGAGGTAACTGTCCAATCCGCACAATTCGCCAAGCCATGTGAGTCAACCCCCTAGGCACACTTGGTCTACACCGCACCATGTGAATTGGAATGAAACAGTCAGGACAGTTACCTATGCGCACCCTTTGCTTACTGGGGTAACCAGTATAGACTTGGAAGCAGACACTACTACTTCAAGTACTTCGAAATGAAATCGGAGTTACTTTACCAACAAGCCTCAGAAACTGAGAACTGGGAACTCAGAGCCAATGGACATATCAACAACTTTAGCCAAGAAAGCTATAGCAACGACACACGGCATCGTGGAGCCGAAGCTAGCTCAAATAAGTCACTTCCAAAAGCACACACACACACACACACACACACACACACACACACACACACACACACATACGGTGACACCCACCCACACTGACTTACCGGCCTGTCTTGCCCAGAAACCCAGTAGCATGGCACTCATCGATGAACACGAGTGCCTCATACTTCTTAGCCAGCTCCATGATTTTCCTGCAAAACACACGCACATACAGAGATACAACGTACAGGCAAACAAGTCAAGTCAAGCAATGTTAGTATACAACCTCCAAGACCAGGGAGAGGTTGTGTGCTAACTGTACTGCCATGTGTGTATTATATACCACATGCTAGGAATTGATGATATGCCAAATAACGTGCAACTAGACTTGAGAGGGCATTGCAGAGTAGTTGCATACAAAGTTCAAAGTTGTACGGTTACCTGTGACTTGCATTCCTGCAGAGCTAGCTCAGGGTCTATCGTGTACACATTGTAGTACAATTTGTATGCAACTTGTGTGCGATGCCCTCTCAAGTCTAGTTGCGCATTATTTGGCATATCATCTATTGTACACAATCACATGTGGCGGCCACCAGAGTATCACTATGCGTCATCTAACATGTATACATGTACCATGTGTACCACACCATCAGGACTCTCAGGCTGAACGCAGATTGGTTCCCAGCACGGCGGATCTGCCCTCATTAGCCAAACGCAAACTTGGAGAGCGGGCCGAGCATGAACGGACGAGTGCCGTGTATATTCGCAGGTAGAACCTACAATGATTTTGTGACAGAATTTGGAACGGAATGCCGGGCTATTGGATTTTCCTGGGCAAGCTGGCAGTAAAAAAAAGAAAAAAAAGAAAGTAAATTATCGTATCCGTTCCCGAAGGGAACTCACGACGGCCGCTAACACCCGATAAACCCTAGCGGCAGATGCAGCGCCTAACGGTGGGGGTGAGTGGGTAAGTCTCACAACCACTGGCACAAGTGCCGAAAGCGACCCCATTAGCTGCATCCATGTACCCCTTGTGCCTGGCCACAAGTTCCCAGTTGACTGTGGGTAGCAGCACGGCTGGAAAAACCGCTCCCAGGCAGGACTTGAACCAGGTACCTCTCGTATCTCAATCATGGTCTTTGACCAACCCACTGTGCCTGCCTGGCAAGCTGGCAGACTGACACTCATTCCTATTCAGCGAAAGCGTACATCCACTTTCGCCGTCATTGGCGCCGGGCTGTGGTCATGGTTCCGCCAAGCCGCACAGCCAGGATATCCTCCTGAGCGGGCCCCTGCTAATGGAGAAAGCGCAGGACTTCGCGTGGAGAAGCTAAAGGTCGATGGCTTCAAAGCGAATGTTGGCTGGCTGAATCGCTCCAAGAGTCGTCACAGGATCATCTTGAAAATAGTGAGTGAAGAGGAGAAATCCGTCAACACGAGCCACGCTGACTTGTGGCAGAGGACGATACTCCAGGACGTGTCGCGCTACTAGCCGCAGGACATATTCATCGCAGACGAAACTGCGCTGTTTTACCAGTAAGTTGCTTTCCTCCACTGATATTAGGGACCTTTCGCACCCCGCGTACGGATACGAAACGAATGCTGATTCGTCACCTGGGTTCGAGGATTCGTCAGAGTCCCTGCGGAGAACTCGTTTTCACGAATGGAAGCCTCTTCATTCGTGGCACGCTCCGAATCCGTCAGGTACACATTTATTTGGATAGGTACGCATGTTTTGCAAGGTACACATTTTTCCCTTGATTCCAGGATCCATGCACGTGTGCATGTAAAAACCCGTACGCCAAGCTACCGGCGTCCGCGGCCGTATTCGTAGTTGCCATGCACATTTGCATGACGACTTGCGAAACCTGAAATCTGTTTTCAACGAAACGATTACGAGCTGAATCAAACTCTCCTTTCGCATTCGTTTCGTAGCAAATGCGAAAGGTCCCTTATATTACGCATTCTTTCTTGTGTTTGATTGCATCAACTTTGTTGGGTGGTACCCATAAAATCACTTGTAGAAGCTGGCGACAAGTGCGAAGGGAAACCCCCCAGCAAAGAGTGCCTGCCCTCATTACATGCTCCTTGGCTGGAGAACGTTTGCCATTGCTCATGATCGGCAAGAGTAAGAATGCGAGGTGTCTCCGCGGTGTAGCGAACTTCCCTACACAGTATGTAGTGAACCAAAAGGCATGGATGACTACATGTAGTGTCCTTTTCACTGACTGGATCCAGCAACTACTTGACCGTTTACTACCTACGGGAAGTTAACTACAGTATCTTGCTTTGCCATAGAATGTTGTGTGACTATTGTTGTAACAGTTTTCCCATGTTCACCATAACTTTCAACTCCCTCACACCTCATGCATCTTACGCCTGTCTACTAGCACCTTCAATGGCGCCATTGCCACATGTATGCTATCACCTTTTGCACATAACTGGTTGACGCACGGTCAACAAGGTCTCTTACTTTTCAAGTCGTCCTGGTCTTAGTCATCCCGTCTCTAATAAATGTCGTTCCACCAACCTACCTGTTCCCGTTGTCAGTTGTGTTAGTGAGTGAGCAAGAAACCTCTCTTGTTCGGACCCAACATTCAATTAAAACTGTTACAATTGTGCGCAATGGCATTGTGAACTAGCAAGAATCCCACTTACACCAGTGGTGCAACATCACCGTCCATGCTGAACACACCATCAGTGACAATCAGTCTCATCCGGGAGCTGGACTTGACAGCTGCTAGCTTGTTCTCCAAGTCTACAAAAAGCAAATGTGCGCAGTTTACACAGACAGGTACACACCATAATTCGTTCAAAAGACCAAGAGAGAGAGAGAGAGAGAGAGAGAGAGAGAGAGAGAGAGAGAGAGAGAGAGAGAGAGAGAGAGAGAGAGAGAGAGAGAGAGAGAGAGAGAGAGAGAGAGAGAGAGAGAGAGAGAGAGAGAGAGAGAGAGAGAGAGAGAGAGAGAGAGAGAGAGAGAGAGAGAGAGAAGGAGAGACTCCCACCTTCCATGTCCATATGGTTGTAGCGCTGCTTCTGTGCTTTGCAGAGGCGAATACCATCAATAATGGATGCATGGTTCAGCTCATCTGAGAGCACAGCATCTTCCGGTGTCAGCATCACTTCAAACAGTCCGGCATTGGCATCGAAGCAACTGGCGTAGAGAATAGCAGCTTCACGAGAGTGGAACTCGGCAATCTTCCGCTCCAAATCCATGTGAATGTCCTGCAGCACACAGATGTGGTTACAAGTACACAGACATGTACATTCAGCGTTTCACTGAGCGAGTGTTTTTCAACTCTGTGCTGACCCAATGTGGGCAACATGGTGCGCCATCAAACTCTTCGAGGTTGAGGACTCTTGCTATAGGCCAAGAGATGCATCACCACTGCATGAAGTGTCCACACGGATTTTGAAAACACTACTAAACTTACGGTTTATTAGTATGGTCATTATGGTGGTAAAGACACACCTGGCAATATGGCGGTAAATACACGCCTGCCCACACACGCTCTCTAGGGTGCAAAGTTCTGGCACAGAGCTCTCCTTCTCACCACCACCACTACCATCAGTTTGCGCCTGGCGCCTAGCCGATGCATGGTTAGTGATATCCAACATAGCAGGCTGGTACATCAGGTAGCGCATGGTGCGTAGTAGATGACACAGCAATGACATAGCTCGATTGCGACGTACGTCTCGTCCCCTATGTTCGATACCGCTAACCAGGCACGAACTGATGGTGGTCGTGGTGAGAAGGAGAGCGCTGTGCCAGAATAACTTTGCAGCCTAGAGAGCGCGTGTGGGCAGGCATGTGTTTACCGCCATATTGCCAGGCGTGTCTTTACCACCATATTAATCAACCATTATCGGAACAGTCTGGTTCTGGGGAAAAAACATACAGTCAACTTCGCGTATAACGACACTCGGCGGGGCATCAGAAAAGTGTCCTTATTCGCGAAGTGTCGTTATACCCGAAGTCCCATTATATGTATTACAGTTGGATGGGACTTTGCTCTGGGCATGGAAATTCTGTCGTTATTCGCGAATTGTCGTTATATCCGCAGTCGTTATTAGCGAAGTTGATTGTACATAAGTACAGCTGCAGCGGAGTGAGTCTTCAACTTCATTCTCCCGAGTCAAACTACTAAACTTACCTACTTAACTACTAAACTCCGTCTTTTACTAAAAACCACCAATTACCCGCAGCAATGATGAAACGACCAAGGCCTTCTTTTGCCATGTGAGTAGTACTGTATCTGTCCAGTAGTGCACATACAGAACTATACGCAGCTTGGGAATTTTAGACCCCTGCCTATTTTACTAGAATTAGAGAACCTTCACAAGGTCATCACGTTATAACTCACTGGTCACCAAAACTTCACTACTCGGACTACACTACGGTGTACTGTAATTTCACAAATTTTCGGTGCACTTTTATTTTCGGTACTTTCGGTGCATCTGTTTCATACCTAAAATTGCAATAACCGAACAAGCACTAGCACACATAATCCAATAGGGAACTGCTTCTCTGTACCTAAATTTTCTGTTCACCTAACCTGGCCTTTTGCTCTCATACTGCAATTTTCAGCACCTAAAATTTCTGAAATTAGAAAACTTGTAAATTCGCTGACTTGACTTGCCTGTGTGCCGCAAATGAAGCGAACAGAGCTGAGGCCGGCACCGTGTGTGTCAAGTGCACGCTGAGCAGCTCCAATCACATCCTGGTGAGACTGCGTGACACAGACACAGAAACACAGTGTAACAAGGGGACATACACGTACACATACGTACACACACACACACAAGCACGCACACACACACACACACACACAAGCACATACAAGCACACGGTTCTCAACATCAGCATATGGGATTTAGTACTAGTAACTACAAGTATGGAGTGACTGGAATACTACTACAGAATCGAATGGAACACTTGGCCTTGGACATAACTATTTGTTCCACCGCAGACACTAAACCAGCAGTCGAGCAAGAAGAAGAAAGATGCCACCATCATAGCTTTCGTCTTTTTAGCACCGCCAACGGCGGTCTGCGGTCTCTCAATCCCTCATGTGAGCTATGGAGTCATACCCATGCTAAACTAGTATGAATATGACTCCATGGTACAAACTGCATGCATAAGCCGACAGGCTCCCTGACAGGCAGGTCAATACTCCGTTGTTGTCCGCTCTTCGGCGCCCGACAGTACTGTATTGTAAAAGCAACTGAGGAAGGGCTGCAGTGTGGACTGAGAAAGGTCTGCAGTGTGGACTGAGGAAGGGCTACAGTGTGGACTGAGGAAGGGCTACAGTGTGGACTGAGGAAGGGCTACAGTGTGGACTGATGAAGGGCTACAGTGTGGACTGAGGAAGGGCTACAGTGTGGACTGAGGAAGGGCTACAGTGTGGACTGAGGAAGGGCTACAGTGTGGACTGAGGAATGGCTACAGTGTGGACTGAGGAAGGGCTACAGTGTGGACTGAGGAAGGTCTGCAGTGTGGACTGAGGAAGGGCTGCAGTGTGGACTGAGGAAGGGCTGCAGTGTGGACTGAGGAAGGGCTACAGTGTGGACTGAGGAAGGGCTGCAGTGTGGACTGATGAAGGGCTGCAGTGTGGACTGAGGAAGGGCTACAGTGTGGACTGAGGAAGGGCTACAGTGTGGACTGAGGAAGGGCTGCAGTGTGGACTGAGGAAGGGCTACAGTGTGGACTGAGGAAGGGCTGCAGTGTGGACTGATGAAGGGCTGCAGTGTGGACTGAGGAAGGGCTACAGTGTGGACTGAGGAAGGGCTACAGTGTGGACTGAGGAAGGGCTGCAGTGTGGACTGAGGAAGGGCTGCAGTGTGGGGACAGTGGAGGTATGGATCAACGGTACTCAATGATACTTGTAGAGCCTATACAACTGTTTTGCTCTAGTCATCTCACAAAGAGTTGGACTGTACGTTCATGCAGGTACTAGTGTACACAAGACCCGAGCAATGTGGGAACGTGGCTCAAGTCGGAGTTCTACAAGTCAATTTGAGCACTCACCGAGAGGCCCAGGTAGTTGTTAGCGCAGAAGTTCAGCACAGGCTTGCTAACACCAGACACGTGCACGCTGTTTGCCTGTCGGGACGTGATGACACGCTCAGTCTTCCAAGTGCCGGCCGCCTCAATGTCTTCCAGGTTCTTACCTACATGGAAAGAAGACACAAGGGAAGCACACAACAAAATTTATCAAAATTCAAAAAAATAGCCAGAAGCTCCCTGGCAGAGAGACAAAACATTGTCAAATCAGATTACCCAGTCTCCCATGACAAGCATAATACAGGCATGACTCAGCAGTGTTGATATACGCACACGCCAGAGCATTACATGCAGTCGGTACACAGAGAAGCCTGGATAGTGAATGTACACAAAGGCCCGCTGATTCGATCATGGTCCACATTCATTGTAGTTGATGTGCTGCTCAGGATAGACCATAATCAATTCTTAATTTACAGCACTCCATCAGGTCAGTAAACCTTATTTCCGCTAGATCAATACTGTAAAAGCCATATTTATAACGAAGTGCTAACTCTAACGAGTTAACGAGGAGAAATCTGTCGTTAAAACGAGAGAGCTTGGAAGCTCAGGGCCCTACGCTATGCTTTTATGCTTTTTTGCCTAGCTCATCGTACATGTTATAAGAACTGATGGAATTGTCTTTTTCCGTTCATTGGCCACATGGTATGGTATGGTATGGTATTGATTTATTTGAATTCGGTATCTCAACAGTACATTGTACAACTTGGGAAGATCCGAATGACATAGATACATAAACATAAAAGTGGAGTAGGTGCTACCGCGGATCATTTTATCGCAGATTGTGGGACTAAACTAATACCAGTATGCAAGTACACAAGAAATAAAAGCTGAATAAATACGACTGCATGACATTGGAGAAAAGCACCAATTAGAGCAAAACAAAGCGACACATCACTCATCGAAAACATTTTCAAAAAGGAGCTGTTTTAACCGGGTACATTGTGGCCCGTCATTAAGAAGGCAGGCAAGATGGGCGTTAAATGCAGAAGACGTATTGCAAGACTTCATTTCGAAGGGCAGAGCATTCCAAAGTAAAGCAATCCTACTGGACAATGAGCGATACCCACATGCAGTCTTATATCGGCATAACGAAAGATTATTTGCAGAAGAGCCGCGAGTGGTGTAAGCAGGTGTACTGTGCCTACAAAATAGAGAATCTAAACTGGCAACCGGGTGAGCTACTTTACACTGAAAGATAAATTTAATGAACAACTGTAAGAAACGGTGGTCCAGAGGACATAGCTTAAGAGAGTGGTAAAGGGGGTCCATGTCAGCACAGTAATGGGCACCACAGGCAGCTCGGATCGCACGACGGTGAACAGCAAATAGGCGCCCACGGTCTTTTGCAGATAAGCAGGGTAAGAACGATTGAAATGCAAATTCTAGATCAGATTGAATTACGCATAGCACATAAAGGCGACAAGCGCACGGGGACAGTTGACGAAAAGAACGCCGTAGAGCACCAATTTTGCGTGACACCTTGGCAACAAGCGTATCACAATGAGGTGTGAACGAGAGCTTGTTGTCAATTACAACCCCCAGACAGCGAGCACTGGACACTTCTGTCAGCACTTTACCATCGATACAGATAGTGGGCGTGGGACAGACCGGCGAGCGCTTGGGAGCGATGAACATTACAACAGTCTTATTCTCATTGATAGTCAGGCCAAGTTGCTGAAGATCAGTAGCGAGTGCTGATAACGTGTGGGAAACTAAATCTGCAGCCTCCTTTGCCGTCGGACAGGATGCGTACACCGTTTTGTCGTCCGCAAAAGCGAGCAATTTCGTCCCGGATGTGTCAGCAGTTGCAGGAAGGCGGCGAACATAGATGTTAAACAGAGTTGGGCCCAAGACACTGCCTTGCGGGACCCCACGAGTGACAGGTAGAAATGGAGAGACCTCACCGCACCTGAGGACCCGCTGGGCTCTGCCAGAAAGGTAGGATTTAAACCATGAGAGTGCTGATCCGCTGATACCAATCTCGTGCAAAGCCAAGAGTAGCTGCTGATGCTGCACACGATCGAACGCTTTACTAAGGTCAACAAACGCGACAGCAGAGGTCAGGCTCTGGTCCCGAGCAAGACACCAGTCATTAATTGCCAAAGAGAGCAGTTGATGGACGGAGCGATTTGGGCGGAACCCAAATTGGTGATCATGTAGGAATGCAGTCGAGTCCAGGTGACAGAATAGTTGCGACATTACCACGGATTCCAACACTTTGGACAGGATCGACGTCAGCGAAACTGGGCGGTAGCTCGTTGCGTTGTAGACATCAGTCTGAGCGGATTTTGGGATCGGGGTGATGTTGGCTCGCTTAAAGGCAGAAGGAAACACTCCACTGCTAAGAGACGCGCTGAAGATTTGTGCCAAAGAAGGCGCCAAGGAGGACGCCATGGCCTTGAGGAAACCAGGCAGAAGGCCATCTGGACCCAGTGCCTTACATCACTGTATTGCAAAAACGTTTCAATCGGTTTGAATATTATGAGTTAGGCAAAAATATTTGCAGAATTTATTGCGGATTGTTGTTTCTCTAATAATCATCTACTTTTGTTTTGCTCCTTCTTTAATTTTTATCTCCTTATAAATATTATTGTAAATCAACAAATTTTGGCCGATGAGAAATAGAAACCTCTCGATTAGAGAGGCTAAGATGCACGTTATTTCCGACGTGATGCGCAGTTTCACGTCAAATTTGAAATCGATCGGTATTTTTGCTCTCACATGCATCCATTGCTCAATCATGCATCATTTGCCTATATGACAAACGTTGGCCTGCGATTTACTTTGTCCGGTTGGTACCAAGCGGCGAAATCAGCGAAATTAAATCGCCAGCGAACATTAGTTGATTTTAATACAGGAATCGGATTTTCTGGCCTTTTTGTAGTAATACATCTACATTGACCTGTTGAGCCAATGACGACGCCGAATGCATGGTTGCCTGTGGAGCACATTACATAACTTTACAGTCTCCTAAAATACGTATCCTGTCCGACGGCAAAAGAGGCTGCAGATTTAGTTTTTCTGCGCGTCGACGGAATGTCTGCGACGCGAAAGTTCAGCTCGCGTTATTTGGCTCGCACGTCGAAAAAATCAACGCGAGTGACCTGCTGCTCACGTCGAAATTTGGACATTACATAACTTTACAGTCTCCTATATAAATACGTATCCTGTTCGACGGCAAAAGAGGCTGCAGATTTAGTTTTTCTGCGCGTCGACGGGATGTCTGTCCTGACGTTTACTGGGACCGGCGCTGACTCTGCCAATCACGGCGTTCTGGACTAGACGGGATGTCTGTCCTGACGTTTCCTGGGACCGGCTTAGACTCTGCCAATCACGGGCGTTCTGGACTCAACGGGATGTCTGTCCTGACGTTGCCTGGTACCGCCGGACTCTACCGATCACGGGCGTTCTGGAGTCGACGGGATCTCTCTTCCGACGTTTCCTGTGACCGGCACTGAATCGCTCGGTCACGCTTATTTTGGAGACGACGGGATCTCTCTTCCAAGGTATGTTTATGCTGACGCATCCTATCACCTAATCGGCGTCTTTTCTAATTTAATTTCCTCCTCGTCTCCCTATTTCTTTCCAAATCCCACTCTACATCAGGGAGTCGTAAGCATAATACGACGAATATTGGTACGGTACGGGACAGATACAGGAGCCCGCAAATATTGTGGACAGCTGTTATGTACAATCCTGTAGAGCCTTTGTAGTCACAGATACGGGACAGATACGGGACAGCGCCAGGCGTGACACAAACAAACAAACAAACACACAAACAAACAAATACCAAATTAAAGCTGTGTGGACCCTGGCTAGCGCCAGACGTTACTGAAGTAACGTCTTCTGCATAGCTACGGGAATAAAAATTGTTATACAGAAATCGATACATAAACTGTCCTATTGAGCGTTGAGAATAAGTGGGAATCGTTACCTTTGGTACACGTAAACCAGTCGATTTTGGGAAATCGTTATATATGCGCCTCGTTAGAATAATGGCTTTTACAGTAGTCAATCCTGGCATGCTGAAACTAGGATGCGGCATCATATTTCCGTTGGTGTTGATGATTTCTTAGCGCTACCAAAGTCGTTACACCCCAACCTGGCTGCTCGTACATGTGTAGCAAGTTGGGACAACACGACAGAGAGCCACAAGGGGTAACACAAACTGTGTGGCTCACCAAAGCATATGACTTCACCCTCCTGCATGCTATCACAGCGACTGTTCCACAGAACAGGACCTTAGTAAGGAGTTGGAACAATACAACTTAGTAACTGAGTGAGGTATTAAACTGAGGTAAGTGAGGTCCATGAACTGTTTGCAACACTGAACAGGCTACACAGATGCCCTGGTCCTGAGGTCGCAGCACTGACAAACACAATACCTAGCCTGCCCTGGACTGCCCTGGACTGGACACTCTCACAGAATGGCAAAGACCTGCTACCAGGGACTACACATTCAGTGCACTGACGGGACAAGAAGTGAACGTAGGAACATGTTGGTCCACACCATATCCGCCAAGGACAGAGGTAGCCTGGGATAAATGTCACGCGCCGTGCCGATAATAGACATTATAACTTGGTATAATTACTAAAGCGGAGAAGGCATAATTATATGGTGTTGCGCGTTTAAACGTGTCAACACTACAGAATACAGTCATGTGCATGTGCATGTAGTGTTAACCCTTTAAGAGCCACAGGAAAATTTCAAAATTCTGCATTTTTTCGTGTTCCTTGGATCATAGCTTCAGTTCTACTCACTCAATCCTCACAATCTAGGGCTTCTTGGAAAGGTTTCCGCGAGTGGAAGAGAATGAGGTCGATCATGATCGCCAGCACACCGTCTATCCAGCGCTAGATCGCAGCGACAGTACGAAAAATGCCCCAAATGCGTCCAATTGCGTCCCGCTCCAGATATTTCATTTTGCTCGATCGTGGAGTTCCAATTTTTTCGCCGTGTACTCTTGACAATATCAACAGTGAAACCCGTGCAAATTCGAGTAAACCAGCGTGGCGAAAAGTCTCAAAATTCTCAATACCAAAGTCGCACTGCGCGCTTTTGAAATTGCCGCGATCGCGGCTCAACTTACGAGTGATTTATCTCAGGAACCGTAGCTCGCAGCGCTTCTCGAATTGTTTCTCCCGACAGGTGAGAGTTTTCTCTTCGCCCTGGATATTTCGATTACTGGATTTGAGCGAGATTGGACTGAGTTACGATCTTTTGAAGTTTTGCATTTGAATGCGTCGTTTACGACGCATTCAAGTATGGGGCGGCTCTTAAAGGGTTAACAGTTATCTCAGGCGGGAAACCTAACAGCAACACCCAAACAGCTACTGCAAAGTGAGAACGTTTTGATAGATTTTCGCTATTTTAGCAACCATCACCCATGGGAGAATTTTAATCACCTCCAACTCTTCTCAACATTGGGTGTGGACAATATATGATCCAACTGAAGAGATTAAATCACGAAAGTTTCTCGCCGTGAACCAGTACAACTCTTGACAGCGTACAATTGCGCGCAGCAAAAGACGAACGTTTGGCGCTTTGTAGAAACCAGCGCTAACCAGCGACTAAAATACATTGTAGATAGCAATCATTGGTGTCACGATGTTCCCGGCATGCATGGTGTGTAGAAACTCTCGGTTAATCAGCTTGACCACCAAGTGCAAACACACTGCACATTGCCTTTCAAAGTGCTATTTGGTCAATGCTCTGACCGCCAAATATGTAGTTGGCGCCACTAGCGCTATCTTTTAAAGTGCTATTATGTCATTGCTCTGACCGCCAAAGTGCCGGTTATAAGGACTTGCTTGCTACCTTGTTAATCACCATTGTATTCGACTCGAAGAGTAATAGTACGAAAGGCCTAGTCGAAACTATATGGCTTCTGTGCTTCGTGTGCTGATTTGCTTTCCTCCAACCAAGAATCTACATTGCACATTCTGACCATAACTGAAAATAGCCACACGCTGTATTCATAACACTTGGAGAACGATTTTACTTTTGATAGGAATTACAGAATCATAATGGAGGTTTAGCATCGCGAATGTCGCGTTCGAGTTTGTGTACATTTTTCAGTTCGCGAACTGGATTGCGAACTTTCGCATGATTCGTTCGGAAAAGCAGTTGAAACATGAATCGCGGATTCGCGTTGGGATTGGGACAGTCATAATTTACTATGTTGTACTACCTGTACGTATGTGCGACCTGTCAACGTCATGCAAGTGCGAATTATGTTTGCTAAGCCTCATCATAATGTGAATTCCATCACTGAGTTCAATGTTCATTGTAGTGCGAACACGAAGTTCGTCTTGCTAAACACCCGCATTGTTTGGCGAGAAGGGTGTCTTGCCGGTACATTGGGTGAAGTACATGCAATAATTAAAGTATACATTGCAACACACGTCGACAAAGACAATACTGTAAAACATGTAAATATAACGAGGAACCAAATCTAACGTTTTAACGAGTTACATTTCCTCGTTATAATAAGTTCTGTTGAGGCTGTAAGGCCACATACGTGATATGAGCAGGTATGCCTGAAGAGTGAAGACTGCAGAATTGTTATCGTATGTTCCCGTTAACCTATGGATTTTGGACAATCGTTAAATTTGCGACTCGTTATAATAACATGTCTTACAGTATGTAGCTGCGTGCAGTACATCATTCTAGCAAAGAGTTGGACAGTTGCGTCAGACTACTTCGTTCGAAGTACAAAGTAGCATTGATCAGGCCATCACCAATTGATCATCCTTGAATTAGCATTTACTAACTAAAGAATGACTGCAGTATGAGTGTGACAACCTCCAGTCTAAATATTGCCGCTGATCTTTAAATGCTTTACTCTAAGCACCAACAACACAGTCTTTTCAACAGACAACGACTCCTCCACTCCCATCAAGAATGGCATGCAAGTAGTTAGAAGTGCGACAATGAATCGAATAAAGCCGCCGCTGCCAATCTGATCAAGGACGCACGTCTTTACGAGACATAAGCAGCAGTTTCCAAAAAAACTTTCCTCCAACCCTCTACTGCTCATGCCAGGGGACACAACTGAACACTCACCGAGTATTTCCTCAAACTGCTGGCGAGCGGGCTCACTGGCGCTGCTGAATGTACCACTTGTGCAGCTGAAGCATCGCGCTGCCAGGCCACGCACTGTCGAGCCACCTGCTTCAGAGCACACGGGGGGAAACAAGCAGAGAAGGCGAAAGTACTTAGCCACACTCCAACACTCCTAGTAGAAATGCCTGGGTAGATAATTGGTCTAGAACAACACAAAAGCAACTGTATAGTCTACTTTCAATAATACAATCCGTCCTGGACTCCTCGAGACATGCAGGTAATTGCATGACTCCTCTAGAGTGTGTGACTCACAGAGTTGGCATACCCACATGCACACATGCATGCATGCAGTGACTAGGGCTGAAAAGAATACTCAATGAAGCGAACGAATATTCTTTTTTCCGAATACACTTGTAACGAAGAATACTCCGAATATTCAAAACCATGCAATATCCATGGCTACCTAGTTGTATCCATGGCAACCATAGACTAGGCATCGGCGGATAATGCTAGCACTAAAAGAAGCATTTTTCGCACGTTTTCGCTATACGGCAGTGCACCCGCACAAACCTACGTTTTGGGAGAGAAAGTAGCATTTTCACTTCTACAGTACTCAGAACTTCTGACCCACGTACTTGTTTGTCATCCCAAAGCGGCAAAGGCAAACAAAACGATACCCCGTAGACTACGCTACCGGTCACGGAACCATGTAACCCTGTGCGCTACCGGTCACGGAATCTTGCAGAATCCCTGTTCTGGTAGCCCTGAAAAGCCATATTGGTCTTCCACGGCGGCCTGAACTGTTCTGCTTGTTTACGGAAGTGAGCTCCATCGCGGATAAAGTCTGCGAGCTCCGAATGCAGAACAGATCCAAGCACAAACTCTGTTGGCATAAGAACTCCAGGCACATGTAGAGTTGTTTTCTTGTTCAACCTGTGAGTTTCTCGACATTTTGGGTGGCCGTTTCCGAGGATGGCTGCAACAGGCAGCCACGCAATAGAGGAGCTGTCCAGCAGCGATTCAAACAAAGGGGGTGGAACTAGTTCCTGCCATGAATCAGCAGCGGTACTGAAGAGATTACCGAGGGCTCCTGGTGCCGAAACTTCGAGGAAGAGTCCTTATCCGCAGCGGAAAATCTGCCAAGCACAAAGAGGATCTCAGTGGTGCAGGTTTGTCAGCTGCTGTCCCCGATGATGTGATCACAAAGAGTGCATAATGCAGCACTTCTCTCACCTGACGAGAAAGCAGCAATAGTGAAGGCAGACATTACGTACAGTGATGGCCGCTACACCGTTGGCATTTTGTGGAACGATGCAGTTTCAGAATTGCCAGACAACTATGCTATGGCTTGTAGTCCTGTGCAACACCGAGAAGCGCCTGACGTAGCCAAGTCCTATGCAGACACTATCAGCAAATACCTCCAGAAGGGGTATATCCGGAAGGTGTTCCCAGAAGAGGCAGAGCCCGACCGGACGTGGTACTTGCCACACTTCGTGATTGTGAAGGCAGATCGCACCACAACGAAGACAAGGATTGTGTTCGACGCCTCAGCATCCTGCAATGGTGTGTCGCTAAACGACAGGATACACACAAGACCAAAATTGCAATTATCACTGCTAGACGTGTTGTTGCGCTTCCGTCACCACCCCATTGCTCTGGTCTGCGACATCGCAGAGATGTACCTGCAGATTCAAGTCAAAGAAGAAGACCGGCCATGTCTACGCTTTCTGTGGCGGAACCTGGATGATGCCATGCAGCCCGAAGAATACGAGTTCACACGTGTCGTGTTTGATGTGAATGCCTTGCCATTCTTGGCACAGTATGTGTCCCAGGAACACGCGCGCAATCACAGCAGCAAGCACCCAAGAGCAGCTGATACGATCACCATGTCCACGTACTCTGAGAAGTCACCAGATGACGCTATTGAGTTGTACCATGAGCTGTCGCAGATGTGGGCATCAGCTGGAATGCGAGCTCGAAAGTTGCTGTCTAACTCGCCCGAAGTAATGCAGCATATTCCTGCAGAAGATCTCGCTAAGGAGATACCGTAGATCTCGAATCGGGTAGTCTGTCAAGTGTGAAGACGCTAGGAGTACTGTGGTCTTCAGTCACTGATGAATTTAGCTTCAAGCCTCGCAAGCCAGAGGACATCACAGACTTCACAAAGCGTACCTTCCTCAAGTTGTTGGCAACGGTGTTCGATCCGCTGGGAATGGCAACGCCTGTGATAGTACTCGGTCGACAGATACTGCAAGACATCTGGATTGGTGGATATGATTGGGACGACCCACTACTAGACAGCATCAATGCGCGCATCAAGAAGTGGTTGCAGCAGTTGTCGGATCTGTCCAATGTTACAGTCCCGAGGTGTCTTCAAGAGCAACGAGAAGACAATTGAGTCGAGCTACATGTATTCTGTGACGCATCGCAGATTGCCTATGGCGCGGTAGCGTACTACAGAGTGGAGTACAGCGGTGGTGACATTTCATCTCGTTTCGTAGCATCACGTGTCAAGATTGCTCCTGTGCAAGTCGTATCTGTCCCTCGTCTCGAGCTGCAAGGTGCTGTGATGGCAGCACAACTCGCTCAGTCAGTTGCAGCCACCCAGGAGATCCCCATCGAGAAAGTCACACTGTGGTCTGACAGTGCCAACGTCCTCTGGTGGGTGAAGAGACGCTGAATCTCCGCTACTCGATGGGCCACAAACGGCTTGAAGACTCGACTGCGGCTCTTCACCCACCATCACAGCAACATCTGACAAATGGTGTATTTCTGCCTCCTTGGACCTAGACTCATCACCCTAAGGCTAAACATTACAGAGTACGGACCCTGGCATTTTCATTTTGGGGGGAAGTTCTCCTCGACGATAGCGGTGTGCGTGTATAACTAGAGCAAACTCAAACACAAGGTACGACATTGACACTATACAGGCTGTGCAGCCACCCTGCTTTGCGCAGGATAGTCCTGATTCAGACCGACACACTTGTATACATTTACATGGGACAAAGGTCAAAAAGAATGGTTCCACCAATTAAATACGTTGTAACGCTGCGTTTTATGCACGTAGCTAAATGCTAAGGCAATCATCAGACAACTAACATTTACATGATGGGAGATAATTATTGCCTTTGTACATGGACATGTATTCTGGGTGTCCTTCTTTGGAATGGTGGCAAGGTTGGACAGACCAGGATTTGACGTGTAATCCAAGTTGTCGTGCTGTGTATGATGACTCCTGCTTTAGTGTCCGTCAGCTCCACGTTTCAGAGGCTGTACTCATTCGCTTGCGTAACCCAGTGCTTTCATCAGGAGTGTGCACTTACAGTTTTCACTTCGCTTACTGCACTCACAGACTGACAATAGCTATTCAAGTACACCCTATATCTAACACAGAAAACCAGATACACTACGTAACAGTATGCAACAACTTCCTTATTATAATGCACTCGTAATGTGCAACCTGGCGATAGAGGAAAATGAGTTGTGACTTTGCAGTGGTCAGAAAAACAGCATGTCTGTGAACATGTTTTCCCATGTGTCCATTGTTTGTCTTTCAAAACGGAAGAGACATGATTGTACTCTGCTTATTCAACATACTTTTCTGTGATATTTTCATTTCATTTCCTGAAATTGTCATAACATGATTCAGACTGTGATCTACATGTAGCACACTAGTACTCACCGAAGCGAGATGCAAACAACGCCATGGCAATGAGATACGAATGGTCTTGGATCCGTGCTCAGCTTCGATAGAAGTCGGAAACAAGATTGACTGATGTCAAGGTAAAGAAGAGTATTATGTTGCTGTCAATACATGCAGTACACATGGTACAGGAAAACAGGAAAGCAGAAAAATCTTGGAACGAAGAGTGGAGACAGCATGCATGCATGCAGAAGTCAAAAGTTTCAAAACTCAAAAAAGTCTGCACGACGTCATGCCTAACATTTGCCATCGAAATGATGACGTAACCGTGTACTCATGATTCATGAAGCTTTTGAAGGTGTCACTTGACTCACTTCAACTCACTTGCAGCTTGCTCTTGCGAAATCAAAACGATACGAGCCGTCCATCAAAGTCCACCACAACTTCAGCCTATTCCAGAACAGCAGGGAAGCAGATTATTTAGCTTGCTCAGCATCCAATCTCCACGCCTGAATTTCTTATCCCAAATCGAACTAAGCACTGGAGCCTGACGTGGAAGTAGATGTAGCATTACTTCTCTTTGTTTCTGCCCTATAAACATTATTGTTGTGGAGATCAATAATTTGCGGAGTTTTCTTGGTCCGTGTACGTATCCTGGCCATTTCCCAGTTTAGTTTACTTGCTACCAGTGTGTATAGTTGGAGGAAACCTGAGGATCGTTGAAAAATGAACTGCAGGACGCACAAAACTTGCCTTGTAAGTATCGTTTCGTTCTGTTTTTAAGAAAAACTGCTTGGCTAAAGTATGATTGGATACAAAATGACTTGTACATAATTATGCCGGCAGCATCTCCAATCACATGCACGTAGCTCTTGCAACTTGTCTTTGACTTTGTGAGCCTGTGCACATGGCTCCAACTCTCCACAATACTGAGAAGGAAGAGTTTAACAAAACACTGGTCTTGTCACAGGCCTGTATAGAACTTAGCTGATTCCCAGGAAATATGTAGCCAAATGAAAACATGCATGGAGCTGTGAGTGTCCATACTTATTATTGTATAATTATAGTTCTTTAACCCTTTACTGTCCGTACATACAAGCATCGATCCAATGGGATCGATGGGGTAGGCATTTGGAAAATATCGTAACTTGCTCAAATCTAGGTCTTTTGGAGAGATCGAAATATGTAGGTCGAAGAGAAAAGTCTCAGCTGTCGCCTCGAACAATTCCCGAAGCGATACGAACAGCGGTTGCTGAGTTATCGTACTCGTAATTCTGGTCCCAGGAAAAGTGCGTTCAGAGCGCGACGCGCATGTCGACGGCTGGGATTTTCCCTGTTTACGTCACCTGTTGGCAAGGCTACACCGATTCAAATTCAAAAGTAGGTTCCCGGGAGTCTCTACGAAAATATTTGAGCTCGATACGAGCAACAGGGGTGACATGGTGGATTGAGATCGATCTCGAGCGTGAGCTCAGCGCTTTTGCGCGTTCCCTGGCTTGCAGCGCTGGACCAGTGCATCCTGTGGCGCCGAGTGTGGGCTCATTGCGTTCGTCTCGTCAAGACCTTTCCAGGATGCCCAAGATCGTGGAAATCGTCAAATTCAAACCAAAGTTACGTCTCATTTTAGTTTCAGATTTTGTGGTTGCGTGGGCTTGTATACATTTTAATCGGACAGTAAAGGGCTAATCAGCCTCTCTGAAACTGTGAGTAGCCGGTGGATATACATGTAGGGCTAAACAATATGACCTGGATCAGTTTTTCTTTGACCTTTGCAGTGCCAAACTCAAAGTTTCTAATGCTGCTGCTGTTGCTGCTGCCATGTACATTGTTGCACTGCTGCTAATGCTTCTGTCTGCTTTCGTCTTCTTCAGACTCTGGAAAAACGACAGGTGGAAGAATGTGTACTCGGTACGTAAGCTTACACTGTAATTGTATCGTCTTGAAAGCGACCGGGGGGGGGGGGGGGGGGGGGGCTGTTGATGTACCCCATTCTCTGGACCACTACATCTCTTTGTATCTGCCACAGCCACGGTTAGCTGACTGGTACTATAGGAGAACTGGATATCGTGCAGATACTGGTGATTTTGCCCTATACATGTACTAGATTCGGGCAGATTTCTGGTCTGTCCAACACTGCCCTGAACAAGAAGCCCGAATGACGGTGCTCTGCTGTGAGCTGACCTCGCGTTCTGAGGGTGTATTTTCATACTAAGTTTCCATACTAAGTGCACTGTTAATGACACCATGGCGCTGGCACACGACTGCAATATCGTTCTACATCCACACAGAGCCAGTGACCCGGTGTGGTGGCTGCCATGCCGGGCAAGGACACAAACTTACTGACCAAATTCATTGTGAGCAGGATGATATTCCAATAGCTAGACGGTGTCACATCCAATTCAATCTGGGAAGGAAAGGCGTACTGGGGTGATTTCACATGACCCGTTTAAAGGCGATTGCACGTATGACGCCATCATCATGGCATCACACCAAGGAAAGGCACCCTCAGTCCATCAAATGTATGTCTTTCGGACTCTTTTGCACAGGGTTGTGCTGGACAGTGCTGGATCCCTATTCATTTTCGCGGTGCATTTTGCTGTGATGATGGGATTGTGAGCCCGCTCGTTTGAATTATGTATTTTGTAGTCGTTGCTTAAAGGGGAAGTTAAGGCAAAAATTAAAATTTCACCAGTTGTAGTCTTCGGGGTGCTGAGTCGAATGGTCGTGGTCCGAGGAAGCTGAGACGCTTTATTCCCAATCGAACATGGTTGAAGAAGCTGTCACGTGCTCCTGCGTACGCCAGTCACCTGGTCACCATGCCTGCAGGGTACAACTTACTAGCCTGTTTGACCTTTTTTGGGTGCAGTCCTGTCACTCGAGTTGAACTCGAGTTGAACCTTGGTGTGAAAGTTGTCGCCTGCTGGCGTGGTGACCAGGTGATTTGGGCACCCAGGAGCACGTGACCGCTTGTTCAACCATGTTCGATTGGGAATAAAGGAGGAACGCTGCATCGCAGCCTTTTCGGACCAAAACCAGTCGACTCAGCGTCCAAAAGACTACAACATATGGGCCAATCGCGGTCATCCGTGCTTTTATAAGAACGAAATGGCGCTTTTAGCGACATTTTGCATACAAATCCCCATCTAGTAGGGCGCAGTCACCCAGTTTCGGTGGAAGTGCGCGAGTTCGATTGGGATTCAAGTAGGAAGGGAGCGTCTCAGCTTCCTCGGACCACGACCATTCGACTCAGCACCCCGAAGACTACAACTGGTGAAATTTTAATTTTGGCCTTAACTTCCCCTTTAATATCAGTGAATTTCTGTGCCCATGCAGGTATCTTCCATACTGTGCTCTTTCGCCGGTTACAGCCCAAGGTGAGTCAGAGTGCATGATACATACCAGTTGTACTAGCTAACTTGCAAGTCAATTAGTGGTGTATAGAGCTAAGTCCATGTGTGTGTGTGTGTGTGTGTGTGTGTGTGTGTGTGTGTGTGTGTGTGTGTGTGTGTGTGTGTGTGTGTGTGTGTGTGTGTGTGTGTGTGTGTGTGTGTGTGTGTGTGTCTTGGGTACTTAACGTGTGGGATCACTTCCACGAGTCCATGCTCTTGTTTGTGTTTTTGGTTTTTGTTCTTTTTTATTTCACAATGCGCGTATGCATACCGTGAAACCTACCTAAGCCGACCGCTCAAGGGACCTTCCAAGTGTGACTTTCGTGCACAGGTGGCCGCCTTATCCAGCGTCATTTGACTGGAAATAGCATCCCTTGATCCTGGTTGTAGTGGTCCCCTAGGGCAGGTGGTCGCTTATCAGAGTGGTCGCCTTGACTTTATTTTTACTGTACATTCTACTGGATGCTGAGTCGTATGTGTTGTTCTACGTTACAAGTAGAACTGGCATGGCAAGACACAGTAAGGTGTGTAGTGTCAAGTGATTTACTGCTGTGTTCCTCGTTTGTTGCTTGACTGGCAGATGGTGTTCCGGCAAAGTGACGGAGAAACGTTTGCTGTTGGTACTGTAGGTTATGAAGACCAGCGGTGTGATCACGTCGAGTCAACTTTCGTAAGTTCAGGAGCATGCAAGTTGTTCTCTGTACTGTAGTGGATTGGACGGTGCGTGCGGTCTTCAAGAACAGCTATAGACCGGTTAACGCTTCTGACACCACGCATGCACATGCACTCTATTGAATGTGACTTGTCAATGTGTTTGATCCGTATTAGACTGTGCATGCCGGCGTGTTTCTCTCTGCGTAGGCACGCTGCTCGTCACCGCAGCTTCATGACAGTGTGAAGAAGCGAACTCATACATTTGCAGCATCACTAGCTGCAAGGCCGGATGTGCGATCCGCTGAGGTCAGTATCAGTGGGTTATGCTTGCTTTCATTCCTACCTTTGGGCACATCTCGGGTTGTCTCATTTGTATGGCTCGGGGGAAAGCCAACCTGACCTGCCCGAAGTGCTTCGTGAAGGAAGTAGCACCGTATTCAAGTGCATAGACTAGTGTTCATGTCGCTAGGGACGCATAGCACTCCCCCCTCCCTCGTGCTGCTTTAGTCATGAGGTTGGATTTACTGGCTGGTATTTGGCTGGTATTTTATTTGCCTACTAGAGTAGTAATTTAGAAGTAGCGACGAACTCGGCCAAGAGTGCAGTGTGGAGAGGTGGACAGCAAGAGTGCAGTGTGGAGAGGTGGACAGCAAGAGTGCAGTGTGGAGAGGTGGACAGCAAGAGTGCAGTGTGGAGAGGTGGACAGCAAGAGTGCAGTGTGGAGAGGTGGACTGTTCAAATCATTTACTAGAGTAGTAATACATTGAAGTACTTGTAGCGCATTCTCATACTATTTATCCCTGTCTGGTGTCGTCTTCTTCTTCTTCCTCCTCCTCTTCACAGATTCGCCTGTCATTCTTTGAAAAATCAAGAGGCACCTGGTTCGCCTCGCAGGCCAACTGGGAAGAATGGGTGGTAGAGGTGAATTTCCGGGAATGTTCCAGTGACAGTGGTAAGCTCGGCAGAATATGTAGCAAATCTTGTGCAATATTCACTTGTTTAATATCAAGAATTTTACTTTTTATTTTGCTTGGGTAGAGCATTAGGGAGCATCTCATAAGTTCGCACTTTTTTTGTAAACGTAACGCATTTCGAATAGACTTTACCCCCCTACCTCCCCCCACTATTTGAAAGTCTTATCGCACATTTTCAGTGTAGATCTACTGTACTGTACATGTCCATGCCATGGTATGCACAATCATGTACAATGTTCAAGTACATGGACATGGACGCTAGTGTGGAAGTGAATGGCATACAGTAGTACCACATCTACTGGCAGTACTGAGTACAAGTAAGTATTGGTTACAGTCTTAGTTCAATCAATGACATGTACACACACATAAACAGAGTTACTCCACAACGACTGTACTGTCAAAGCTGGCCAGGTGGCAGGTACACGGTTTGATCAGGCTGGTGTGACATTTGACACCTCTGAGTAGCCTGCATGGGTAGTGCAAGGGTTAGAAAACACCCGTACCCTGCTATCTGAAGCGGTCTAGCACAAGCACAGCACTGTATTGCACACATCCAGAAAATGTGCGAACTGTCATTTTTCTATCCGAAATGGGCGCTACCCCCCTACCCCTGTTTCGAAATGCGTTACGTTTAGAAACAAAATGCGAACTTATGAGATGCTCCCTTAATTTGCTGGCCATATACATGTAGTAAGCGAAGGTTCCTGGTTCGGGTCCAGGTGGTGACAGTCAATTTTTTTCTTCTGACTTTTCGCGCTTCCAACTCCCTCAAACTTTTGAAAATTTTACTTTTCACTGGGATTTCATAGCTTCATGTTGTGCGTTTTTCTCCCTGTATGGTTTGTCTAGAGCGACAGGCATCACGTGTGGAAGCTGGACGAGATCTGTCAGCAGCGGTAAGAGCTAAAAATGCATCTAATGAGTCAGTGACGGCTTTGCTTCTCGCTCTCTGTCCTTTCTCTGAAGCACATGTGTGGGTGTGTCGTGGGCCATCTCGCAGTGGTACAATGAAGCGTTGCGCTTTGCAAGTTTAGGAAACTTCTCATTCCGTTTGTGAATGTGTGCATGTGTGTGTGTGTGTGTGTGTGCGTGCGTGTGTGTGTGATTTCTCTTTCTGCAGATCATGGATATTTCAGATACCCTGTCCCAGATGGGCACAGCTCACTGTCCGCTTTTCACCGATGGCAAGGACGCCAACTATGTGTTTGATTCGCAATTCGACGACGTCTCACCCTACTTTCACCAGGTAGTTATTAGCACACATAGATCCGCCTGGGTGCATTGCATAGTGCGTCGAATCCGCCTGGGTGCCTTGCACAGTGCGTCGAATCCGCCTGGGTGCATTGCACAGTGCGTCGAATCCGCCTGGGTGCATTGCACAGTGCGTCGAAATGAGTTTGGAAACGGAGCTGCTTTCCATCGTGCTTTGTAAGAGTTGGAAAGTTCGAACGTGAAATCAAATGTTTGTTTGTGGCACACGCATACTGTAATTTCACAAATTTTCGGTGTACTTTTATTTTCGGTACTTTCGGTGCATCTGTTTCATACCTAAAATTTCAATACACCGAACAAACACTAACACACATAATCCAATAGGGAACTGCTTCTCTGTACCGAAAATTTCTGTTCACCTAACCTGGCCTTTTGCCCTCATACCGAAAATATTGAGCACCGAAAATTTCTGAAATTAGAGTACCCCGGCCCAAGAGAGACTATCACTCCAAGTCCGGGATCCCGCGCCTAGTCTTAACATTGTACTACTAGGTAGTGTACTATTCATTTAATAGTGTGCATTTGTGCTGTCTCTCTCGTTGTGCAGATAGTGTTCAGCACTGTTGTGCAGATAGTGTTCAGCACTGTTGTGTTTTCTAAGCCTTAATACATGTACTGTACTGGATATTACTCATCATATTAGTATGTTTATGTGCCATCTCCCTTCCTGTACAGATTGTGTTTAACATTGGTGAAGAACCCAGCGGAGGAACGATGACGGCGTTCGGACGGCTTGTGAGGGGCACGTTTGCCTGACCGCATTGCTTGAGACAATCCTGGAACAGCATTGCTTGAGGCAGTCCTGGAGCCAGTGCCGTTCTGTTGGACCTTCCCTTGGTATAGCCACAGTGCTGTGTGTGCGTGTGTGTGTGTGTGTGTGTGCGTGTGTGCGTGTGTGTGTGCGTGTTTGTGTCCTCTTGGAATCGTTTTGTGCCATGTCCCATTTTTCACTTACTCCCAGTCCGGTGACTATCAATCCTCCCACTCAGTACTAAGGCTATCCTCAATGCCACCACTCCACGGTGCTACACTATTCTCCAGCCCATATTTCCTTTACTACTCTACCCGCTATCATGCTGTGCACGTATTGCTTTTAAAGCTGCTTCTACTACTAGGGCTAGTTTTCCGTTTCCTAGACATGCATCAACACTGCTGCAGGCATGGCACTGCAATCTTTTAGTTTAAAAAAACTCCATACTAGTGATATGGTGCAGTCGACTGGCGAATCCAGATTGTTATATTTCGGTACCGAACCGCCCGGACTGGCCCAGTCGAGCACACTGACACACGCCGAACACGTCCCATCAAACATGCCCAACTTTTTGTATGACAATGTGCTCTCCTGTTTTTAGCATTTGTCTGTTTATCATCTCTGAGCAGTCTCTGAGTATGCTCACTGTTTCTTGATCTTCTAGTTTCAGCAGGACAGTGTGGTTATGTACAATGTATTCCTCTTGACTTCAGGTCATTCTCTCGAGCTGATTCGTTCTATCTTCTATTTTACTAGTATCTGCTTTTTAAATTAAAGAAGGAACTAATTATTTATCCATCAGAACTTTGTTAGCATGTGAAATTGTTGTATCGTTTATCCTGTTGGTGTCACAACACGAGTCTGTAAACCCCACAGCGAGAGCCGCCTGTCCATGTCGCCAAGAGTAAAATAAGCTCCCTGAAGCGTATGTACTCTTGATGTCACCAAGAGTACATAACCCAGGTTATGTACTCTTGATGTCACATGTACAGTTGTTGGTTCTTCTCAGGGAGTCGTAAAATGCCGGTATTTTACGACTCCCTGGTTCTTCAGTAGTAAAACGGGATGTATGCGCATACAAGATAATGGACATCATGCACCTTCTTGTGGGGCAAGTGTCCTATTTGGCAGGTACAACCAGCTCTACAAGAGTAGAGTATACATTCGTGAGTAGAACCAGGTACGGTATACATAATAACTACGGGGAAATGATGCATACGTCCATTCATTCAAAGATCGATTGATCGATGTTTTTGTCACCAAAGGCTGTGAGAGCCTATCAAGGGACTCTCCTCTGGAAGGAAAGATGAAAACGAATTTGCTGCACACTACTCTCAGCTCACGAGTATAAGAATGTGTAACAATATAAAGATAATGATAATTATTGTGAAAGAAAATCCATTTCAGCAGCATCTGAAATAACACACTTCCATGAAGAACTGCACGATACAGGTCGGAAAAAGTTTTTGAAGCACAATTATCCGATGGAATCATCTCAACAGACAGGACAATGTAGATGTGTACAGTGTACACTGGCAAAGAAACATAATAAATTATTCTACTAAATAGACACACAGCAACAGGGCGAGAGCTAGAACGCTAGAGTAAATTGTCCCGGGAGCTCAACCCCCACGCATGATAGGTACAAGCATAGAAAAGGAAGTATCGAGTATGGTGCACGGTGAGTAAGTGAAAACGGAACGGAAGACAAACTGATGTTGCATACATTTCAATCCACAAGATTGTCACTTCAGGAGAAAAAGAGTTATATAAATAAAAGTTATATACAGACCAGCTGCAAACCAAGTATTCAACAAAGAATAACAAAGCGGGTTCTAGAATGGTAAAAACTACGGCTAGTTTTTCAGGGTGAGGACAGCTAGCTTCCAATTTCACCCAACATGAAGGTTAGCTGTCAAAAGTCTAAAAATGAAATATGCAGGAAAAAGTCCATAGAAATATTTAAAATAATCTTAGTACATATTAAAGGTTGGAAATGAAAAGGTACATGTATTGTGAATTCAAAACTACAGAAGTAGTCGTCTACAGTAGAAGGGTAGGAGGGCAGATGAGATTCAACAGATATCGGGACGGCTCTCCACAAGTCCATGGATATTTATTCAACAGCATCGGATCTCAATCCCACGACAACGGACAACACTGGAACACATGCCCCTCTGGCAACACCCTGGATCTCAACATCGCCAAGTGAGAACACAAAATCACGACACCTCTACAAGAGGGCAACATGCAGGAGCTAATGGAGCAGCACGACACAGGTTTCAAAACATCCAAAAAGGGAAACGCACATGCTCACAATACTCAAAAATTTCTGTGCATCAAGAACACGCGACGAAGAAGGGCACCAACGGGGGAAAGTCCCCAAGCAGCTGTTCTCGCTCCCAGTCACTACAAGTCATCGTCTACACGGGTTGATTCCATAGTGTTGGCCGACCTGAGCAGAGGCTGAGTCTCGCGCAATCCCGTACTCAGGTTAACTGTGCATGGACAGTAGATATACAACACAATACAATGTCATGTACTTGTACATTCATAGCAAACACTCCATCTCCGGACAGCTAGCTGCATAAGTACACAACATAGCACATACTAGCACCACAAATAGCCACCACCCCAGCGGAGGAAATACTTAACGAGAAATGTTGCGAATCGGGCTGATATTGCGAAACGAACAGGAAAGCATAACAGCGCACATATCACCTCCATAATGCTCAGGGCACAACCTCAAACTCTCTTTCCCATGAAAGTGGGACATTCTACCTGGCAAAATGGCGGTATTTAAATACACGCCTGCCCACTCTCCAAGCTGGAACGTTCTGGCAAAGAGCATTCCTTCTCCCACCACACAATTCTTGAACCAGACAATAGACACGCACCGTCATACATCTAACCCGGGTTACCTTGCACACTACTCCAGACCAATGCCATGCCTCAACGTGTGTATATATCAAACATTTAGAAGACGGTGTACGCGTGCAGCACAGGCTTACCGATATGAAGCTGTGACTGGGCGTCCTCAATTGTCGGATAGATTTGCAAGTTGGGTATGCCTGTTGTAAGGACTTTCTGGACTGGAGGCTGGACAAAATGATATGATCATGGACAACACACACACACACACACACACACACACACACACACACACACACACACACACACACACACACACACACACACACACACACACACACACATGCACGCACACACACACACATGCACACACACACACACACGCACACGCACACGCACAAACAGCATAAAGAACGTTGGTCCCAGAGGGTTACGGGTGAGTACGGAACTACCGAACAATTACCAGATGCAGTTCTTTGGCGACCGACAGTACTGTAATGGCCTCCGTACATGCTAGCTACTAGACTGGTGGGTCGTGACAGATTCTAACATCTTGAGCATATCAAAAGAAGCCAGTCCAGTATTACTGTATTCGCAACAAGAGCACGTCTATAACATATGAGCAGCCCTACCTCTAAGCAGGCATGTACCAAGGAGATATCACTGCGCTTCAATTCGTCACACAGGTCCTGTAGTGTCTGCAAAAACAGAGCACCATTACACCAAAGATAATGAACAATTTTTATTGGAAAGAAAAAGGACCAAGGAACTACAAGTTACGCGATAATGTCCACCAACACCACCAGTTACTAAACAATCAGCTCATGCTCCTTGGTTCTTTTCTTTCTTATAAATTAAGCCTTGGCTCTCCATCCGAGTCCATTTAGATTGGACTGGACAAAAGTGCTTGTAGGTCATATCCACAACACTGGCCCATCTAGTGGACACTACTATCACTACAATGTCAAGCACTATGTTTGTATGTTTCGCATTGCGTACCCTTCCACGTTGATCTCGAGCACACAGGACACGTTCAAGAGACAAATCGAAATTGCCGTGTCACAGCAAATACTGATGTCACAAGCCCTACTGACGCAGTCACTGATCACGGCTCCCACGACTCATCAGAAATGATGTGAATGAGATAATCAACTTCCTGAAATCAAAAAATAATAATAATATTCGCGGGATCCGCGTTAGCATCACTTGAATGTTCAGAAACACACAAGCTATAGCCTTCGCTTCCGCAGGCCACCACTATGCCATGGTGAATAATAATGTCAGGCATGCAGAAAATAAATTAAGACGGTGAATAACTTCGTCCAACTCCAGAGAAAGGCAATTTGTCTGGCTGAAATTTGTGTCCACGAATGTTTTAAACGTACCAAAGAGATCGGCAAAATCAACTTTATAAAGAACAATCCGTTTGTTTATGTCCTCATGCACCATGAGAAGTAGATAAGAGATATACAGCCAAACCTCGTTAGGACGAATACCAAAGGACCAATGGTATTTGTTCATGGAGTATCCGTATTTTATACCCAGTGAATACCCAATGATTTATCCAATAGAGTTATGGGCAGTTGTTCTTCTAAAGCGAACGTTTGTCTTACTCTTATCAGTGTTCTTCTTAACGACGTTTCACTGTAGTAATTTGATGATAGGCTGCTGATTCAAGAGACTACCGTATTTCCCCGTAAGTTAGTTCTCCCCAATGACTTAGTACCCCCCTATAAAAAATACACTTTCCACTGCCGAGGTTATCACCCCGAAAGACAGTTCCCCCCGAAAGATAGTAAGTTCGTACCCGTCCTACATGTACAGACACCGTACAGTACATACATCATAAGCACGGACACTAGAGTTGCGCAGGCTTCCCACTGCGTGTCATTTACCCCCGATAAAAAAGTACTCCCCGAAAGATAGTACCACCCCCGAAAGTTAGTACTCATGTGGCTGCTAAAGCCTAGTTCACATTCGACGCAACGCCGACGGTACGGGACGTAAGGGCTTGTCGGGAGGGCTGGGGTGAGCTGTAAAATCCTGTACGATTGGTACGACACGACATGCAGCAGTCGTTGCGACGTTCAACGTCGAACGGCGCGAGTCATAAGGCACGGTCCGTGACGGGGTGACTTTCGGACCTAAGTTCTCGTTTTTCGGGACTTCTCTTCAAATATTTCTCCTTGAAAGAAGCGGAATCAAGTTCACAATACCAGTTTTTCATGAAGACCAAAAAATTAGCCCTGAAAGTTGTGGCATTCAAATAATAGCCCCAGGAAATGATAGAATAGTTCGTCTGTCACGCTTCTGAACTATCCCTAAATACAATAGGTGACATGAGATCTTATGTTGCTAAAATTCAACTCAAGTCGTGCTAGCCATTCTGTGACTTATCATGGGAAGCGCAGTGTTCGAAATACTAAAAATTTCCAAGTACGAATCGGGAGTAGTCGGCGCACGACGCCGTCTCCTGTTCACACTCGAATTGCAGCCGTTTTGTACGCTTGCGTCCCCGTCTACGCCCGTCTACGGTATGAAAAGTTGGATCGATCCAACTCTTCCCGTCGCTTCCCGATCTGTACGGTAGTACGGTTGCGTTCCCGTTCCTGGTGTTCACATTGGACGCCGTCAGTCCGTCCCGTCGCTTCCCGTCGATCCTTACGTCGCGTCCCGTCGCGCCCCGTCGAATGTGAACTAGGCTTAAGTTCGAAAGTTAGTACGTACTAACTTACGGGGAAATACGGTATTGACCTACAAGCACATGTAGTAGTTGCAACATGACACATACCAGTACAACAGTGTAATCCACGTCCATGACACATGACCAATCAACTACCACTGCTGATAGTGACACACCTGCATGACAAAATAAAAATAAATACACCGATACACAGGTACAGACACGCACACCCACAAACAAGAACACACACACACACAGGCACACAACCAACAAAGAAAGCACCCAAGTTTGAAAAGAGAAAGGAAAACAACACATGCATTCCATCAGCAAAGCAATCCCCTTGTGACACACACTAGCAATTATAGAAAGACAGACACAAAGACACACAGACACACACAAGTGCAGATGCACACCACAAATCTTACGTTCTTTGCTTGCATCAGCTTCAATTCCACGGATAATCTGTCGCAGGAATGTCACAGACGGGAAGTCCAGGCCACCATGGAGTCGTAATACTACTACATCACCGACAGCTTTCCACTGCAATGCAAACAACAGCAACAACAGAAGACATGAAAGCGAGAGAGAGAGAGAGAGAGAGAGAGAGAGAGAGAGAGAGAGAGAGAGAGAGAGAGAGAGAGAGAGAGAGAGAGAGAGAGGGAGAGAGAGAGAGAGAGAGAGGGAGTTATGAAGACCTGGTTAACTCAAGAAACGCTACTATAGTAGCGTGCTATCCGTCTCTCTTCCGTACTAGAAAAATATAAGACGGGCGTGTGATGGCAGGTCGTTAAACGTTGTGCCCGCCAAGTGAGGAACATTTGCAAACCGTTAAACTTTAGACTCATCACACTTTCAGCTCTTACAGTAGTCGTTCCAGCCCTAAACCCTACCCAAGCTGACCAATAGCTGTACTCACGGAGAAATGAGGACGTGACTGTAGATAGAGCAAGTACATGATGTTGATCACCACTGCCAGCAGAACACCATACTGTACACACACACAAACACACACATATACATACATACACACAAACACACACACACACACACACACACACACACCCACACACACACACACAGAGCAAACAACAGGTCAATCAAGGAGACACTAGAAGACGTCCACTCACACCACTGCAAATGCACAATTGCGCATCAACCGTATACACTCACAAAGTTCTAAATTCTAAAACAAGGCAAAGGCATGACTGTGCAGGCTCACCTCAATACCCAAGAATAAAGTTCCAAAGAAGGCCACAGCAAGAGGGATCAAATCAGCCACTAAAACCGACCAGGATTATACAAGAAGACAACACAAAGGGACAGCAAAACGTCAGCACAGACTAGACAAACACATTAAATAAAGTGGCAAGCAGCACCAACAGATGTGTCGCTTTGCTGGTGGTGTGCTGTGGCAGTGTCGTGTCAAGGTCGGCTGGAGAGCGCAGTTATGGTGTGGTGGTTCATGAAATCTAGGCAAACACATTGCACTATTTAAAATGGGCCAGGTAACGAGAAGGTTTGCAACTCTATTCTCTTTTCTCAGGGTGCACAGACTCCACTGCAGCTGTTTCATCGATTATGTCAATGACCAAAACTTCCTCCCACCGCTGTCTCTTTTTAATGCTGCATTTGAAGAAATAAATCAGCTGAATTTCCTTTTTTTTAAACATAACTCGGTGTCTCCTTATAGTAATGTGTCACCCATAATAATAATATGACATGTACATGTACTGCTATCCACTCATCCACCCATATACGGAGGACATGTCAGTGAGTGCGTTCGATTATGCGCGCGAATCGATTCACGAATCGATTCATGAGTCGATTCGCGCTATTCACATCACCCCATGTCAATAGGGTGAATGGATTCCGAATCGATTCCAGGGCTCATGACATGAAAATCGAACGACTTGAATGCACTTGAATCGATTCATGAATCGATTCAAGTGCGTCAGTGGAATTATCCCCCATACTTGGCAGGCAGGGGGATGGCCAAGCTGATCAAGAAACACACAAAATGGCTATGGTGTGTCCAAAGCAGGGAGTAGGTATTTTACTACTCCCTGGTACAAAGTGTACATGGACTGCATCATCATCAGCATGTCAATACCTTTCACTCTCCAGAGGACTGCGACAATGCGCAGGTTGACCATGCCCAAGACGGCAGTGATGATGATGGCGGAGAGGGCGGCCATTGGTATGAAGCGGAACACCGGTGTCAGCACGCCCAGGGCCAGCAGCACTATAGCAGCTGTACACAAGAGTGAGAACCACAAGATGGATGGATGATGACGGCGGCGGCGAGGGCAGAACGGAAACATGCACAGAATGAACAGTAGCAAACGGGAAAGCATAGCAATACTGTCAGAATATCCAGATTCACAGATGCAACACTATGTTTCACACTATCCTCATAGAAGCGAGTGACAGGGAGCTGGGCCACTGCCATGCTTCCTGGCACCAATGTTTGCTTCCGTGAACCAACCTCTAAACATGCAAAATGTGCCTAACACGATAAGCAGTGACCCTTAGAAACAGACGGTGCATAATCAAGAAGAGCCTACAAAAAGATTCAAGGGCATGAACAAATCAAGTAAGTATACAGTCCAAGTCCAGCTGACAGAAAGGAGGGGCAGTGAATGTCCATATCATCAATAGACGTGTACCTGTGACAATACCAGCAGCAGGTGTTCGAACTCCACTCTGGGCATTGACAGCCGTTCTACGTAGTGAACAAGTAAGGTTACAAAAATAACAATAGTAACATATTTTAGATTGAGGTGCGGCGTCAGGTGAATGAAGACAGCCCCCCCCCCCCCCCCCCCCCGCCCCAAATATATAGTCAGCCCTATAATGATATGATCAAGTAGGCTTGTTAATTGATGGGGTTTGCTTTATTTACTCAGTAGTTTACTTGGCTAGGAGCAGGCACGTCGCACCGACTTTGGAGGCGGGGCGGCCATGGAAGGGGGGGGGGGTCAGGGGTACTCCCCCGGGAAAAATTTTCAAAAATTGAAGCCAATTGCAAGCATTTCCGGGCATTTGGTGCCATTTCAGTGTACGGTAACTAAAATGAAAGACTTTTTTTGATTCTGCAAAAAACCAAGAAGATGCTACGATCGGGGACAAACATTACCCTCCCCCGGGTAAAAAAATTCAAAAATTGAAGCCAATTGCAAGCATTCCCAGGTATTTGGTGCCATTTAAGTGTACATGGACTTTTGATTCTGCAACAAACCACGATCCGCCGCCCTTGAGGAGTTGAGAAATACTAGAGTGATGCACACACACACCTCAGACCTGCCCATTGCGGAAGCGATGATAGCGAACAGCTATGTTAGACATAGCAACTTGTGCTGGGATTACACCATTCAACAGCTTGCAAGGCTGATGAATTGACCGCCACTAATTTTAGCCTGGTATCCACCACACAGCTGATTGAAGTGGCTTTTTCTGGCCAGTGAATCCCTATTTTTCATTTTTTCACACACACACACACACCTTGACAAACAGCTGCCGTTAAACGGCTAAGCTGCCCTCATGAGGAGGGGAACAAAGGGGTAGCATCACGGCGTTGCGTCAGAACATCCGGCCTCATGCCGCTGCAGATCCTGCTGTCTGCGATATCTCTCGCCGCACGCACAGCAGAACTTGAACTCAAGACGCTCCCTCGCTGTTGGTCGCTTGCCACGCTCGCAATTGTGCCGTTTAAATCCAGCAGCAGATCGAAAGCACCGGTTACATGACGGGCAGTGGAATGGGCAACAATGTTGGTGTTGAAGCACTAGGCGAAGTGCAGTCGCGACAGAGTCCGAAGGCTGTTGGGAGGAACCTGCGAGAGGGCACTTATGTACCTTCAGCCCACTAGCACTCTTGAACCATCTACCACAACGCTGACAAGACTTTGCACCAGGCTGTTGGCTGACAGGACGTTGACGGGCCGCACTGCACTTATGCCGCTTGTACCCAGACGCACTAAGATGGCGGTCGCAAACACTGCAGTGCACAGTTGGCTTAGATGGTGGTGGTGGAGGCACAACATCAACGACACTCGATCCCCTGGGCTGTTGCAAACCATGGTGTATCCAAGGAGCGTAGGTCATGATGAACACGGTCCTTGAGCCGAAGGCGTGGACCTTGTGCCGGACGAGCCTTACCAAGCCATCCAAACAACAACTGCTTAGGTTGCCTGGTATCCGGCATACGTGCAATATGTCCAAGCCACTCCATGCGCCGCTTGCGGATGCAGGTGGATAACAATTCTGGCTTTCCCCATCGTCGCCTCAACTCTTCATTGGTCACCGAATCTGACTGTTGATCTCGCCGAGACACACCCAAGATGATACGCAAGCAAGAGTGGTGGAAACCATCAATGCGGGATTCGTCACGCCGCAAGACTGGCCAACACTCGGAGCCGTACAGCAATACCAACACCACACATGCGCTGTAAATCAGTCTCTTCGTGCACAATGACAGGTTTCGGTCATCAAAGATGCAGCGAAGAGCACCAAACGCTCGTGCTGCACTGGCAATCCGGCGATCAATCTCTGCTGAGACTCTGGTATCGGGCGATATCAAGCTGCCGAGATACACAAACGACGAGACGCATTCCACCTGTTGACCAGCAACAGACATCGACACACACACACACACACACACACACACACACACACACACACACACACACACACACACACACACACACCATGTACCATGTATACGCCCGTCGCAAGAGAAGCACGCAAATCTGCAAATGCACTGGATGTGCACCCACAGATTTTCTCTTTATAGCAACGATAGCGGATCTGATTCTGATTGAAACAGATCAGACAAGCGCCACGCACACACACACACACGCACACGTACACACACACGTACACACACACATGCACACACACATGCACACACACACATGCACACACACATGCACACACACATGCACACACACATGCACACACACATGCACACACACATGCACACACACACACACACACACACACACACACATAATTATGGCGTCACCTGGAAAAGCTGCCAGTAACCGGATAGGAACTGAAGAAGGAGCTCAGGATGTTGGCAACACCTGGTGATAAAGTAAGGACAGAACACAGAACACACAGCTTGAAACTTACAGAGATTTTACAATCATCACCAGTACTCAGTGCCAGTAGCAACAGCTTCAGGGCGACACAGTTCACTACGGTAGCACAGTGTTCTCCGGTAAAATTCGCCCTTCGACTAAGGCATCACCGCACACATCCATGGGGCTTGTTGCGCTAGGGCCTGCAGCTCCTGACGCAGTTAAATAATTTATGAGAGTGGGTTTCACTGCTCAACACTGTTTAGGATAATGCATGACTGAGAGACTCTGCTGCGGTCATTGGAACCAGGCTACACACTGTTCCAACAGGATACCGGCAAAGTTCAACACCATGTTATTTTGCTATCCCAGAGTAAGCACTTACCGTATTTCCGCGCATATATAGCCATGGCGTTATATCCGGATATAAGGCCACCCTCACTTATAAAGCCATGGTGTTATAAGTGAACAAAATTCAATGTGGAGGAAGTTGCATATGGCGTTAAAGGTGAGTTCAATTCTTTCAGTGAACCTACAGTAGCGGTGATTCTCTCTGCATGTACCCATCCCCACTGTCACATGCCATGCCGCCACCGTACCTTCACAAAGTTTGTATGCCACCTTGTACACAATAGGTTCACAATTTGAAATTTTCAGGGAAAATTGAAAGTACATGGATGCTCGACATGAACGTGCAACAGCACCGTACGAGTACTCGAAGTTCATACTCTGCCGATTTTTTTGCATGTACGCGTCTCTCACTTTTAGCGCCATGGCGTTAAAACCGAGGCTATTTTCTCCAAAAATTTGGTCCAAAACAGCGATGTTTCACCTATAAGGCCATGGCTTTATATGCGCGGAAATACGGAATAACAATTAGTACCCCTTCATGCACTACATGAACTTTAAACATGAAAGAGGAGGGAGGGAAAAGACAGAAATTGCTCTCACCGATAGCGAATAGTTCCTGGTTCGGATCAATGATGTAGTTGTTTTGACGAGCTGTAGCGTGGAGGAGACACACAAATCAGCAGGGGCAGCACATGTAACTTGATAACATGTACCGCTGGGCTTTGCACACACTCCTACACTACAATGCGTACTATTAGTATACATGAAACATGACAAAGTCAAGGAGATTCCAATAAGGAAATGGTTAAGAGTACGACTATTTACAGATTTGCAGTGTATTATGCTTCCAAAGATATGAGCAGGTGACCATTAAAAAAATTCTTATGTCACATGTAAAGGTGTACTATTTGTTCGAGAATTCAAACTGCATGCCATACAGGAACTCACCAAATGCTTGAGCAATTGCAACCAGCTCCAGCAGTCCAATCAAGGGAACAGATATCACACCCACATCAAAATCCTGAACAAAAATACAAACATAGGAATAGGACGGAAATTGTAACTTTTAAAACAATATAAAATATACGAGTCTTTGAAAGACTACTTCTACTACGTAGTACAACCAAGAGTACATGTTATACACATAGTGTTCTTGCTACAACTGTACATCAACACAAGCCCCGCTGCTGTACATCAACACAATCCCGCTGCTGAAAAACCCTGCGCAGCGTATTGCTGGCTATCTCGGCAGCGATTTATTGTCGTCACCCAGAATTTCTGTGCCGGTACACGTACAGGATCGAAATTGTCAGCACCAATTTAGGCTCATCGTGAAACCTCTCCGCTGTAAACGGACGAAATTAAAATCTCCGCCGGAATTTTTGTAGATTGACAGCATATGTAGCCATAGCCTCAGCACCAGCAGAGCTGCCACAGCAATGTGAAAGCAGACAGCTACAGCACAGTCATAGTACAGAACCATACTAGCGTGGCCCAAGAGCAGTTTGTGCAGCCTACCGAGAGCATTTCCGATAGTCCGGTGCGATTGGCAAGATTGCAGTTCGTGTCACACGGCTGCAGGGTTGTAGAGTTGATGGGCGGTGAGGACGAGAATGGTGGGGCACTGGCCGACGGTAGACCCTTCTTCATCTGCCCAGCCAACGTCAAGTAATCCTTGTTCTTAGCCTGCAGTGCGTACGCTATCAGTGCAGCAGCAGATACAAGTAGAGCGTTGCGGCCGGTGGTGATGAACCAGAGAAACTTGCGTGCAAAGCGGACATGGCGCGGCTTCAACACCTCTTTGTCATTCTCATCCCATTTCATCACAACCGTCTTGAAGTGCTGTGGAGTAACAAGGGAGAGATACAACCACAGAAATCACACATAGTCCTAAGTCGCAGTCACTTTGACATATTATTATTATGTGATTTATGTCATACTCGTACAAGTAGCTGAAATCAGACAATGTCAAAAACAATGTCCCACATCCAGTGAAATCAACACACACACACACACACACACACACACACACACACACACACACACACACACACACACACACACACACACACACACACACATATATGCCCCCCCCCCACACACACCTACACTACTACTACTACTACTACTATAGCATGACTGCCCATTGGGCAATGTCACCCCGGAGGGGGCCAGAGTTTGGAGGGCACCGTCATTGGCAGGACTTCTGGTGCCTCGTCAAATCTTGCTGTCGTCGGAAACGCTTCGGGCAATGCATGCAGATCAGCGGCAGTGATTCCCTATCGGCTGCAGCAAGACGTTTTCCACGGTTGCAGTTATGGCGGTTAAAACCAGCCCGGGACTTGAAGCAGCGATTGCAGCGTTGACAATGCTGAAAGCAGCAACTAGCGAGAGGCGCCGTCAATGCCGTATCTGCATGTTCAGGGAGTGCAGGCTGGCAGCGATGAACTGCAAGCCCACCCTTACTACGGAACCATCGGCAGCAACTGACGCACTGTGCTGAACCACGCTGTTGGTGGACGGGAAGTTGGCGCTCAGCCAAACATTTGTGCCGTGCCTTGTCTTGAGGACGAGAGAAAGCCCGGTTGCAAGATGAGCAGAGTACGGATTTCTCTACTGCCCGAGGAGGCTGAAAAACCAGAACCTGCTCTCGCCAAGCTGACCGGTCTTGTGCGCAATCAAACCAGTTTGGAATGGACTTCGTGTCAGTAGCCACAACGTCTCTCCACCTGCGCCTGGGACCGCAGAAGGGGCGCGCAGCCAACAAACGACCAAACAGCTGCAATGGGACACGGTCCTCCGACATCCGAGCCACATGACCAAGCCACTCTAAACGACGATGGCGCATCTTAACAGAGAGTGGCACTGGGTCACCCCAGTGACGACGTAACTGCGCAGACGTGATGCGATCGGATTGCTGCTGACTGCGAGGGATGGCTAATATTGTGCGGATGCAGCGATGATGGAAGGCATCCAACGCCTACACACGCATATGCCCCCCCCCCCCCCCCCCCCCCCACACACACACACAAACCAACCTTCAGAGCCATAACGATGATCATACAGGAGAGACCCATGATTATGTCACCACCTCTGCAGGTAACACACAAGCAGAGCAATGTCGACACTCAACGGCACTGTACTAACAGTGAGTGGAGGAACACCCTCTTTTCAATTCAGATTTCATGACATCATCATGACAGCATGACATCATCATCATGACATGATGACAAACTCCGCAAGTCCCCAGTCCTCTCTTCAATTTTCAAGTACATTAGGACACACTCCGAAGTCCTTTCGGGCAAACGTCAGGTTAATGACTGTGAATGTGCCCCCCCCCCCCCCCCCATCCACATCAGTTTGTATTCACGTTGCTCCATCCAAACCATAGAAATCATCTTGCCCTTACCGTATATCACCGTGAAACACTTCATAGAACGTTCCATTCACTGCGCCAATAAACGGCCGCGGTACATGCTTCTTCACGCCAAATATGTGCTGAAGAGAGCAGCAGAACAGAAGAAAGTAGTAATGCAGAGTAGCACGGACAAGGATCGGAAGAAAGGCATCGTGACTCTGTGATAGTACCGTCACGAGCACTATGACCATCGAGTTCAGTGCAAACTGCTGGACTAGTGAGTCCGACAGTGCTTGACGCGGCAGATTCACTCGGCGCTGCAAGATTTCTGCATGCGACAGATGCCTGGTGCTTCTCACCCCGAGCAAAGTCGACTCTCCTCCTATACATATGTATGGCATACACAGTTACCGTATTATCTCCCTTATAAACACGGTACTTATATGTTTTCAACCCACCTCGCACCCTTGCTTATAGAGGAGACCGTGATAATACTGGAGACCGTGTTTATATTTTTTCAACCATGAAAAAGTCAAGAAAGTTGCATACCGGTACCACTCAAATTGGAATTTAACTCAGATGTCATGATTAGAGAACAGAAAGAGATCAAAGAAGAGTGACTGCAAGTAAAGTCCCGCACGTGGCCGTGGAGCACTTAAATCTTTGTTTTTTTTTTTTAGCTCTGGGGCATGATCGATTGGGCGAATCCCGAGCAAGTGTGCTCAGAGTGAGCGTGATCGTTTGGTCGAATCCGATCGAATCCGGAGTAGGTGTACTTGGAGTGGAATCCGACCACACCGGCCCCCACACCGGGAGTGGCTGGAGTGGAAATGGACTTTGCCGTTTTTGGACAGCTTTCGCAGAATCTTTGTACGATATGCGTACATTTTGCGTACTACACCCTTGTTTTGTTCGATTGGGCCAGCGTTGCTCGGACCACACCGCCTGCTCGCACTCAATCCAGATTCGCCAATCGATGACACCCCTGGAGTACGAGTTCGAGTACGTACGCGAACGCGTCCGCCCGCATACGTCATTCCAAGGTAAGCGCATGCGTACAGCTGCATTCCAGTATTATCACTGTGACTATGTTGGAGACTGTGCTTGTAATGGAGACCTGTGTTTATAAGAGAGATAATACGGTACGCAGTGATGCCACTACATACAGTGTACATTCTATTGCATGTTCACACCGCATTGCCTTCTTGATCATGCATGCACATTATGGGAAAAACTAGAAAAGTGTACAAATACGGATGCAAGATACCTACCCCCAAGGCCCGTGAGGGGTCTGGCTACGCTTTAATAATGCTTCCTCAGCATGTGAACAGTGGCATGCACGGTTGACACGACTACCAACATCATGCTGACGAGCTACATGCAACTCCAGATTGCAATCTCCATAGGGCAACCGATGCAATATTATTATAATAATGATGGCAAGGCGTTGGCACTTGCCACATTAACCCTGCCTCCCTGCTCCCCCCCCCCCCCCATTTATGATTAAAACTGTATAACATCAGTACTGCAGCTGACCTTGACTTGACCCATGGCAATAGTAATGGCTGCAGCTGAAGTGAAACCACTGATAACCGGCGCTGATATGAAGGACATCATTGCACCTACAGACGCACACACATACATACATCATACACGTGTGCGCGAGCACACACACGCGTGCACACACACACGCATGCACACACACACACACACACACACACACACACACACACACACATGCAGACGCATGCACACACACACACACACATACAGTAAAACCTGTAACTAAAGACCACCGTGACTAGCGACCAGCCTGGTACTACCGACCACTTCGCCAGGCACGGAAGGTCTCACATTCAAAATGCACTGTGACTAGCGACTACCTGCTGAACGCGACCAGCGACCGTCTTTTCCTGTCCCAAAGACCATTTTTGACCCGTAACTAGCGACCGCGATGTAGGAAATCAAATGTTGCTCGAAGCTCCTTCTTGAAATTTTGCTGATTTTCCATGGTCCTGAAAGGAATCTTTCGATACTACAGCTGAACAAATGAACGCAGGGAATTTTGGCTGTGGAGTCGGTGTGGACTGCACTACACCTGTCAAAATTTCAAGCGCTGTCAAGAATAAACATGATAGGAAACGTCTTGGAGAGCGCATCGAAAGCGCTCTCTGATCGATGTGACTACTCGGAGGAGAAACGAAGACTGGGCGGCTCTGTCACCCCAGTCATACAGACGGATCGACAATGGCATCAAGGAATCCAGAAACAAAGCAGCACCACAAGGTCCTGATGCTGAAGGATCGCGTTCAAGCAATCGAGAAGTCACAACAAGGACAGTCAGTACGATTGATCGCATGAACAAATTTGAAGCCCAGCGCAAAACGAAACTAATTACTTCCCCAGGGAACGTTTGACTCCTGGCTTCAGAAGTAGCAGCTGAATTTGAAGTCTGCAAAAAATTAATGTTCTCTCTCTCTGTCTCTCTCTCCATCTCTCCGTCTTTCTCTCCACGTGTTGTTTGACCTGAAATAAGAATGACATTGCGCAAGTACTGGGGAATTGTATTAGCTGCATTTTGACATACATATCATAATAATGGGATCCATATGGTCACGCGGTGCAAACCTCTAACTAAAGACCACCTGCTACTAAAGACCGCTTTTGCGGGCATCAAGGGGTGGTCGGTAGTCACAGGTTTTACTGTACATGCACAAAGCGGCCGACTAGATATAGATCGAGGCCGTGTGCTGGTACACTCTAAAAAGAGACTCTGCCTACATAGTAATGCACTGCCCTATGCCTGGAAGTTGGCAGATATCATCCAGAGGTCTAGAGCAGCAGTGGCAGGTCACAGCTTCTACAATAAAATAAATACGAGCTCGTACAGTACATCAGAGACATCACTGACTAATACTGCATGTGACACAGAATTGTGCAGCATACTTGTGCGCCCCCGCCAACAGAAAACCAGAGGCAGCTACAGAAGAAGAGCGGAATCTGACCAACGTTTCTGTTTTTGTTTTGTTTTTTTCGATGGCCGAATTATTATTCAGCTTTCAGCTTGAAGACCAGCGCAAATGTGCCTCCGTTGTGGATACAGACGCACGGAGAACAACATATGACATAGTCATATGACATAGTCACATGACATAGTCACATGACGTCATGACATAGTCACAAGACATACGACTGACGACTCATCAGGCCCAAAGGGTGCAGTCAAGCCTCAGAGTCGCCTGCCAATGCAGCGTACAGCCACAGAGCGGCTTCACACTACATGCACCCGTACGCGGTTCATACTAAGTAGTCTACTCGTGAACAACAATAATAGCTTCAGACCAAGTAGACTGCATACTTCCAATCGCGCAAATAACGATAACACGCGAATAAGAACACCGTTTTCAGGGTCGTCATTTGCAAGTCTGACAGACATAAACGTCAGTACCTGTATACAACCGAGGCGCTGTATATCCAAGGCCTAGGGACTGGCATACCGTCATGCAGGGTCGTCCAAAATAGTGCTCTACAGTCAACTTCGCATATTGCGACACTCGGCGGGGCATCCGAAAAGTGTCCTTATTCGCGAAGTCTCATTATATGTATTACAGTTAGATTGGACTTTGCTCTGGGCATGGAAATTCTGTCGTTATTCGCGAATGGGACGTATGCATCAATTTCCCGCCGTTAGGTTTTGCGGTGCAAGTCCACTACAACCGTACGTACTGTGATACCAACTCTGCAAAAAAGGTCATGAACTTTGTGAGGTCATACTCATAAATGTACTAGAACGGGCTGTACCTGCCAAGTATGGGGTAACTTGCTCCAGAAAAAGGTGACGGCCATCTTACATGCATACTTCCCATTGTCGTTATATCCGCAGTCGTTATTAGCGAAGTTGACTGTATATCCCAGAGTATGCTATGTCCAGTGTACTGTATATCCCAGAGTATGCTATGTACACTGTATACTGTAATGAACTGTTTCCCTGTACATACATATTACGTACCAGTGCTTACCAAGTCTAAACATGCTCATCAATAGCTGGACGACACCACATATCAGTGACAAGGTTACGGCATAGTTAACGCCATACGTGCTCGGGTCAGCCACACGGTTTACCATCAGAGACATGATGGCGGTCGGGCCAAGAGTCACGTCTTTCGCAGAGCCAACAAATAAGTACGCCAGACAACCCATGAAGGAGGAATAGAGACCATACTGCAGCGAACGCAAAACAAAAGCGTCCGGGCAACAAGTCAGATACATGTATACGTCCGCACATGTTGGAACTTTTTTTTACAAAGTAGGTTGATGGCAACACTAGCCACACTGCAATTTCACACAATCGATCACAGATAGCGGATCAACGTCTCGGTCACTATGGTATGGTATTTTTTTATTATTATTCACCAATCGAACAGGCATATCTGCCTTCTTGCCGGGATGGCCAGAGCCAACCACGACTCCTACTAATTGATGAATATGACCATCTTCAGAATGAAGTGGGCCAGGAAGCAAGGCAGATATACAGCATGTAACAAAGTACTGTAAGTCCACAAATATTCGGCGCATACTTATTTTCGGCTATTTTCGGCCTGGTCATGTTTGGCTGAAAATTTGTTGCAGCCGAAATTTCGTTTTGCAAGGCTCAGTGTGACAGTGAATGCAGACGGCAGCAGTACAGGCCGAAAATTAGATGCGGCCGAAATGGGTTTTAGCCCTGGGAGGCCGAAATTTGAATGGGCTGAAAATTTGTACAGTATCAGGTTTTTTTCGGAGTATAAGCCGCACCACCACCCCCCCCCCCTTTTTGGGTGAATTTTGAGTGTTCAAAGGGCGGCTTACACTCCGGAAAATACGGTAGGTGAACATGTCACAAGTCACATGCTAGAAGTGGAGATGTCCTCACATTATGTGAGAGGTAAGGGTGGTGAGGTGTACAGTTTGTGGGTGATAAAGTTTCAGACGAACAACATTCCCAGCACATCGAAAGAAAGAAAGTAAGCGCACTCATACCACGCCAACAATGGAACAGTATTGAAGGATTTGAAAGTCGTTTTCATGTATTTTCATGTTGTCGTGGTATGAGTGAGCTTTCTTTCGATATTAGGTTTCTTGTCTCCACGCCGGCATTCCCAGCATAGGCTGACAAACCAGTTGACATGAGGCTCAGTGCCGTAAAGCCAGTGCGCATCATGCATTACAGTGCTGCATGCTCACACTTTGAGTGTGTGTGGATGTTGTGCTTGCATACATGTACATGTATTGCACATCGACCAGGTGATATATTGGAGACTCCTCGTCGTCAGTGTTATTTCATTCTAGTGCGACCGTGCAACAAATCTTGCCTGGCTGCACTGTATGATGCTAAGCTAAAACCTGAACCGTGCATACAAGTATGTGTGAACGTTCACACTGCGCTGCCCTGACAATGCAGTACTGTGGTCCCCTTTGTTGTATGAAATGCTCTGTATTTCTCGATAAATATTTTTTTCGGATTGTACGGCAGTTACGTACCATCTGGATCTGATAATTGTCAACTGCGCTGCTCTGTACGTGCGTTTGAATGACTGCACAGAATATGCTATGTTTTTTAATCGGAAATTGTTGTCTCCACGGCCACGCCATTATAATAATTATATTTTCAAAATATTCAAAAATTTTACGACTGGTGAAAATACAAAAAGATCAACAGTACTCATGACTCGACTAGTATCAACAGCATTATCATACCTCATGCGGTAATCCAGCAATTCCAGCGTAGGCAATTGCCTGAGGCACGACCATCAAGCCTACTGTGAGTCCAGCAGTAAAGTCGCTCTGCAAATCGTACATAGAGTACTTCGGCAACCAGCGCACAATTGGAAAGCCAGGGAGCCATTCTTTGACATTCTTCAGCGTCAAAGACTGGCGTACGGTAGCCAGTGTCAGGCCCCTATTCTCTCTGGAGAAGCTCATCTGCTCGTCGTTGAGAAGAGATAAGGGTCGTCCTCTGGACAAACGGTCTCGTCTGGAATACATTGGTTTGGGAAAAGTCCACCAACAACCAGTTGGTACACTCCTACTGTACTTATATGTTCAAACGGCACCAGCCAGTGCCAGACTCAGCTTGCCACGCATCGAGGCGTGTTGACAAGTAATAACAGTTGGTCTCGTGCCAGAACTAAGATACCTTCGCCCTCGGCCAGGCCAGCACAGCTACACAAGTACAGGGATATCTACAAGAGAGTGGAGGAGAACTCTGCTAGCTGGGATTTGAGAAGGATGGGTCTCGTGGCTCCGAGTCCGCGATCCGACACTGCGACAGCCGACATGCAGTCTCCTTCACCAGTCATCATCTGGTCATCGGTACAGCCAGTGCACCGCGAACTGCACGATAGGGAAAATCCCAATCCAGGATTTGGGTCACGTGGAAACTTCGTGCTTCTTTCTAGCAGGCGAAAGTCAGATGTGCGACTGCGCATATATATGCGGGGCTCGAACAAATGCAAGTCACAAACTCACAAAGATCGTCTTTGCATTTGGAGAAAATATCTTCGACTCTCTTTGGAGGTTGGCGAGGTTTGCCTAATCTTTACTTGATTGCGATGCCGGTATGTCCAGACAGGAGGAAGAAGAACACCGTGAAAAATAACGGCAACGATGCCCAAACTCTCGGGAAACGGCTGAAGTCTTCCTGAAGATGTTAACATTGAATAGCCATCGATTACCAGCGTGGTTTGGTGACTTTAGAACTGTTTTGAGACTTAGAACGAAGCGATATCTCAAATTTGATGGAATTGTTACCTGTCAAATGCGTGGGCGAGCAGGCCAGCTGACGGGTACATGGTGGGCATGGTTATGCATGAGCATGCATTGATTTTTCGTGGTTCACGTGCAGAAAACTAAGTAAGTAACTAATTACTTTAGTTGCCGCGATCCAAGTGCAGCTAACAGCCGTGACCTACCCAGCATTTCACGATTTAAAATTTGATGTGCAGCTTCTACTCCGGAAAATACAGTACGTACTCAAGATGATGAGACCTGAGTCTGTGAGGGCACCAGCAAGTACTAGTAGACCTTCTCTAGCCCCCCCCCCCCCCCCCCCCCACACACACACAAACATGCACGTCACCCCCCCCCCCCCCCCCCCCCCCCACCACCACCACACACACATACATGTACATGCTCGACCCCGCGTACACACAGACAAATAGCCTGGACGTCAAGTACAGGTTGACGCCTTTACTTACAACAGCGCGGAGTACGCATCTTCCACAAGCAAACTATGGTCGATGTACATTGAGTCTGTGATAGTTGGGAGAGCTCAGGTTCGGTTCACTTCAGAATTGGCCAAGAAAAGCATAAAAAAAGTCATAGACACTATAATATTATACTAAGATAATCAAGAGTAAACCGTCAAGTACATAGACCATTCTTGATCACAAAATAATTAATGTCAACATTCAGCCGCACAATCGCCAGTTAGTTGAAATGGGCAGTAGAATACAAGGGTCGGTACAAAGACCACTGGCGTACACACTGAACTAGCCCAGGTCAAGCATGCGGCTTGATTCCGGCCAACCACGCTGACCATGGTCAGCGCGAGGTCGCAAGACAACCAGTCCACTAACCGACTCAGGTCACGATGTGCACGCCGCCGCTTTCTGCAGAGACACAACACACTGACTCACAGTGCCGGGGGGGGGGGGGGGGGGGGTACTTCAGCAATGTGTGAAATACAATACGACACAGCAATGACTATGTACATGTACTACACCCTGTGCTGTACTACGGAGGGAACAAAAAAATAGTTTAAAATACTAGGAAAATTGTTAACTTGTCAGCAATCATCTGAGGCACACAGGACGAGAAGTCCAAGTGTATTGAACTCACTCAAAAAGAAAAGAAGAAAAAAGACATGCCACTTCAGCAAAATACGTTTCTAGTGCAGAGAGTGACGGTACTACTTCAAATATACTCTGGCTCTGGTGGTACGTTAATTAAAAAAAAGCCAGGAAAATTTGTAGAATTTCTAGAACTAGAGAATAGAAATAGAGGAGTCGTTAATAAATCTAAGCAGGCACCGCTGCTGGGTTGTCCGGGCCTGGCAATGCCATAGACATAGTTCATAGCGCTGCTGAAGCGCAGCATGCCTTCTCTGGGCTGAAACGTATGGTGAGACAGTCACTCGTCTTTCTTGCCCGTCGGCAAACGCGGATATACCAGGAGCAGCCCACATTGTATGCTGCACAGCACTAGGCCCAAAGAGTTGGGGACCTGCAGGTAAAGAAGACATGGAAGAAAATATAGCAGGAAGAGAGATTGAAAGAGAGATTGAGATTCAGAACTGTTGTCTGATAACTGGTTGGCAAACCATGGAGCTCCGACTTACAACAGACTAAAAGTGTTTTTAAACTTTCCTTCGTGTACATCTTGTGTACTGTGCTCTACCAACCACAGGCATTGGGGACTCTAGCAGGTACAAGGTGTAGTGCCACTGGGAGATCGAGATAGAGATTGACAGTTAGATATATAGATAGATAGAGAGAGAGAGAGAGAGAGAGAGAGAGAGAGAGAGAGAGAGAGAGAGAGAGAGAGAGAGAGAGAGAGAGAGAGAGAGAGAGAGAGAGAGAGAGAGAGAGAGAGAGAGAGAGAGAGAGAGAGAGAGAGAGAGAGAGAGAGAGAGAGAGAGAGAGAGAGAGAGAGAGAGAGAGAGACTGTAAGTCTACAAATGTTCAGCAGATTTAAATTTCAGCCTCCGAGGCTAAACGCTTTTTAGCCGCATCAGAGTAAAGATGGACAGGACAGGACAGCACTTACAATGATGAAAATGTCGTTGATGACAATGCCATATGCACTCCAGACAGCTGCACTGAGCCAGTTAGCCAGGATGAGTGGCGGTGACATTGATGATGTGTTACGCTGCTTGATTACCTCTTGCTGTGGACAACAAACAACACACAGGATGTGAATGAAAAAGACAATGATAAACAGCAAACAACAACATAGAAACGCAGCTGCAGCAATACACCATACTGACACGGGTGTGGGGGTGGAATGCGTTTTGGTCAACCTGGCAAATATGAAACACTATTGACTTTCATGCTCCCTCCCCTCTCTCTCTCTCTCTCTTTTCCGGAACTTTCCACACCGGAATAAGTCCAGAGTGCAAATCCACAAGCGAGACAGCTGGGAAGTACAAAGTCATGGCAGCAGTGCGTCTACTTTCTACATGTGCTAGCATATGTGCTTAGACAGTAGTTGTGATGTTTTCCGGGTTTGGAGTTTAATTCACATCAATGAAATAAGAAACAAGTAATAATAATTAGTTGATGTCTGCCTTTACTACAAGTAATGTTAGCCCTACATACCAACGTGCCCAGCGGAGCTGCATACACGGATATCGTCAGCGAGTTGCACACCAGACCCATTGCTAGCATTGCCTTGTGCGCATCAACAAACCGGTGGACGAGTGCCACGGACGGAAATACAAACAGTGCTAGGTAGAAGACGAAGCGAAGTTCGGAGAAGAGTTGCACCTAGAACAGAAACAGGCAATCACACCAAACCAAATTGGCCAACAATATGATCATACCGGGAAAACAAAGAGCTGCTATGAAGACAAAGTCCAAGGAACCAGTGCCGTGGTCGAATGTGACACTGCAGGGGAGCATTCCCAACAAGAGATGGGGAGAGCAGATGCTGTTAACAACGCAAAGTCAACATAACGCAGCAGACGCCTGAAGAGAGGACATTACCGATAAACTCAATCCCCTGCATGTTTACTCCCGTCCACACCCATAACAATGTACTCATTTCTGCTGACCAGCAGCAACAGTTGGAACAGGAAGGGCAGCGAAAAGAACACAGCAGCTGCACCAGCAGCAGTGGTAGCAGCAAAAACAAGACAACAGCAGTGGTAGCAGCAAAAACAAGACAACTGCAGTCACAGCAGCAGCGACAGATGTACAAGCCAGCAGAGAAACTAGAAAGATTCTAGCAAGTCTGGCGCGTGACAACACACCATACCGCAGTAGGACAACACATCTTACCGCAGTATGACAGTAGGCATAGTAGATAGCAATGTAGATGGTGAACAAGAACAGCGAAAAGCTATTGATGCGTATCAGCATGGAGTTGACTGACAGTAAACCATACACTAACCAGAAGATGGAGCTGCAGCAAGACAACGCATTGACAATCGTAGTTACAATACACATACATAGGAAACAAGGCGTCAAGCATAACTGTGAGACAAAGATCATGCTGATAATACATATGCACTTTCCACAATGCACACACGCCACACAGCACATTTTTACAGCGCTCACAATGCACACACGCCACACAGCACATTTTGCACAGCGCTCACAACGCACACATGCCACACAGCACATTCTTACAGTGCTCCTGAATGAAATCCGATCGCGTTCGTCAAGCTTGCACCCTGAGCCAGTTCACATCCAAGCGTTTAGAGGTCTAGGGCTGCATAGTGCCATGGTGTGGCCTAAACTCGCTTGATCGGATTTCATTGAGCAGTACTTTTAGATACGATGCCGAAGCACAATCCTAGTACAGTAATAATTATAACATGTGATTTTAGGTGTATTGAAATTTCGATGTCAGGGACCTGCCAGGTTTCAGGTATAATGTAGAATTAGGTGACCAGCCTACCCCTCACATACAGTGTGTACTCTTGCGCCTTTTAGGTATAATCTAAATTTAGGTGCCTGGTTTCTCTACCGAAATACCGAAAAGTTAAAATTACACCGAAAATAACGTGCTACCGTATTATCTCTAATATAAGCACAGTCTGCAATAATAGCACGTCTCCAATAATAGAACACCTTGGGGCGGCATTCAAAAAATAAAGTGCTCAGTCTCCATTATAAGCACACTGTGTAAATTCATTATCTGTACCGGCGAAAAAAACCCTGAAATGTGTGTGTCTGACATGAATTTGGCATGGCAACATGCCTCTGAAATGAGGTTGAAATAATAATGGAACAGTCTCCAATAAAGGAACGTCTCCATTAATAGCACGGAGCGGAGGTACATTGAAAAAATAAAGGACCGTGCTTATATTAGAGGTAATACGGTATACTGTGCAGTAGTGTACGCACTGCTGCTACATTGTACATGCTACTCACCTGGAGAAAGTAGAAACTAGGGGTAGTGACGCCGTGTTGCCGGTGGTCTTCTGTTTGTAAAACTCTATACTTGCAAACCTGCCAGCAAGTACAAAGGTGCAGAACACAAACATGCACATCGCACACGATGCATCAACGCTACATACATGTAGACATAACGCAGCAAGCAGTTCGGACGGGATTCGTAGTATCCTCACGTAAAGCATGTGTGAGTCAGTTATCGATCATGCAGGTCACACCTTTGACCTTTGGTGCCCATCGCCGGAGGCGATGATAGCAATGCTACGGCAGAAGCCATAGCAACTTGTGCTGGGATTGCACCATTCAACAGCTTGCAAGGCTGAAGAATTGACCGTCACTATTCAGCCTGGTCTACACCATACAGCTATTTTGAAGTGACTTTCTCTGGCCAGTGAATCCCTATTTTTGGTCTTTTCAATTTTCAGCAGGTCACACACACACACACACACACACACACACACACACACACACACACACACACACACACACACACACACACACACACACACACACACATATTCTTCACCATATTGTAGGAGCCAGACCATTGGTCTGGTGAGAAGGCATCCGTGCCTGTTCATTTGATGAAGTAAACTAAATACTTCTTCTACTACTAGTACATAGTACTCAACGAAGGAAAGGTGACAAGCCAGTCAGAGGACGAGAAGAGGAGTTCGAAAAAGGCTGGGCCGAAAGATCACACCTCCAACACTGATGGATGACTGATCTGGTCTTCTTCACAAGGGCTAGTTTTTCCCTGCCAATGGTCACGCACCTTGAATTCAGGCCCTCATTGCGTTTCACATCCCTGCGACTCTACGTCCATAGCCACGACAGCCCATAGTCGCGGCCAGAGCTTGAAAAGCAACTGCAACATTTATTTAGGTCACGTGCATGCCATTGCCATCCAAACTTGGCCGCTTGATCGCATGGATGCGTGCTTTGGTGCAGAGTGAGTTTTACAAATGTGGGCAAGAATAAGAATTACTGACGTAGTCATGGGAGAAGTCTATGCCAGCATGTGTTGTCCGCTTGCGGGATAAAGTCAAACGGTGTGGCTTGGCCTCCACGACAGTCGATTCTGCAGTGAACAGTTACACCCTGGTCTGGGACTAGCTCAGCGGCGATTCGAAATTGCCTGGAACGCGTTGCAGATGCCGCTGCATATGCTGCGGCGTTGGGCACGCCATTCCATGGCTGCAACCTGCATGACTGTGCCACTGTACCAGCTGTCATCTCTATTGTAGGTGTTTATACGTTACAGGCTGTGTGCTAATCTAGCAATGCAAGGGCCAGCTTGAGTGGAGGTAGGTAGTATGAAGGAGAAACTGACCGGATGAACCTCGTGTCTTTTCATCCTTTCTTGGCAGTGCTTCTTTTCTCTTGTATCATAATGTCTCTATAACCGAATCAGTAATCCAGTATTCGGCAGTGTTCTAGTGTGTCGACACGTGGGGGAACCTGGGCCAGTAGAGATTCGCCACCAAGTAGCACTTTATCTCCATGCGCAGTTGATAATATGATACCCCCGCTGCATTCTGATCATGATCCCGGGCTGAAAATAAAATCGATAAAACAACTCTCTGTTGCAGCGGAAGAGACAAGGAAGGAAGCAGTTCTACAAGTTCTGGCTCATGAATCGTTTTCGAACGTCACTTCAGAAGTACATCATGAATCTACTCTAGATCCAATACGGTTAGACCTATGGTTCACTTACAATGGTGAGGCATAGCAGATGAGATTGGAGGTGGACGCCGCCAGGGCAAAGATTTCCTCAAGCTCCATCACTGATGGTTATTCGACTTTCAGCTTTTGTAACAATCACACCACCACAGTGTATTACATGTATTCTACAAGGAAACCACACTGGCCAGCGTTCGGTACAAACCAATGACTACACAGGAAATGACGAGCAAGAAGGATTTTGTCTTGGCCTATGGCTTGGGTCGAGAAGACTATTGCATGAAAGGGCATAACCGTTTATCGACTTTATCCTTTGTACTGACTACTGAGCCAATTTGTAGTGTTTGGCCATTAACCCTTTATGGGTCTCACATAAGCGTAAGGGTCGTATGTGACCCTTACAGTAAAATCGCATTTTCTGTGAGTTTTGTTGCTAGGAGACAACTAAAATGGTGCTCCACTCGTAGCTGAGGTCCCAGGCTTTCCAACGGTGTAAAAAACAACCATACTTACCATACAAATTTTTGCAGTATCGATCGACTGAAGTCTGGCGAAATTGGAAAAGACGACCATCCGCCATGCGCGCATTTCGAGAATGGGAGTGCATCTCTTGAAGCCGTGTCAGAAAAGCTTTCTGAGGACACTGACGGCGCCAGTCTAGGCTGGATGTCCCTGGAGGATTTCCAGTGTAATGTCGTGAGAAAGAGAGCTCCGTTGAGTCCTCCTAGCTCAAATAAATCGTCCCCGAATGAAGAAATCAAATTTACCAACCAGCGAGGAAGCACAGCAACAGCAACTCTTACAAGGACTTGTCAGGTGCGATCAGCTGATTCGCCTGGCCGTGAGAATCACGGCACGCGTGACATCGCGCCTGAGTACGAGGTGATTTGTAAAAATTTTACATGGCATATTATTTTACAAATCGAGTAAAATATCACTGTTGAGGACGATTGCATTCTTCCCATGAAGTGTTTTTGTTAGTTCGACAGACAAGTGAGTTGCCATTGTAATGTAGTTTGTAAGCATCAGCAGCGTTTAGCGGAATTGTTTTCTTCCACGGCCTTGTGAGATGTCAATCATGGATCGAAATTCGTGAATTTGTGGTCAATGAGGTAAAATATCCCTCAATGGATGCTTGAAGGACGTCCAAGAGCCAGCGAGCATATTCTACGGCAGGTGGAAACCCTAGGCTGGTCACCGATGCCAGCATTGAGTCTGTCACACCGTCAAAGTAGCAGGGCTGAAGAAGAGATTAGCCAAAAAGGTGAAGGTCAGAAACTGCAATTTTGACAAAAGGTGTCTTTCACTCACCTTTCATGAAAGGTGATTCAAATCCAAGTCCGAAGCTGCTGATGCTTATGGCATACAGGTTAATAATTAGCTGTTCAGTAGAGCTGCGTATGAAACTCAGCTTGCTACCTCAGAAGTGCTGGTAGAGATTCACGATGGCAAAGTGCAAATTCAGGAAATGCGGCATTGATGTATGTTGGGGGTTGACGGCGGAGCACCCATTGAGGGTGGTCTGCAGTCTTCTTCCAACACAGAGGTATTATGAATCAGGTGAAGGAGTCACTGCACTTGTCTTGGAGAGTATGGAAGCCCCAACATTGTCAGTATGTGCCGGTTAAATGCACTGTGGCCCAGATGCACGAAGGCACCCTGTCGTGGGACGGCCGGCGCGCATCATGGATGGTATTTTGCTTAGTGTGGTTATTTCACGTAAGAGGATGCACTGCAAGTTGAAAGAAATGGAGCAGCAAGATAAGGTCTGCGTTCTCATGCTCTACAATGCCGGCAGGCAGTCAAAGATACCCTACCGTTTGGAACCGCAGTTGACGACGTACAGAAACCAATACGTAGGGCAACCTGCAAAAGCAGTCTGCTTTCTCTGCATGTGACTTGCTTCAGATGTATCTTGATTTCCCATTGCAAGCTTATTGACACATTCAGGTCATATTTGTTGATGTTATACCCTATTTTACTGACTTGTAAAATTTTGTACACACTTTTTCTGGGTGAAAAAATGCATGCAAAGCAACCCCACACTGTGTCTCTCATGTTTGTGGTGTTCGATCAAGAAGTCCACAGGTGGATAGAGGACATGCATAGTGACAGAATGAGACCATGCACACTTCAAAACTCGCCAGGGCAACGGAATGATAGCCTTTTTTACTTTCATGTAAAATTATTACAAATCACCTCGTACTCATCTGAGCGAGAGTGAATCTGACGCGAGCGGCGCTGAGGTGAACGAACCAAAATTGTGATATTGTGGAACTGTTGCTGCTGGTGCATCGCCGACGGCGAGGTATTGGAGTTCAAGGACGGAATTAGGAGCATATATTCTTCACCAAGACGTAGCGCTTACCTGATTGTTTATCATAGGACTTCAGCTCCATCACGAACTTGGGATGCACTTCGTGCTGTGATTTTTGTGCTTTTTTGTTCGCAATTGTATTTTCTCTCAACTTGAAGGGCTACCACGGGTCATATCCTTGCCTGGACATAGTCATATTTGTGTTTTCTGGACGCGTCCAGGCATACAGATTTTGAAAATATATAGTTTACCCATACCTACAACTCACGGAACTTGAGTTATGGCTCGTTGTTTGTACGCGTGTTTGCGTGACCACCCCTCACATACATTGAGTAAGACCCACAAAGGGTTAAAATTTCATTTTCAGGTCTTCGCATCGTGTTCGGTTCCCGATACAGTAGATTTGAGAGGAGGTGTGAACGTCCCATGACAAGTGGCACGTGCGTCACCATGGTCACGCACGTCACTCGATCAGCACATGTGCACAGTAGCAGTACAGTACGTAGACCTACGTGCAGCGTGCATGAGAACGAGATAGATAGTCATGATCAATCCTTCTTTTCTGCTGTCTTGCACGAAAACACTCGATTTTCGTCCTTGTTTGATTTAGTTCGTCGGATGAACGCTGCTTCTTGGGAATAGCACTAAGCTTTCAAGGACACTGGAAATAAACTACAGTGGGGAAGACCATGGCTTCCCGTAAGCGCTTTGCTCCGAGTTTGGCTGCAAGAAAGCCTCCCACACCTGCCATTTCCACTTCAGCAGAATCAACAGCAGCCAGCACGACTTCAGTCACAGCACCCACCGTTACTGCTCGGCCGACGTCAACGGCTGGAGAAGCCTCTGGTGCAGCCAAAAAGGTCTCGTCCAGTGAAGCACAGCCCGTGGTAGGTTATGAATAGCTCTGCATGTCATGTCAGGTCAGGTGTATTTCAGTTCATCTAGAGCACGTGTTCATGGGAGAAGATAAACATTTTAAACTATAATCTCATTCATACTTCAGGAAAGGATAATATCACACTTTACATGAGGAATGTGTTTGGGCTCAACTTTGTCGTACAAACTAATATGGGAAGGGACTTTGGAGTACATTCACCACCATGTTCTATTTTCCAGACCTCGGGAACCGGATAATCGAACACACATACTGCATGTATGAATGACATATGCTGTAAATCGGTAACCAATGATTTTCTTCCGGATGGCGAGGGATCAGGATAAAAGAGGACCGGATAAGCGAGGTCTGCCTGTACATTCCTGTGGACTATGCCGGCTTTATGCAGAATGTCTCGAAAACGCCTATAGTGCGGAAAAGTGCGCGTTCACGGAATCCCATTATCCTGTGGGGACAGGCTGGAGCGTTCTATATTGCAAAGTGTGGTGCTCCTTATGGCTCAACTGACGTATATGCTCTGTGTGGCAGTGGTGGGTCAGTTAGGTGTTACAGCACTGTCAGGCGCCGAAGAACGGCCAGGCTAGAATTTCACCATTTTTTAAGAACGTCTAGGCTGGATTTTTTGCAGATAAGAACGGAAACCGTGATGTGCACTATAATGTACACTCAGACGTATAGCTCTGCATACATGTACAGGTAAGACTGTACCATCGAATAAGAACGAAACTGATATGTTCTAGGGCTGCAACGGGTAAGAGTTTGGTCGGTAATGGGTTCGGGTATTTTTATCCGGGTAGCATTGGTACCCCATCGGGTATTTTTGACACAGTTTGTACTGTGAGTGTGCACTTGTGCTACATACTAGTAGAAAGTGTACAGTAAGCACGTAGCTGTGCTGTTTACATGCATCGTTGCAAAAACACCGTACTCTCAACTACCCGCTCGGATTCTCGGGAGCAATTAATTGCTACCCTACTACCAGATCAAATTACGGGTAGCACGGGTACCCTACTACTCGCTGACTTCCCTACTATGTTCGCTAAAAATAAAAACAGGCTAGGCTGGAACCCTGACCCACTGTTCTTTGGCGCCCGACAGTGCTGTAGTCATGCTGGCAAGGAGCGCGAGCTTCACACTAGGAGCCGTAGACTTCGTCAAATGTAGAGGAAAAAAACTCTTGTGGTCTATACTTTACAAAGGCATTGTAGCATATTTATATTGGGCGCTGCGTAAATCCCACTTTCTTGCGTGCAATGTTGAGCTGGAGATCCTGGAAGACTATGGGATGTCTGGCCAGGCTTGTTTTCTTTACCACTTGCATTGTTCGTTCTAACCCAGAGTACAGGTGCCTGGAGCATTAATTGAGTTTGTGTTACCTTGCTGATTGTCCCAAGGCAGTGAAAATGAGAACCCCGCCACCTGAGCAAGCCGGGCGCACCGTTGAACGAAGACGGCTCAAAATTGTCCGGAAGAACTGCTCACGCAGCATACAGGAGTGAGGAGCTAATTCTCCCATCTCCCCTTAGTTGTATATCCAGAAATACATTCTACAGTACAGTCTTCCCATACTATAATAGTTTTCGATGATATCATGCAGCGCCAAAGTAGCCGCAGAACCCATGGCTCAGAGTAAAGTGCTTGCCTTGGTCCCCGGTTATCTTGATACGGATAGTGAGTGACACGTCCTGGCTGCGGAATGCCTGGATGGTATCCAGACTGTGTGATCAGTGCATAGATTGAGTCTGCAGTAAACCCTGCTGTGGGTATTTACTATTTGGGGTTTTCTTTTTCTTTTCAGGAGAACGTAACAACAACAGCAGCAGCAGCAGCGGAAGCCACAACCACAACGGGTGTGTCCGCGGCACCTCCCAGGCCGAAACCAGTCGCCACACAGGCCCTTCCGTCGTCCTCGTCTGAGTCAGGCAGTAGTGTCAGCAGCACTGCTAGCAGTAGGCCTGAACCGGCGGCCGTCACACAAGGTCAGTCGTTCATTGCAGCCGCTAGCGCCAGCACTACCAGCTTCTCTGCAGCAGCTCCTTCCCAGCCGAGTGTGACGTCGGTGAGAAGCTCTGTGGCAAGTGTCTCTGCGTCAGCTGTCAGCAGCACAAGGTATGGCTTCAAGGTCTCTAGTCTTAGAATATTTGGTTGTTAGTTTTGTGTAGTGGCACACAGCGCCAGACTTAATCTTTAATACTGTAAGTCAACGAATATTCAACGCATATTTATTTTCAGCTATATTCGGCCTGGTGATGTTTGGGCGAAAATTTGTAGCGGCCGAAATTTTTGTTTTGCAAGGTTCAATCATTGTGACAGTGTATACAGGCGGCAGCAGTACGTGCCGAAAATTTGATGCAGCCGAAATGGGTTTTAGCCCTGGGAGGCTGAAAATTTGTAGACTTACAGTATGTGATAGATAATTTCTTTCAGGCTGTCCCGAGTAGCTGTCCTTGTTCTGCATGATTTCTGCTTGGTTTTTGCAAGTTTTGGTTACATATGCGTTGTCCTTTCTCCATGTTCTATGTGTGTGCGTGTCTGTTTGTATGCAGTTCCGTAGCTAGTTCAACCACTTCTGGAGATCCTCCGGCATCGTCGCCACCTGCAACAGCATCAACAACAACAGCTGCAGCGGGCAATGGTAAAACGTGCTTTGTTAAATGAATGCAGTACCTGTAGCTTCGTGGGTGCATTGGTAATGCATTGCGTAATCTATTTCCCCTCAAAGTGGAGGTATCCACGTCGGCGATATTTGAGGAATTGTGTGTTGCTCCCTACTTGGGAGCTCGCACTTTCCCTGCCAACTTGACTTGACACTTGACTGCCAGCCAGACTGTTCCCGTAGTCTCTTCAATGGCAAATCATTTCGGTGTTATTGGCTTGTAGTGTTGTTGTTTTTTATTATATATTTTTTTCTCTTCTTTTGCCTCAGGTGTTGTGAGTACGTCAACTGAAGATGATTCAGTGTTTGTCGCGGCCAATGTCAGCGTGAGCACTAAGCAGACGCGCACGCGCAAGCGTGCTGCTCCGTCGCAGTCCACTTCACCGTCGTCGTCGTCTTCAGCAGCAATACGTAAACCAGCGGCGAAGACGCCGGCTAAGCCACGGCGAACCCGAGCTAAGAAAGGAGCTGCTTCAACGTCTGCCTCTACCTCGACAGAGCCGACGGAGGAGAGCAGTGACATGGCGACCAGCACCAGCACCTCGGCTAAGCCAGGTGCTAAGAAGAAAACCAGGGTAAGCGTGTGGATATGACCTGTAATAAATGGGTGTGTGTGGGCGTGTGGGTGTGTGTCTGCATGTTTTACATCAATTAAAGACTCGAGTACAGCTTTATTAGCATTCATGTTTTTGCTTTTGTTCTTTGATTTCCTTAGTAACGTTATCCCATGCTGTCAATGTAGTGAAATATCTCTATGATACAGCTCCCATTGGGAACATGCAGACTGTGCATATACACATTGATCATACTGTACTAGAATTCCATTGTGTTCTGGATAGATCTGTACTTGCTATTTCACGGAGGAGTTCTGTGTTTCTGGCTTTGCTGCAAATTGCAGGAATCTCGCGGTACGTTGTCGGAAGCACCAGAACCAACCAAGATCAGAATGAGAGACCTGGTGCGACTCAACCCGTCGGCAAACCCCATGTCGGGTAGTTCCGACAAAGATAAATCACAGGGGCAAGGCAGTACACCTAGCGTGTCCGAGGTGGTCACCACTGTATCCAACGTGCCACCGGCAGAGTCGGTCTCGTCTCCGTCCACCGCTGATGCTGCAAATGCGGACAGTGAAGCTGGCTCTGTGACTATGGCACCACAGGTGCGAGTGGCAGAGGATGGCTCCATCGTTATTGACGAATCTAGGTAAATAATTGCTGACATTGTTCGTTGCTTTACAGTGCATGGCTGGACTGGTGTTGGTCAACACATGTTCTCAGTCCATTGTATCACTAGTGTTTCTGTAGGTGTGTGTGTGTGCGCGCGCCCGAGTGGGGGTGTTTTTGTGTGTGGGTGTGTACATGTATGTGTGTGTGTGTGCGTGTAAAGTCGTTCTGCTTACAAAGCCAAAGTCAGCCAGAAAGTTTGGAATATCTCAGAGTGTAGTGACTCTCAACGGTAGACATAATCGTCTCAAGGAAATTTGGTTACATACACCACTGCTTGGCACCGGAGGGTAGCACGGATTCCACGAGTGGGATGTTCAGTCGCTGACCACTTTGTTGTGGGTCTCATCTACTCACCTCCCACCATGCTTTAGGAGCTGCATATGTGTCTTGATTCTTTGAGGGTGATGGCTTTCCTACGGATGCAGAAAATTCAGTCCGACCGCGTTCACTCGAACGTTTTTTTCTCTCTCGTTTTCTTCTTCTTTAAATATGACTGCTTGCCCGGTTTGTGGTCAGACCAGCTTGTATCATGCTTTGCTTGAATCTGTGTTCTCTTGCCTGTGTAGCTTGATCTTGCAGACGACGGCATCTGAGCGAGCTGTGGGTGATGATCGAGCCGTGCTCGTGGACCCCGACATGCCGGCCACCTACACGTCGTTCAGGAAGCGTGACAAGATGGACCGCTGGACAAAGAAAGGTTTGTGTGTGTGTGTGTGTGTGTGTGTGTGTGTGTGTGTGTGTGTGTGTGTGTGTGTGTGTGTGTGTGTGTGTGTGTGTGTGTGTGATTGTCACCTAAACAGGGCTGTCTCTTTACTGGGTGCACCCTGACATGGCATGTGTATGTGTCCTGCATTGGCTGGTGTTCTGAGAGCAGACTGCGTAGTGATCTACGTACAATCTTGCTTGGGAACTGTTTGCACTGCTTGTGATTGAGGTGCTAAACCGTAATTGCAGGCTTTTGAGGGCAAACCGCCCACACTGTAAGACCACGTTTGTCCATGAATAATTATTTTGTTGTCCGCAAAAGGATGTGCACTACTGCTTTCTGATCCACTTCGTCCTTGCATTGCTGTCAACACTTGCAGAAACGGAGAGGTTCTTTGATGTCCTGCAGCAAGTCGGAACAGACTTCTCTCTCATGTCGCCTGCATTTCCCAACAAGACACGGCGCCAGCTCAAGGTATCTATCCTTCTCTCAATGCTCTCTGGTGGCATTTTAGCAATTCTTATTATCGCTTTCTTTGTTCTGGTTTTGACCAAGTTCTCCCGTGCCCAGGTACTTTTAATGTACAGTTTTGGCAAGTGAAATCCGACACTTGCCATAAGGGACTGCACCGTGCATCCTGCAGCCTCTGCAGCCCTGCATACATACTGTACATGTGTTGCATACAACTTTATCTGTCTGATGACAGAATTTGTACTCATCACAGTCAAGGTTCAAAAGGTGCTGGGCCTGCTCACGGCTGTTCAGATTCCGAAAAAGCGGCACCTACGTCATCCGCGCCTTTGCGGCTGGCGCAGCTAGGTTGCTCAAGAAAATTCAAAAATTCGAAATTGAATCGCATCGAAATTACCTTGAATACATGGCTTCTTCGATGGATATAGGACAAACCAAGCCTGCCTTCCAGGTGAATTCAGGTTTATAAAACTCCTTGAATGCAGTCGTCTTCATGTCCAAAATTTCGAAGCTTCACTCCTGATGAAAGTGCTCTTTTCCTCGACGAACGTTTCCTTCGTATTCTTCCTTTTCATAGTATCGTGCCTATTCCTGGGGATACTTTCAGCTAGCTTCTTGCCCAAGGTAAGGTTTTCTAGCGTCTTTTCCAAGTTTTTCCTGGTGCACGATCATATTACCTCTGCAACCCAATTGAGTTTTTTTTGTCGAGGGCCACTCATTCTCGTCGAGGGTCCCTCGTTGTCAGCCCCCATGGCAACCCACAATTCAGTGCTAGAGTCTCTGTGCAGGGTGTGTGGGTTCTTTATACCACCCTTTCGGAAAGACAAGAAGACAAGGACGACTACACATGCAGTGGCTGATCACGCAGATGAGCTCCTGCATTATTTCAACATCAACACAACAACAGACACGCCAGACGTACATCCTGCAACATTTTGTGATTCATGCAGATCGTACTTGAGAAGGGCATCCTCCTCTTCTTCTAGTGACTTTAGAACACCAACTCTCTATCTGTGGCAGCCACATGGCAGTACCACTCCTGGCCCTTGTAAAGTGTGCTCAGGTGCTGAGGATAGGAGAAAAAGTGGTAGGCCCAAGAAACCGTCGACGTCATGCTCAACGGCGTCTAGGGCTAATCCCACCCACTGCAGTCGAGACGCACTTCTGGAGCTTGCTTCCCCGGCCTTCTTTGCAGGGAATGAGGCACCTGCCTTTTTATCACCCTCCCCTCTCTTTCCTGCTGTGTCTATTCGCGGCAAGTGAATGCAGCCGTGCAGCACCCATGTTGCGAGCGTCTGTCGTGTGTGTCGTGTATGCATGAACTATTCCAAGATGCATTTGAGGTAGAATGCATGTCATATGATTGCAAAGCCAAGCTGTGGGCAGCTCAGCTAAAATCTCCTTCCTTTATCTCGTCTATTCTTGCTGAGCGCAGAATTCAATGCAGCCATGCCACGAATATTTCGAGCCTGTGCTTAAAAAACACAGAATAGACAGACAGGCATATCACTCCGGGGCTTTCATGGGAAACCACATTCATAAAGCACTGCAGCCAGCCACATGCAAGGAAATAACCAGTGCTCCTCTACAGACAATGACAAACATCTTCAACACTGACAACTCACCTGACATCCAGTACACACCACAACAACAAGACCTGCCGGATAGAGCATCAGCACTCCGAGACAAGTACGGCAGACTCTTCACGCAATACAAAGATTGTAGGGCAATCTTCGCAGTGTGCAACAAGATCACTCCTGAGAAGCTGCATCAACTCTCTACCAACATTAAACTCTTCATGGCAACACTAAGGAAGACAGTCTACGACCAGAACAAGACTATAACGCCTAAAATGCACATGCTGGAGGCGCATACTGTGGACTGCATCAGTCAGTTCGGTGTATCCCTTGGACTGATGGGCGAACAAGGTGGTGAGTCCATCCACAAGTGCTTCAAGCACCTGAGAACATCCATCAGCAATGTGAACAGGGACGTGGACTGGCTCCAGGTACTAGTACACTTCTGGCAATATTTGAACAGCACGCTGCCAAGATACAACGCCATGAGGCTCCAGCCTGCAAAGCGGAAGCACTCCGACAAGTCAGCTAGTTGAGCACTGACAGTTGCTGTAAATGAGTATGCCGTTTGCATGTCAGAATCCAAAAAAGCTGATGACAATAACTATCATAGTAGTAAGGATGAAGGAAACTTTGAAAGGACATTGAAACGCGTCGCCAAAGGATGGCGGGTGGTGGTGGTGGGGAAAGGTAAGTCAGCGTAGGTACATTTACTAGTACTGGACTCTTCCACGCTCCGAACTTCCCAAGTCAACAATCAATATACCGAGTTTCGAGCAGGACATAGTATGCAAAGTAATAATAATTTGTTGTAAAAACAAGCTGATCCCGCACAAGATCAGCATAATTTTATGAAATGCATCCAAAGCATTTTTGTTCTTACAAAAAAATCACCAAGTGCACCCACTCGCCATTTTGGTTACCGTAGATACAGTGGTCACGTGTACAGTGACACTTTTCGGCAAAAAGATCGGCCATGTTCAATACTTTCCAGCATGGAACAGCCGTGTGCTGGCAAAATATGAATGGGAATTGGATACCAATACTCCTTATGTGTACCATGTTTGTGAACTGTGTGTACCTAAGCTGTGACCTTTCGACCTGTTTGGGATGCATACGGCTCTATAGTACAAATTAGGTGCAGTGCATTACATCATTGATGTCCATTTGAGGCGCTGTCCCCTATGGCAAGTGTCGGATTTCACTTGCCACAACTGTATATTGTATTTTAGTTGCCAGAATTGAATTTTGCCTAATGTTGTTGATTTGCAATGCTGTTTTTGAACTATTCGTATTTGCCAGACTGGTAATCCACTTGTTGTTTCTTTCTCCTGCTGCTGGTGCTGCTATTCCTGCTGCCTTTCTAGAACAAGTTCAAGAAAGAAGAAAAGGGAAACCCTGGCAAGGTTGCTGTCTGTCTCCGGCAGCGCAAACCAATCGATCCGGAGATGTTCAAGCGACCAGCGCCGCCTGAAGAAGAAGTAGTAGTGCACGCCGCCGTGGAGGAGGCAGTTACAGAAGGAGCGGGCGCTAAAGAGGCAACGCCCGAAGAGACAGTCCCAACAACCACTGAGAGAACAGCAGTGGAGGCGACGGCCCTTGGTGGCGGGGCGGTGCCCATGGAAGGCGTAGCCTTTGGAGGGGCACCCATGGAAGAGACAATCCTTGGTGCAGCCCCCATGGCAGAGGCAATGGTGCAGCTGCACTGAGGTTTTTTGGGTGCTTCTCCAAGCTCCTGTCATTATTTTAGCAGACTTGGGTCATTTTTTTATATGAATTAGGTTCTCATTGATGATTATGTTGAGAAATATATTTGCGTAGTGTACACGTGTTGTTGAGGAAGTGTTGATGATACAGGAGCATCTACTTGTTACCATGGCTACAGTGTGGTCTGGCCTTTCTGTTTTTAACCCTTCATCCGTTTTTATGATTTTGTGCCATTTTTTAACCTCACGATAGACATAGTTCATTTGGTAGAACCAAATGAAAAACTGTATCCAGTATGCAAATTTATAACATTCTCAAACTTCTGAAATATCTATTTAAAAGACTGTTTTGCCATGCGTGAGAAGCCGTGTGCGTTGCTATCACTTCCTACAACAGTCCATAAGTTAACCTGGGTTTTGGACTCTTGCTTCCGATAATCAAGCACACGGTAGCAGTGCTGGGCAATTCCCTCAGCGCTTGCCAACATGTTTTAGGTTTCACGATCTTGTGATGTGATTTCTAAAGGCACACGCACAGATGCGACGGTGTAACAATGGTCCTTTTGGCAGTGAAATTCGGCCCTGGCCTACAATTCCCTCATCACTCAGAGAAGTCGTCAGTGAGCCCTACAGCCTACAGGCCTGCACACACCAACAAGAGTAAGTAAATGAGCTCCTCCAAATATACAATCATGTAGCTCTTCATCTTGACACCATTTTGTTGGGCTCCCTGGTCATCAGGGAGTCGTACTCAAACAGTTAGAGTACGACTCCCTGCTGGTCATACTTTATGCATTTTTGCCTTGGTTGCCATGATCACATGGAGGCCTCGAGCCGGCCAGGTCGAGGTCTACCAGTACCATGGTCTACACGCCGTATTACCTGATTACACCGGGTAGACCTACATGGTGTCGGTGGAAGCATGATCACACGCGCGACAACAGCGCTAGCGACTAACGATCACGCGATCCCGATCGCGCTGCTCACGAGTGCTTTGCGGCTGTCGACATAGACAGTCTGCTACTACTGACGGACCAGCGCAGGAATCCCATTGCTTATCGGCCGTCCACGAAATAAAAGCTGCAAGGCAGGCAGTCGAAGGTGACTTGTTGTTCAAGCACTTTCTAGTGCTGGTAATCCAACTCCGGAGCTCCAGGACACGCCGTCGGTCAAGCCTCCGGTTGGCATCACCAACCCGCCACCATGGAGCTAGTCAAGTTAAATTCTAGCCTCATCTCCGCTCTTACGATCGTGCTGTTACTGCAGCCAGGGTGGTTCTGTTCGTGCCAAAGCCAGAAACCAAACTTGGTCTTCGTCTACGTGGATGATTGGGGGTTTGCTGACGTTGGCTTCAGGAATCCAGCGATCAAGTCGCCGAACTTCGACGCGCTAGCGAGTACCGGGAGTGTGCTGCAGCGGCACTACGTGTTCAAATACTGCAGTCCGTCCAGAGCGTCGTTCCTGACCGGTCGCTGGCCGCACCATGCACATCAATGGAACATGCCGCCCGGCACAATGGCGGGAACTAACCTGAACATGACCATGCTGCCGGCTAAGCTGAAACAGGCTGGATACAGCACGCACATGGTAGGAAAGTGGCACCAGGGCTTCTTCAAGTCCCACTACCTGCCCACGTCACGTGGCTTCGACACCATGAGCGGATTCCTGAACGGCGGCGAGACCCACATGACGGAAGTCAACAGTGGCCTGACGGACTTCTGGAAGAACCGGGCGCCGGACCCGCGAAACGGCACGTACGACGCGTACCACTACCGCAGTGATCTGGTGGATATGATAGCGAATCACGAAAGCAACACACCGCTCTTCCTGTACCTGCCGTTGCACAACGTGCACGGCCCGTTCCAGGCACCGCAGGAATGGCTGGACATCTACCCGAACAACACCTGCTCCAAGCGCCACACCTACCAGGCTATGGTCAGCGTTGCGGACAACGTGACGGGAACGGTCGTCGAGCTACTGAAAGCCAAGGACATGTGGAAGAACACACTGATGGTGGTGAGCGCTGACAATGGTGGAGCTCCGTGTGGCGGCAGTAACTACCCTCTCAAGGGCTCCAAGGGCACCTTCTTTGAGGGCGGAGTCAGGTCTCTGGCATTCGTCAACGGTGGTCTTCTTCCGGACGCCATGCGTGGCAAGGACATCGATGGATTCATTCACACTGCCGACTGGTACCCCACCTTCTGCAAGCTGGCAGGAGTGGAGGCGGATGATAGCGGTCCAGGACGGTATCCAGTGGATGGACTGGACGTGTGGCCAATACTGTCGGGACAGACGAACGCCACTGCGCACCAGAGCATCATACTCGGCTTCAACTTCAGCGAGGCCAACTCCGGCGCCGTGATCATGGGCGACTACAAGCTAGTGGTGGGTGTACAGGGTACGGACTGTGACAATCTCATGTACTCGCCGCTAGACTATCCCTGCACACAGGGCCCGAAAGCAGCTAACTGCGATCCCTACTGCCTCTACGACATTGTCAGTGATCCGCACGAGAAGACCGACCTGTCCAAGAGCCAGCCAGACACTCTGAAGAAGCTGTTGGATGAGTACAACAAATTCTCATCCGAGCCGCAGTCCACACGAGATCAGGGCTACCATAGTCAAGGTGACCTGCCCAATGACTTGAAGAATGCCAAAAAAGTGCTCGATGCCAAGGGTGGTTACTGGATGCCCTGGCGTGACGAGCAGTAGGGTGAGAGTGATTACACGGTCGTGTACATAAGCTGTTACAAAAGCCCAGCTCCTCTTTACAGGGTTAGGGTATCTGATGAGAATTGTCAACACTCGTGTACGGCAACTTCAAAATGTGGGCTGATGCAAACGGGTTGGGCATGGCATGTTCTACGGAGATTAAAAAACTCCCTGCAGCTATAGCAATGTTCCCTGTACACGATGTACACGTGGAAGATGGCAACAAAGAATTAGTACACGTGTTTGTTTGCTTACACATTTTCTGTTTCAGTCCTCATGTTTTCTGGCAGAGTTCGATGAAACATTCTTTATTTCTGGCAGCTCTGGCCTTGCACGGCAGGAGCAATGCTACCTGGAACTTCTTACACTTACAGCATCAGTCTGTTCTTTAACCCTTTGTGGACGGACTGTACGAGTTTCGATCTAATAAGATCGAAAGTCTGCAGGCGGTAAAATCTTCGTAACTCCATCGTTTCTTGAGCAAAATCCACAATCGAAGGGTCTACGTGGTAGCGGAAACTTCAAGCTGTCCAATGCAACAATCCCCGAAGAGTTGCGATGTCGGACGCCAGAGATATCGCACGCCGTATTCTTACCTCGGCAAATTCAAATTTTTTTGATCGATCATTTCGCCATTTTGGGGGAAAATCCCTTTTCGTGTGCTCTTTGAGCGACTGAGCACATGATAATGACGTAGCCGGCTGAAGTTTGAATCGTCTCAAACAGATTTGAGCGTTCTGCGATGAAGGAGAGTGGAATGGCGTTGATGGGACGAATTTGCTTGCATATCAGGCTTGGAGACGACTTTGCTGTGTTACTGCGCCTGATTTGTGGCGCCTGGATAATGGAGATTGGTACCCTGGCGTTGCTCTCGCCAAGAGCTTTCCTATGAGCCCTTGATTGTGAAAATCAAGTGAAGGACACTAAAGTTAGGACATGAAAAAGTTGAAAATTGTACTGACATTTTGTAATTCTGGTGCTGACTGTGCTAGTAATCCGTCCATAAAGGGTAGAAATTCATAAAATACCAACTCCCTTTCTCTTACAATTTCGGAATTGCTGTGAGGCTTTAGCAGTAGAAGCCATGTACATAGTTATACGTGTAGAGCAGGACTTAGCATAACCACACAAATCCACGACAGTAAGAGTACATCACTTATGTACTACTCTGCATCATCTGCATAACTATACAGAGTGTCCAGTGAGACAAGATTGAACTGAGACACAAAGAGTTCTGGGAATTTTATCTTGCCACGTTTCCACACTGAGATATGAAAAATTAATATTTTCAGTCGTCAGTAAGTCCCAATCCATTCACATACCTAATGTGAAATAATTTAAAAATGAAACAAAAATCAAGGAAGAATCAAGTAAAGGCCGCAAAGTACAATGCCCGGTAAAAGTGGAGAGTGGGGTACTAAAACCCTTCACACCTAATGTGAAAATTTATAGTAAAACAAGGAAGGGCTCATGAGCGATGAGCGCAAAGTACAGCAGCAGGTGAAAGGGGAAGGTGGGGGTATCGAAATGTGAAACCGAGAATACGGACTAATATAAGCTCTGGCTGAACCAAGTCTAACTTACTGTAGAACTAGAAATGTTCGTAGACTTCAGTGTTGAAAAATATAATCCTAGGTAAGGTATCTTGAAACTCGAAAGTTTGTAGGAGATTCCCAATCACGGTTTGGAATTGGCATGTAAACTTGTGACTCAAATTATATTTTAATGGGATTTGAACCACAAGTTTCAACTGCGCAACAATCTACACAGATAAGGAGATCCTCTAATCCATGCTAGCATTCCTGTCATTCTCACCGGACCCCTGTTCTCTACCAATCGTTCATCACTGCGACCTCCTATCCGTACACTGAGCAACTCTTCAGCAAGGCGTCGACTGCCAAGACCCGTCAGTCATGTGCTAAGCGGCTCGACCATATACTTGTCAAACGTTTCATCCTAATCGTCATCCGATTCGTCCCAGTTGTATGTGTTCTCCATGGCCATATGCTCGAAGTGTCAATGGGTACCAGCCGACTCTCTGTCTGTCCAACTGGGCTGTCAAGAGTGTCCAGAAAGTACGTAAATGAGTGCTTCGGGGACCAAGTAACTCTACCAGATGGACAATGTTGTGTAAGCGTTGTTGGCTTTTTCACAGTCACATATCGGGCATCCAGAAACTCCTGTAAGGTCATATGACTGAACAATCCAAAACCTGTCGGTGTTCCCAGATAGTGTTATTGGCCAGCATGAGCAGGCCTGGTGGTTTCGCCCCTCTGCCGATAGCGTGCGTACTCAGATCAGAATACGTGAACACCACTAGCGGCTGTTTCTTGTTCAACATGTTGAACTCCAGTCTGCCAAGATCAAGGATGAAGTATCGGAAGTCAGTTGGAATTGCACTCCAATCCTTGTACGACTCGCCAGAATGACGCTCCGCTACTTGGACGATCATCATGTCGAAGGTATCAGAGGCGCAGCGGGAAGTAGGAAAAAATACTACAGGAATTATTAGTTTACAGGGCTTCTTAGCAAGTGGGACATAGAAAAATAGAACATGAAATCAAGTAGAAGGAAGCATTGGTAGGTAATGATGTAAACACGAATCCTGCACGAATCAACATGTCAACATATTATAGAATGGTGCAGGAGTCCCTTCATCTTATTCTTCTTGGCCAGGAGCCAAGCATGGCTGCTCATCAATAAGTATATCTCATAATGGAATCAATCCACTCCAGTGTGCTACCCGTAGATCAGCTTCACCCATTCTTGGGCGACCATTCAAGACGAGCAGTTATCGCCAGCTCAACTTAGGCATTGTGCCTACACCATTTTAGATTACATTCATGTACTTGTCAGATGTACGCTGCTGCAGCTGCTTGCAAAAGCTGCATTATAATGTGAGCTGCAAAACGGGTTTTCATCAAGTCCTGTGCACCGCCACAGTAGAAAGTTGAACATTTGAAGCCTACGATATTGTAAAAATAAAAGGCACTCTAAATTGCTAAGTTTCTCATCAGTTTGCACTTCTCCTGGTTCGGGAAGTGGAATTTGGGCTGGCTGCACGACAGCCGTGTCTTTCTTATTGCACGGCCAGAGAGCCATGGCTGTGTTTGCGTGTGCACACGTCACAACCTGCAGCGAATGGTGCAGGTCGCTATTGCCTTGCAGGCAACAGGGGGTGCGTGTACACACATTGCAACTGCAGCGAAGACTCGTGCCTTTCACCGCGGCCTTGAAGGCGACACAGGGGTTATCTTGGCTGCAAGAGCTCGGCCTGCAGCATGCCACACAGCAGCAGTACAGAGCTGCTGTCTAGCCATCTGGATCCTGTGATCCAGCAGATATGGCCGTGTCACCTCTGTCAGCCTAGCAGCCAGCCCTGGAAGCATAATAGAAGCCAGTAAACAACACAACAGTTCTTAGTAAGCCGTTTGTCCTCCATGCAAGGCATATTAGACTCGCCCCACCAGTTGCCGAAAGGACGTCCAAACAACGTTTACAATTCTTGTTCGTTTCTCGTGATTACAGCGATAGATGTTCAAGCCGGGCTTCAATAGAAACAGCTGCTTACAACCGCCCGATACACGTATACATGCTACACCAGAGTAAGTACCCAGCGCCTTGTTCACACAGCCGTATACATCCATACATCCATACATCCACACATCCACACAGCCATACATCCACACATCCACACATCCACACATCCACACAGCCATGCATCCACACATCCACACAGCCATACATCCACACTGTAGTACACCGAGTTATGACCGTTGCAACCAGGATTAGTGATTACACATACCGTCGGGGGGTTCACATTCATCAAGTGAACGGCGCCGTTTTGTCGTCATCGCCGTCCTTCGCGAGCGGCGACGCCAGGCTGCCTAGCTTGCTTGGCCGCGACATGAACGGCGGTGTGGACTGCTGCTGCTCTTGGGAGAACGCCTGCGAGATGGTGGACAGGTCAGCCTTGCGTGCAGCCGGCACACCGTGACGATAGTACTCTGAGCGGAGCATGCGTTCGGCGTCTGCATGGCAGCAAGTACAGTGGTGCAAGTACAGAAAGTAAACGCCGGGAAGGAGAGGTTCAGCAATACACACAGGGACTTACGCGTCATTAAGTTACGACCTCACCTGTTCATTATTACATAAGAACCACCAACAGCACTGGTCAGAGAGTCGACCTCGTGAATAAACAGCGCTGGCTGATACGCAGCCTAGCACCACATAATTAAATACTATTCAGTGGACTCAAACGCGGTGCTACTTTACTTCAGTCATGAGGTCAAATTTCTTTGGCCAGAATTTAGGGGTGTCATCTAGCAGTAGGGTGGCCCATGCTACCAGTAATTAGAGCTAGTATTCGGGTAGCAGTGTGCTCCTGAGAACCCGAAAGGGTAGTTGGAGTACGGTGTTTTTGCAACGGTGCATGTAAAAAGCGCAGCTCTGTGCTTACTGTACACTTTCACCCAATCGCTCAAGTGCGCACTCACTGTGCAAACTATGCCAAAAATACCCGATATGGTACCTATGCTACCCGGATAGAAATAACCGAACTCGTTACCCGGCCAAACCCCTACCCGTTGCAGCCCTACCAGAATTGCAGTAGCATGTAAGTCAGACTACTATCTAAAATGTCGACCTGTCTCCTTGGTGCTGTGTTTGTGGTTACGGTACAATACGCACATACTGTGCAAGACTAAACTTGAATGCTACAGCAGGCTCGCACCGCATGCTACACTGACAGAGTGGTGACCTTAAGTTATATTCACAGTGGACTATACTGCTCAAGGTATCACTCACGGTCTCGCAGCTTGCGCACAAAGTCATTCTGGTCAGGCGTCAGGACAGTGCAGACGGCGTTGAACAGGTCCCAGAACGTCTTCTGCTCCGCGCCGGCCCAGAAGTCAATGAAACCTTGCACCGCCGCTTGCTTCCTTTCCCGCAGCGACACTAGCAGGCCGTGGCTCAGGCAGTCCTGACTTTCTTGTGCCAGCTCTTCGGTTCGCAACGACAGCATTCGTACTAGCGGGATTCTGAATTCATTAACAAACTGCCCCCGCGGCTGGCTCTCTAGTTCTAGGAAAAACAGCAACCGTGAGAGACCATGCAGCCGTTTATTAGTGGATCAATGGTGAGCCAATGATATAATTTGACTAAAAAGTAAATGGACACATGGATCAAATAAAAGAAGAAAAAACCTTTGTAATGGGTACTTGTCAGCAACAATGGACGAGCCAATATTGCGTTCACAGCCGGCACAGTCTAAGCCAACCCGGAGCACCCACACACACAACACACTGCTCATCCGGCTAACTCTCACAGACTATCTCAACAGAGGACCAACAAGGAATTCAATACTGATAACTCCTCCTCGGTGACAGCTGTTTCCATCATCATACATCCTGTCACGGAAGGTTACTAAAAAGGACTTTCCTAATGCGAGCAGCATATTCAAGACAGAGTCAAATTTAACAGAGCTGGAATTATGGAGGAGAAACCTGGTTAATCGGTTTCTTATTGAAGGAGGCAAGCCGATCGCATCACGAGACAAGGCATGCGGAGATTTCACTGAAGAAAGGTGAATCCGGCACTGTTATCCGACTTAAAACAAGAATAAAACTAACTAATTTACTTACCTGGCTTGAGAACATGCCGTACTTCATCATTGCAATATCGTGATTCGTCAGTAGTTGCCTCGAGCAGCAGGCTATTGCCTGGTGTAACTTTCCACATTTCATCTGCTGACAGATCAGTTCCAAATGATGACCTTGGCTGGCCTACACAAATACAGACACATATAGGTGACTTCGATACTTCAGCAGCAGCAGCAGCGACAACAATGGCAGAAGCAGTAGCAGCAGCAGCAGCAGCAACAACAATGGAAGAAGAAGCAGCAGAAGCAGCAGTGGCAGCGACAACAATAGTAGAAGAAGGAGCAGCTGCACCACCACCACCACCAGCAGCACTAGCAGCAGTGTGAAGCATCATCAGTTCACCGTAACATTCACTTGGTGACAAGTCATCAGCGCCCATTTCATAGTGAGCTTCTGCTGGAGCCTCCTGATTCCGGCAATGTAGCATACCTGGGCGAAGAGGAGTGCTTTCTGATCGAGTGGTGTCTGTATCTTGGTAGGTATACTCTGCACTGCTGACTGAAGCTCCTGCAGTTGAAGGTGGCAAAGAAAAAACCCCGCCAGACACTAGGAATGAAGCCTCCGTGACAGTGTCAGAGAAAGTGTTGTACACTGTCTAGTTATTCACTTTCTGCTCCCAGCCCTGTGCCATCTGCACACTTAGACAATTGAGGAGATATTTACATTCGAAAGACTATAATTGACAAGTAGACGGCGAAGACACAACTGGACACGACAAACTGGAGACGAAGACTGCTTTCCACACAACAGCAACACGCGCATTCACCAACACCACGTACACATGACGTATACAAAATAACGTACTACAGCAAGAGGTACACATCTACATGACTAGCAGTACATACCATACACAGGGCCTGCTTGTGAACGATCTGCCCTGCCCCGGTGCCTGCTCACAATGGGAGTCGGCAGTTGTTGATCGTCCGAAACGCCTGCAGAGGCAGGTGATGGTGGCGGCGGTGTTGATACACTGCTAGGGTTGATAAGTTCCCGCACATCTGCACGCATGGAGCAGAGCAGCACACAAGCAACAGACAGGATAACCGACTTTCCCCAAGCAATAGGGCTTGAAAGTGATACGTCACAGCATAGCAACAATTTCAAAAATTCAAAAACTGGATCCACTTGGATCCAGTTTTTGTATGGATCCAAGCACATTTCAAGCGGTCTTACCCACAGCATGGTGATGTAGCCAGTGAAACTGACTGATTTGGCTACTGGGGGCGGGGTTACAACTGGTGGCAAAATAAAAGTCACACCTGCATGCGACATGAGTGGGTTGCTATGCACCCACATACTTAGGCAATAGCAAAGTCACACCTTAGTGGATCCAAAATTAGAAATCTGATGTCAACTTACTACTCCCTGGCCGTTTTGACGTCATCACTTTCAAGCCCTATCCAGGCCAGACGAAATCATTACTCGCACCATGGAATAGCAGCACCTTGCCATAGTTATTAGGGCTCAAACGGTCACGATTTTACCCCTAACGGTTAACTGCTAAGCTAACGGTCGGTTTAACGGTTATAACCTATAAGCCACGGCAATCCTGCGGACTCTTTTTTAACCGTATATTTGACTATACTCATTCAAAAAATGTACCCTATTCAGTACAACGCACACATGTACATTCTCTTGTATGCTCATTCATACATACTCTCACACCAAAAGACCAGATATGACCGAGTTGACAGCCCAGAAATTGCGTACGCGTGCGACAGGCTGCGAAAGTGCATACTTTGCAACGACCTGATACTGTACTTGAAAAATTGACTGAAAAGTTACTGCGTAACCGTTATCTTTATCGGTTAACCGTTAATTCTTCGTAACCGGTCTGCAACCGGCTAATCGGACTAACCGTTTGAGCCCTAATAGTTCTGCAGTCAGCTAGCTCCGACTCTTAGAACACTAGCACAGCTCACGCCGGTGTCAGAAGTAACACTCCCTAGACAGTCATCTTGTCAGATCTGCAGGTCTTAGAAGTTATTCGTCAGATTTGGACCCAAATTGTCTTCCCTCTCTATCCAGACTAAGGACTAGAAAAAGCTTCAGGTTCTTTAGAAGTACTTGTAAACATTCCAAATTCGCCACAAGCATGTTCGTTGCCTTGTCTTCAGGTGGATTCAGGCAGAAGAAGAAACCAGCAGTCAGCATCATCATCCCCCCCCCCCCTCAATATACACATTTCACCAGCTTATACTGCTCACCGTGCCGGGGTCTGTTTGGCCGGGAACCAAGTACAGGCAAGTCACCATCGCTTTCCGAGTTGGCATCTTCATTCGCCAATAGGCCAGCTCGCTCCCTTTCTCCCCATTCTTTTTGTGCTTCAAATGGTTTCGGGGGTCTTTGTTTTTTCTTCAAGATGCATTTAACTAGCAGGATGGTGAGCGCGGCAGCACCAACGGCAGCACCAACGGCAGCACCTGCAATTTCAGCGATCTTCTTCCCGAGAGCCGCTGGTGGGTTGGGACCGCGTGTGTCAGCCTGAAAGAAGTAGTCAACGGACCCATAGTCATTGGTAGCGGTGCCCTTGTACCAGCCTTGGCAGCTGCAGAGTATTGCAGAAGACGCACACGCACACGTACACACACGCGTGCACGCACACACACACACATACACACATGCATACATACACACACACACACACACACACACACCTCAGACCTCAGACATGCCCATCGCGGAAGCGATGATAGCGAACAGCTATGTGAGACATAGCAACTTGTGCTGGGATTACACCATTCAACAGCTTGCAAGGCTGATGAATTGACCGCCACTATTTTCTAGCCTGGTATCCACCACACAGCTGATTGAAGTGGCTTTTTCTGGCCAGTTGAATCCCTATTTTTCATTTTTTTTTTACACACACGCCACACCACATACTCCGGCATACACTGGCTGTTGGTAACCACCCAGGAGAATGAAAGAAGAGCTAGGAGAATGAGAAAGAGAAGAAAGACACACGCACACACACATACACACACGCACGCATACCATTGGACGCCCATCGCCGGAGGCGATGATAGCGATGCTATAGCAGAAGCCATAGCAACTTGTGCTGGGATTGCACCATTCAACATCTTGCAAGGCTGAAGAATTGACCGCCACTATTCAGCCTGGTCTACACCACACAGCTATAAGTGGCTTTTTCTGGCCAGTGAATCCCTACTTTTTTGGTCTTTTTTTTCCCGCACACACATCACACCACATACTCCGGCATGCACTGGCTGTTGGTAACCACGCAGGAGAATGAAAGAAAAGTCAGGAAGAGTCTGAGAAAGAGAAGAAAGACGTGTGTGACCATATTTGTCGGGAATCGCACACACACACACACACACACACACACACACACACACACACACACACACACACACACACACACACACACACACACACACTCACACACACACACACACACACACACACACACACATACACACACGCACACACACACACACACACACACACACACACACACACACACACTTATCGGAATATCCGACACTTGGGCTGGGTGGCATAATACCTCACACTCCATCGCACGGCTTCACGACAGATGGCACTATCGACTCACCGATCCTGCTGCTTCAGTGATAAACTCGGGCTGACACTGCTCACTATGCAGGACATTCTGTCCTTGTCTGTCAGTTCCGACTGGTACGTGTTCACCGCAACCCACTTGTAGTGCACCTCTGGATAGACCCTTGGGTCGAGCGGGATGGCAACAGGGTACCTGGCTGATGCATTGCGAGGAGTCTGTTGCGTGGTGCTGGCGTCCTTCTTCAGGAAGGGGGCGGCTGAAAGTACGATACAGACACCAGAACAACATTGTGAAAAAACCATATGGCACACGCTCACGCTATATAAAGTGTCCAATGTGAATCACTTTTAATTATTGGAATGGCACATTAATTAAGAGTGTCCTCGATAACTTTGTTCCTTGTTTAGATCGCCATAATACTCCAATTTCAGAAATTTTTCGGTGGTTGATATTTTCGGTTTGAGGGCAAAAGGCCAGGTTAGGCGAACAGAAATTTTAGGTACAGAGAAGCAGTTCCCTATTGGATTATGTGTGTTAGTGTTTATTCGGTGTATTGAAGTTTTAGGTATGAAACAGATGCACCGAAAGTTCCGAAAGTAAAAGTACACCGACAATTTGTGAAATTACAGTACTTGAATTTGCACGTGTGCTGCTAGCTGCCCAGGTAGTTAGGCTCAGGTATGCATGGCTGAGGATATTGTCTGTTATGTCCTCGGCACTCTATTCACACTCGGCATGCATGGTCTCTCAAGCACCAGGCACAGTAAGACACTCCGGTTTCTTTACATGATTAGTTAGACCGGAAGCAAAAGAGCACGAAGAGTGCGCATGCTCTATCTAGAATCATCGCATGCACACACACACACACAGATGTAGATCAAGCACACATCATAATATTATGACTCAGCATGCAGCACATGTATACAACATGGTCAACCGGTAAAAAAGTTTACGAAGCATCGCGTTCTTACTGTTGACTTGTATGAAGATGGTGTGAAGCAGCTGACCGAACAGAAAACAAGAGTAGTTTACAGTGTCTGCCGGTGTAGCATCGACGATATTGATGGGCATATAGCTGCCCTTATCCGCATAGGCAATTCCATTGTGCTCCCAAGTGACATGCCCGTCATCTTCCGGTGTGGTGCCAAGGCAGAACCCAGTGGTGCTAAAGTCGCAGCCAACGCACAAGTCAATGTGTCCTCGCGTTTCTTGGCTGGATGCAGGAGTACAAGCTGGCGGGCAGACGGAAAACGGAAAACAACAGGTCGCGGTCAACAAATATTAACGCGGGGAGAGCAACAACGACATGCACCATTCTATCGACGACTCATAGGTCACTGAATGAAGACACACCTGACAGAGTGTGACTCTCCTATATCAAGCAAAGGGGGGATCAGCCTTGATTGAATCAGGACACCATTAGGTCCATCACAAGCCGGTCTGCAGTATAATGACCAGCCCATTCATGTGTGGTGAACGAACAGACACAGTAAAACTAGAGTTTGCTAGCATTCAAGCATTGGCCTCAAGTAACCTTCCACTGGCACCAACGCTAGAGTTTCAATTTTCTCAGCAGTGACCTATGATTCAGTGTTGTAACTTCTTGGCAACTTCCGAGCAAGGCAAAGTGTTTCCATCACTTGTCCAGATATTCAACGACCTTAATTCCGAATCACCCTCTGCAAGATCATAGAGATACTGCCCAGAGGAATTATTCCCCGTCCCTTGTACAGACTGTAAGCATATTTAAAAAACTATAGCGTTTGCAATAAAGGTACTCTCAGGCCCTTGCGCAACCGCTTGCGTGCAGCCGCAGTAGGACCAAGGCAGTGGAGTCAGCAACGTTGCCGGCAGCCAGCAGTGCTACTTAACTTTGCCGGCAGCCAGCAGTGCTACTTACAGTACTGGCACTGCTTGCCATGCGTCTGCTGATGTGACAGCGCATCACACTGGCAGTACTTCTCCCCTGTCCCCACCAGCTGTTGGCAGGCGCCATGCCGATGGCAATACTCGGGGTCGCAATTCACGGTTTTCTCCGCTGCACAGGTATCAGCATTGCAAAACACACATTACAGGCCGGAATGCATCATGTAAGGTGATGTACAGCACCGTGTAGTTTTGTAAGAAAGTGAAGTCGTACCGATACATACATAATTACAATACAGGCTGAGGTATTGATTCCATACGTAGTAGCATCAGTACATTGCACATGTATGACACCTTGCCCAACACCAACACTCTTCTTACAGTGTTTTCAAACATTTCTTCCTTGCCAACCTATCAAACAAGGGAGGAATTTCGTTGTGGCGTTACCAACATCCCAGAAGCGTTATTCATTCATTTCAAGATTTTACGGAGTGTTTGCGGAGACAAATAACCATTCTCTGTGACTCGCATGACACTTCAATCGGCAGGATTGAAACTGAAAGTCAACGAAGGAAGACAACACTTGCATTGCTTACGTGTTGCGATGATGGTTGCATTTACAGTGGCAAAGTCTTCAATGGTACCAATGGTTATCTGGTAGAGACCAGTGTCAGTGGTGCCAGCACTTTCCCAGATTAGTTCAATTGTCTGCATACAGTCATCACCTGTAGACGTCACCAGCTTGGCATTATGATCTTCCGGCCTGAACTCTGAGCCATTGCACTGGACAGAAGCCTGGAAGCTAGCACTCACGTGAGCGTTAACTGTTATTTTAAGGTGATCGCGTCCGGGCACGAACGTGTCACCCGGTGACACAGTTATATCAACATCCCTAATGTACGCCGAACACTGGGTCGCTTGCTCTGGACAGGAAGACAGAACAAGTCACGACTTAGCCCAGATCTTGCACAGAATACATACAGAGTACGAGGAGCCTTCGCCGAAAGCAGGTACTTACGACTTTCCATCGCCCTTACCACTGCAAGAACTGTGGGCTTCTTCGCAATCGTTTGTCAAGCAGATTTGAACCGCACTGGTGCTCTACATAGGCAGCAGATCTAAAGCACAAACGGACGCTAGGATCGTAAATAGCTTGAACAGTTGACGAAGGGCAACTGGGAAAGTCTGTCCATCGCTGTCACGGTAACTATCTGCACCGCTCCCCACATGAAAGCAGCATGTAGGCAAGCAGCTGCCTGCGATAACATTTGACTGCGAATTCAAGACGCCAGAGGATATCAAGGAAGTAGCCTGCACTGGCCCAACTAACCATGTATCGGTGGGGCTGCACTAGCATAGGTTGACTCTCAGCCCAATCATTGGACAAGGGCATTGGTGTTTCGGACCGCAACTGCGGAAATATGGAAATATGCTGCACAATCCGCTTGACTAGGGTCTGGACTAGGGTCTGTAATAGTTGGGGCTGCATGTACATCACAGTGTACTAGCAACAAATCCCACTATTCGGCTATGTTTCGGCCTGGGTTGGGCACAGGATCTGTAGAGTGGTGGCGGTACCTCTGTCAGGCTCTCTCTCCATGCCGTGTCCATTACGAAGAAAGATACAGTAATCGAGCGAGCAAACGGTAAATCTATCTACTGACAGCAAGCTACTCGAGTCCATGCACGGTGCTCCGATACAGGAATACTTCAGTACAATCTACAAGTACAGGGGACATACAAATCTGTATGCTATAGCCGGGGTACTGTACATGCAAGGTTAAATGACTGCAAAGGGATGTACAGGGTAGGCAAAGACACAATTTATAGTAAATTTATACCCAATGCAAAGAGAAGCACGTGTTCTATCCAGTGTACTGGAATCCTTCACTGTTCACTGTCCTTACTTCGTGTGTCAATAAGCCACTTATGAGATTGTGTGTGGTTGACACCATTGATAGTATTAGTCGCTGTGCACATCACACAGCCATAACAATACGGCAGCAGCACGACTTCGCTCTGGTTTGTTCGGTGATAGTAGCACGGGTCCATTGACTCGCACATCTCCTGGAGGTCGATTGGATCATCCGTCTGATGAGGGTCTCTCGGGCACGATGCGTTACACGTATGGCACACATCATCGCACGCATACGGCCCGGATTCGCATTGCTTAAAGGTGAAGGTTGCCGCGGGTTTGGCTTCGAACGGACACGTTAATACTGAATCAGGCTTGATGTCTTGATTCATGTTAATGTATGTAGGCGGGTCTGTAAATGGGGCATGTACACACAGAGACAGATCATTCCAGCCTTTTAAAATAATACAGTTTGTACTCGCGAAGCTTCCCTATCATGTCTCATCTTAGATAAGATTGAGCTTCCCAAGTTGGGTGGTTGCTGGTTTGCGTTATCGAATTGTGGTTAGACCGCACTGTCCCGTGGCAATGGTCTTACGGTATTTAATATCGATGTACATTTTCACTGAAGAGAAGAATTGTTTCAGTAATAGGCTAATAGCAGCGTCAGAGGACCTTTAGCAGGGTGCTATACTCTTCTCGACCTGAAGTCAGACACACTATGCCTGCAGACTACAGCATAAAGCTATATGCAAGCCTTGCTATTAATGAGATGTGATGGGGGCATACGCGTATCACAAAGCGGAGGACACATTGCATTAAAATATTAATTCGTGTTCCTGACTGCAATGAGAGACAGGTTGGTCTTGCAACTAACTTATACAGACCAAGCTGACCACCTGTCATGTACAACTGTCATGTGTATGCAACCACGATACCGGAAGTACGATGGTTGCAAGTAAAATCCAACCCCTGTATTTACGGAAACCAGTGGAACAACAGAATGTCAAGTCCTAGCGAGTGCTACGAGTAGCCATACCACGCAGCCGAAGTTGAAAATCACCTTTTTGTATCCTGTCTCTGCTCTTGTTGTTGTATTGCTTGCACGCACAGTGTTGCACGGTACTCTCCAGGTGCACTGGTGTTAGGTAGGGTATGCATACCACTAGTAAGTATGATTACACATGTGCTGCTGTTAGATGGGGTATGTATACTACTAGTATGCCTACACGATCCACGCTTGCGCTGCGTGGATGCACGCACTATCCACGCCTTGAGGTCGATGTGGGCACGCAATGTGTTGATACAGCGGAGAGTACCTTGTCAAGTGTCGGATTTCACTTGGTAAAACAACATCATGTCGTACGCAAGGTCAGCTCCACATGGGACATGCTGAGAAAGTTTGTCGTACAAGACTCGTTGCATGCCTTCGCAGACTACGTCGTATCCATAAGCATCTGTGTAAGCGCTTACGGTAGAAAATCCGTGCTAACGAGGTGTACAATCATGTACGTCTTACCCGAGTAAGTACTGCATGCGTTTCACTGCGCCAGCATGTCAAACACAACACATCACTTCCTCCGGAAACCAAAACTTCGTGATTTTTTCACTACTTTTCGCTGCTGTTATTTCGCTCTCTCTCTCTCTGGTTCTATCAGCCTGAAACACTGACATGACATTTCGGAATCGTAGGAAAGCATGATTCATATTTTGGAGAGCCGACAGTCGTCGCAGGGCAAGAGTTTTGACACTGCAAACAAAGCAAAGCGAACATGTTTTTCATGTTTCGTCCACCAGGCCCAATGGGAAGAAAAGCACTGCGCTCACTGCTCGTCGTGGCTATTTTTTAGTTCAGAGCTTGACAGAGCAGGACAATGGCACCGAGGAGCAAGAAGAGTAGAAAATGAATAGCAATAGCAGCTAGCGTTTTTAAATCTCCTCCATCCCCGAAACGCCTGTCTGCATGCGAACAGGTCGGCAAGATGTCAAAACTCAAAACGCAGAGATGTGACAATCGTCACTTCGCGCAGCAGAGCAAGATGAACAAGTTCAAAATAAAAGTCGTTCAGCCACTGCAGAGCCCAGACCTCAACGTGGATGGTCTCGTCTTTTCTAGTAGCCTCGGCGATGTGTCCTTGGTCGCAAAGGAGAAGGCGAGATCTGATCGCGGCAGTCGGGAAGTGCTGGCACAACTTTGATATCCCTCAGAGGAAATTCGAAATGTTTGGCGTTGCCTGTGTTTGTTGTTCCGTGGCATCCGAGAGAGGAGGCGGTAATGAGTACTAGTGTTGCAGCGCTACCGTGGTCTCTGCCGAGATGTTGGAGAAGGCATTCAGGTAACAGCGAAGACAATCAGAGACGCGGAGAAGCTTCTCCGTGACATACGACATCGCGTGGATCGACCTGCCACTTGGAACGGTTTCAGCGGTGATCAGTCGAGCGATGGCGACCCAGACTGAGACTCTACTCCCACTAATCGATCCTGTAGATATTGTAGATATGTCGATTGAATGTGTTGAAGTGTTTCTCTTCCAAAAGAACACTTTTGTTGAGCACAGTAACTCCTTGAAAATTCATGTCAAAAAGTCACGAATTTTTTGTTTCCGGAGGAAGTACTGACTTTGGGAATCCATAGTGACTGTATCCAGTCGATGGCAAACGGCAACTGGCAGCCATCCACAACATGTCACACGCTTCTGCAAGTGTACACATCCTATATGGACAGTTACCGATGCCAACAGGTGTTTTCTTATGCACTTGGCCACTGCTGAATATCCCCACAGCTGGAGAGCACATGCTGCAGTAACGTTTAAGACATGCTCCAACTAGTAATACTTACAGTCTACTGTGAGGTCCAGGCGTCCGTGCAGTTCTGAACTCTCGTGTATAATGTTAGTACCGACAACACATGATCCCACTCGACACTCTACGGTTCCGCCAAAGTTCTTCGGCACGCCGTCTACCACTAAGACGCTGTCGAATCCAGACTGCAAGCATCGCTGAAGGGTATCATGAAAAAAGTATAGCTTAGTCGAGTTGCTATCATCGATGGATGCATCTGGGCACGCATATGTTAATGTTGCATTCCACATGACGATGCGTGAATCCATTGGGGGATCCTTGACGAATCTGGCCGCTGTAGCTGCACAATTCGTCGTCCCCATATATTGAAGGAGATGTATCCAAATGACTACCCCAAGCTTATATAGCTTATCTGCAAGGCAATAACAGAATAGTAAGCAAGGCATCACGATCTATACAATGTACATACTGTATTCAAGTCACCCTCCAGGGGCGTCGCACACAGTACGGTCACTACGGTATTGACCGTACCACTATTTGCCCCAAGTACCCCGTAATCCCTAAAATGCACTGATTTGGGCTCTAAATTTCCAAAGTTTTCGGCGCAGCCATCCCTCCTCCACGAGTACATAGTACTTCAGATGGCTGACCGTACCACACTAAAATACCTTCCGACGCCCCTGCCCTCTCCGACATAACATATTATAACTACAAGAAATTACAACTGAGAAGAAGCTGGGAGGCTTCCTGCAGTTTCATAGTAAATTCAATTGGGTGAACCCACGCCTAGCGCCTGATCTGTATTATCCCGCCTCCCTGCCTTGCGCTTGACTCGTACTGTGCTACGGTCCAACGCAACATCATCATTGTCATCAATGCAGGCCAGCTTTACACCTGGCTTTTTGGGGGGTTTTCCCGCCTCCCCGTTAGCAGAATAGATCGCGCGCTTCGGGCGGAACAGGTACATATTTACACCGCCCGTTTGCAACCTTAGGGACATCATTGACTACCTGAAGAAGGCCATTGGCCGAAACGTTGTATATAATGGAATGGTTCGGAAATTTTCAGAGTATTGGGTGGGTTCACCCAATTGGATTTACTAAGAAATTACAAGTACTGTAAATGCTCCAAAATTATTGACAATTCATCGATGGCGATGGCAGACTTGAGTGCATGAAACAATGCTGTCTGAGCACTGCATATTCTTATGCATCATGGGAAGCTAATGACTGTGGAAGCATACCTACTTCCTCTTACTAATACAGCCAGCACGCAAGGGAAGTGTCTATAGAGGTTATGCGAAAGGATCACGTGCAGGCGGCGTGTAGGCGGCCAAAGCGGCCGCGCTCCGCAGGGGTGGCAAAAGAGATGAAAAGTTCAAAAGAAGTACATGTGCCTGGAATAATTTCACGAAGGAAATTTCCTGTATCGCTGTTACGTTCCTCTTCTGTTCTTTACAAAGGACTATTGTACGAACGCTGAATCAGTGGCCATGACTTCTCCCAAGTTTTCAAAAGTGTATGACGAGTTAGATGACTCCAGCAAATGCCGGTACCGTGAAAAGCTCGAGCGCGTTTCACCAGACTCGAGTGATCCTTACCTGCCCAGAAGTATTTTTTTAGAGGAAGATAAATTTCCACTTGTGGACTATCCCGATATTTACAATTTCTTGGTCAACGCGCCCAGCCCCTACACCAAGGAGCAGCTCAAGGCCTACAAGAGCTTGGAAGGCTACAAATACCTTGTCAGTGGCTGGGTCGGCGATGTTCGTGCGTTTCCAGCGTCCGAATCTGACACATGTGACAGCAAGTTTGTCATCGCCAAAGTCCGCCATTCCCAGTCAGTTTCCGGCACCCATCTGCAACCCTGGATTGCTGCGCAAAACGACGGTAGCGTGATTTGTGCACACTGCACCTGCATGGCTGGTCTTGGTGAGTCTTGTTCTCACGTTGCTGCACTGTTGTTCAGCCTGTATTCTAGAACGCAGCTGATTCAGAACACAGGAAGCACTTCATTGCCGTGCCAATGGTCAACTCCTTCAATGAAGGAGGTGGAGTATGCCAGGATTCGTGACATAAACTTCACTGCACCCGACACTAAACAGCATGGGAGCAAGCGCCGTAGGTCGGAGGAGAAGGTCCCTGCTGATATTAAGCAACCCTCCAGTGCTGAGCTGGGTGAAATATATGGAAATTTATGTCAAGCCGGTAAACCGTCATTGCTCTCCCTTGTTCCCGAGTTCTGCGATAGGTACGTACCTTCCAAGCCGGAGGGATATCCACCCATTTTGGATTTATTGTACGAACCAGACATGCTGGATGCTAGTTTTGGGGACCTGCTCGTTCGTTGCGAGGCAGTATTTCCAGCGGTCTGTGTTTCAGAGGAGGAAGCACGCGCTGTGGAACAGGCTACGCGGAACCAGGCAGATTCCAAGGCCTGGTTTGAATTTCGCGCCGGCCGGATCACAGCTTCAAAGTTGAAGTCTGCTGTTCGTACGGATATTAGCCAGCCCTCTGCGTCCTTAGTCCGCTCTGTGTGTTACCCTGAGGCACACAAGTTTCGTAGCAAAGCCACACAATGGGGATGTGATCACGAGCAGAAGGCAATTGACAACTATAGTGAACATGCCAGTGCAACACATCAGAAGGTTGAAGTACTGCCCAGTGGCTTTGTAATTCATCCGGACTATCCATATCTTGGCGCTACTCCCGACTCCCTTGTGCAGTGCTCCTGCTGTGGCAACGGCGTGGTGGAAGTGAAGTGCCCGTACGGGTGCCGAGACAGTAGCCTGCATGATGCTGCCGATTCAGGGAAGTTCTGTCTAGTAAAGTCCGGCGGAGCACTCCATCTTAAGCAAGACCACATGTACTACTACCAAGTACAGCTACAGATGCTGGTGTGTAAGGTGCAGTACTGTGACTTTGTTGTGTGGAATGAAGGTCAGCTGTTTGTGGAGCGTATCTGTGCAGACACAGATTTCATCCGTGAAGCGGTAGCAGGTGCCAAGAAATTCTTCCAGTGTGCTGTTCTCCCAGAGCTTGTTGGGAAATGGTTCACTAAGACGTTCTCCACTCTTCCTGCCGATGCGTCTTCAGCGGCTACATCAGCCTCGGAACCACTTGGTGCTGCCAGTACAACATCTACTGCGGATCAAGAACGCCCTCCGGAGTTTTGCTACTGCAAGTCTGTGAAGGCTGGCGAGGTACTGCGATGTTCCAACAACGATTGCAGTATTCGTTTGTTCCACATGGCTTGTTTGCAGCTGAAGAGTAAGCCAAAGCGCAAGAACTGGACCTGCCCGGAGTGTCGCAAGATTAAATCTGCCACTAAATAATGATATGCATGTACAATTACAGTGGTAGCGACTTCGGCGACAAGTTTATAGGAATGTTGGTCGCTAAGTACAACGTTCGTCAGCCTACTCAAGCTCAACTGCATGAGGGGTGAATTCCCCGAAACACTGTGTATTGAGCAGGGAGTGGTGCTTTCTTGCAGGTTTGCCGGAAGGAGGGCTCGAGGGACTTCTTCTCTGCTCTAGATGGCAGTTGTGAGTCAGTCAAGTGTCTGGATGGAAGTCGTGAGTTTGTCAAGTTTCTGAATGGCAGTCGTGAGTCAGTCAAATGTCCAGTCAAGGCGGCAGAAAAGCTCGACCTCTAGTATGGGGTGCAACCAACTTTCCATGTACATAGTCATTTTTGTCGTAGCATTTGTAAATCCAAGTCTCAAGCATTTGAGAAGTGATCCTGCTATTCTGGTATTTCTAGAGTTGCATTTTCAACTTGTTCTGCTGTGCCTTCCACGGTACTTGCTGTTGCACTTGCCACGTGTGTGCATACAATCGGTGGCTGGGCTTTCACAACGATTTCCGTTACCTTTCTTGTATTTCTTTGCTTGCATGTATCTCTGAAGGACCATAATGCTGATTCGTATTTGTGGGTCCCAGGACATGCGTGAAGACCACTCACTGCTTATGCATGTGAACAGAGGAACTCCATCATTACACATCAAACACTTCGCTCTTTACGTCTCTTCCGGGTGATGTTGGCATAAGTTGAGTTGTTCTTTGGTGCTGGGCATACTACATAAAATTATTCTGATGGTACATCGCGCACTACCCAGCACCCTAAGTTGGGTTTCAGGGCTATTCATAATTATTATATTGTGTTGTCCCTATTTGGACCAGGAGTCATTATATTGATGCAACAAGAAACGGAGGCATGTCGTGAGTGATGATAGAAGCCAGTATTATTACTATTATTATAAGTCTGTTGGCGTTGCCATGACCAAGCAAGCTTGGCTAGCCAGACAAAAGAAACTAGAAACAAGCGAGGTCAATGAGGTGAACACATGCGCATGCAACTGCAGAATAGGTAAAACAGAAATATAATTGCCGGTATATCCAGACAGTCCAAAAAGCACAAAGGGTTAATAATAAATTTGAATAATAATATAATAATAATATAGCAATCATTACAGCTGACAAAGCGGCATGATGTAATTTACTCGAAAGGTACGACGGACTCACAACAGTTGCACAGAGCACAGCAGACGGTGACAACCTTGTCAATGAATGCACATGATGTAGCTTTATCGTCATGCATGAGGAAAGCAATGGGCAAAGTGCCAGAGAGGATCGTGTATTTCTGGCGAAGCATTCCAATCACTCGCTCCACATGGATACGGACGCGTGACACTTGTCGAGCACTGTCCAATTTCAGCCTGGAGAGTTGCTTCTTCCCCTTCGTAAATGGGGGCATCACCAACTCTGCGCAGAACATGCCAACGCTGTCTTCAACAGTGAAACCACGGTCAGCCAGCACCTGGTCACCCGGATTTAGGTGACTAAGCAGACCGCAGTGCTCTGTGATGAACTTGTCTGAGGCTCTCCCGCCCCATGCATGCGAAATAAATGTAATGACACCTTGTGGCGCTACGCCAATCAAAAACTTTGCAGTGTTATGGCTTTTATAGTGAGAGTACGTTTGAGCTCTTGCCATCAGATCAGAAGGTCGTTCACAAAAAACTTCAAAGCAGTCAATAATTATAGCAATAAAAACTGCTTTATGGCAGTTTTCTAAAAAAAGTTATTGTGTTTTAGTCCATGGACCCCGTCTAAAAAGTAAGAAATTAACGAAATGTGATAGCCGAAAATTAAAATTTCACACAAAACCTCACAATAATCACAACACTTGAAATGCTGCTTTCAACACGAAACTTGTACTGCACCAACAATTGGCAACATGCATGCATAGGAAAGAGGATCACGAGGAGAAAAGGTCTTTTATTACGGTACATGTAGCTTTTCATTCTGTGTGTGATTATTGTGAGGTTTTGTGTGAAATTTTAATTTTCGGCTATCACATTTCGTTAATTTCTTACTTTTTAGACGGGGTCCATGGACTAAAACACAATAACTTTTTTTAGAAAACTGCCATAAAGCAGTTTTTATTGCTATAATTTCTTTTGTTTTTTCTGTCACCAATTAATGGAATGCCCTATAATGCTATATAGCTATATCAAGAGTACATAAACCGTTTATGTACTCTTGCCTATATCAATATGGAAATGATGGCCTTCACATCAATACCGTATTATACGCGCATGATGTGCAAGCCTTTTCTTGCAGAAAATGGCACTAGCATAATGCATGTTCTTCGGCGGGGAAACATGTGAGTCGTGGTCTGGTGGTGGTGATACTTTTTTTATACGGAGGTCATTCTGTGCATGTTGCAACTTGCTGTTGCAGAATTTCATGACTCTGTCATAAAATTGTCTTGCCTTTCAGATTTATTTGAGAAATGTAGCCAGGTGCGTGTCACATATGTTTTTGTTCATTCTGTGTTCATAAAGGTTTATAATCATGGGTTATCGTGATAAGGTCATCCTGCATCATATTGCACTGAAATGGTAATTCTGTTGATGCCGATACAACTTTTGGAAGTAGTTCAATGACTTCAAACTGTTAGTCCACGATTTTCTAAAACAACACAGCAAAGGAGGAACAATAAACATGTATTAAAATGTAAACGAATACATTGCTGAGTCCAAAACCTCGTTCCAACAACTACACTGATCCTGAGGAGAAAAGGGGCAAGGCTATGGTTGGAGGTACTGAGAGATAAACAAGGCACTCCACAATAATAAAATCTGACACATCTTTTGGTGAGTATGAATGATATCCAGTCGAACCTCTTTAGGACGAACACGAAGGGACCGATGGTATTTATTCTGTGAGCTTAACCGTTTTTATAACCAGATAAAACAATAATATTATATCTCCAATAGACATACGAATAGATTTCTTCTACAGCGAAAGATTCTAAGCCACACCGACTCATTGACTCGTCTCGTATGAAACAATTGAGTCACTAGAGAGATTCTGCAAAACGAAAATGCGTACAAACTTTCGCTCTACATCATGAAGTGCGAAACTTCGCACCTTTGGACGCGAAACTTGCAGGGAACGCGAAATGAACTGTCGTAGGAAAAAGAAAAAAAATTTCGTGAGATCGGGTCATGGCGTACGTGCACTTGGCCCGCGCAAACTACGAAACTATGCAGAACGCAAAGTTCGTGCAAAAATTCGCACACACACACTTTCGCAAGGACTGTCGCGAAACTTCGTTCGAATTTTCGTTTTGCAGAACCTCTCTACTGAACCTTTCTTTAGCAATATGACGGCAACTGAAACAGCAACAGAGAAAGTACGATACATGTACTCCACATTCTTACAGGTACTAACTACAAACAGATTGAAGATCGTAATTCTTGCTTTGGAGGCATGAAACTTTATATGGGGCAGTGCAATCTCGGCGGTACTCACAAATCAAACAGCCCAGACTTGAGTAAACAAATCCAATCATACAAGTACGAGATTTTCACGAGACGAGACTGCACCCATTGGCTTGTTTCGTATGAAACAAACAAGTTACTGAACCTCTCCACAATAGAGATTTCCCCTGATATGCGAATTTATTTTGCAAACTCGGTCAATTGGTACTTGAACCTTTCCCTCCAGATTGGGAACTGCCAACGATAGTATGCCACTGACCAGTGCCTTACTTGTAACGTACCAATGTACAATGAATATGAGTATTTCGACAACACATCTAACATAAGCCTTACCGTCAAGAAGTTGAACTCGCGTTCTTCGCACACTGTAGACAAGGGCAAAGAGATGAAAATGGATCTAAATCCGAATAAAATCAGCACACGTTTCCGTAAATGAAAGGTGAACATAATCAAATGAATCGAAGGAAACCGGTCTACTAAGAGATCACCTGTCATCGAGTATTCCGTAAAAGGAGGCCTCGCAGCTCGGCAGCAGAAAAGCAAAATTTAGAAAAGAGATCCTGTCAACTTTTCCATTATTTTCTGCATTCCGCCCCCAAATCAGCACACTTTTCCTAAATGAAAGAGTCAACACAAGCAAATGAATCAAAGGCAACTGGTCAACTCACCTGTCATTGAGTAATATTCCGCGAAAGGAGGTCTCAGCAGCGCCGAAACGAAATAAGCCAGGCCATGAGACGAAATATCCGAAACAGCTCATGCAAGAAGCAGTTCCAAAGAAGGAAGTTCCTCGCGCATGCACATCCGAACACGGATCCGCGGACTGCATGCATGCACTGAACACAATGTCTGCCGTGCACGTGCACAGCACACGGCTACCACGCGTTGGTAGATCTAATACCGATCGGCCGAGCACCTTACGTAGAGACTTACGTAGCCTAAGTGAAATACCGAGCACCTTACGTAGAAACTTACGTAGCATAGCGATGTCGTTTTTTCTGCCATGTGAACACAATAATAGAAAAGCTGACAGGATCGCTTTTCTAAATGACAGCACAGCCCGGGAAATGCTTACGAAATTCAAGTGGCAGAGTTTTGCGTAGTTCGTCCCTTTCCGGCCATTTGACAAGTGGTCCCAGCATCACATGCATCACCCGGATCCAGCGCTGGAAAATCCGGCACACGGTCGACTGGTGAATGCCGAATCTGTACGCCAAGTCTTGGTCCCGACAATTCAGCCGAAGCTTCATGAGAACAATCAAGAACTGCTGGAAGAGAGAGAGAGCGTGTGGCGGTGGTGCTGTGGAACTCTCTTCCTCACGTGTTCAAATATGCCCATCATGGTCCCAAAAGACTGCAAACCAGTGTAGAAGAGCACCTTCGCGTTGTCTTTCTCAAACGACTCGATTGACAAGGTGTCACCTTGTCCTGGAGCGTGTGGCATCCGTTTGCTTTCCAGGACCAAACAGTTGTTTGTCTCCTCCAGCCGCGTCAAGTGCTCCATATCCATGTCAGTCTGCGATGAGACACTGGAGACTGCTACAGGATCAGACTCTACCTCTGCACCATAGGCACCAGGCAAATCTGCCATTGCCTCTGTGAAGTCATTCCCGGAGGCGTCCACTTTCACTGGTGTCTGCGTCTTGCTCTCCTCGAACGTCAGCTTCCGCTTCGCTCGGCGTTCATATGCCACCAAATCCCTCTCCGCTTTACGCTTTACAGGAGTCCTGACATGTTCAAAAAGTTTCGGAACGTAAGCGGGAGATAGTGGATCGTTGCTCTTCTCTGCGCCTACGAAATGGTCTGAACAGATCCTGCTACTGTCAGTTGGCTTCCAATTCTCTCGTCTCATAGCCGCAACCCATAGTTTGCGCCGCTCGTCCGCTACAGGAAACTTGTAAAACTTCACAGCCGTTCCAGGATCGGCACGATTGCTACATCCGACGGCTGCACAACTCTTCGGCATGTTGAAGGCTAAAAACTTCAGCAAGCGAGACACCAGCGGAAATAAAGTGAGGAACGATATGTCGACAACCAACAACAAATTTTACTTTTCCTCTCAAAGACTAGTAAAAAATAGTTCAAGCAGAAACGACTTCATTTTGCCACCCCTGCCACTCGCAGCCGCCTTGGCGCTCCTCGTGACGTCATTCGCATAACCTCTATTCCAACCACAATTTTTACACAGCCCAGAAAAATAATGTTTTGAGCTACCTGTAAGCCGCAGAGATGAACAGGGAAGGAGCATTTCACAGCAGCTGAGCAGGCCTTGCACTTGACAACGGATCAACACGTACACCCTTGAAGTAACATTCCAATCTCGTCTAGAGTTCCTCCAGTGCAACCATACTTTGGATCTAAGTATACTGCATGCCATCATGAAGTTCATGATGGATGAATGAACAACATTTACTGTACAGTCATAGTCATACAGTGTATAGATCCTGGACTCTTCATCATTTCCGTGTCGACAAAAACAAGGCTAATTATTTTCTAGAAAGTTTTAGAAGTAGGTCACACCAGGCTGATCGGAGGATCTGGTGGTTGGACTAAGCGATAGTTGTTTCCACCAAGATTACAAACATACCCGAATACCGGCACGGAGCAGAACCAAATGTGAAGCATGGGTCCAGTATTACCAGGAAGGCCACGTGGTGTCTCGACTGCAAGACATGCACTCGGCAAGACATTGCGTGGCGCGCCCTGATCTCATTCAACGAGTTACGTGAGGAAAATACAATGCCAAACGGTTCGCACGCGTTACACTCTGAAAAATTGTGGCCTGGCAGATGTCTGCCGAACCCACTCTTACTCTTCTCAACACCACGCTCTACAGATGTAATGCACTGCTCCCTGGTCAGGGTAAAACACAGTGCGATTCTGTAATCTTAAAGTTTGCCATTTTCTAATGCGAATGTGGCGCTAAACAGGCTTCCTGTCGTTCTGGCCCTTGTCAAAGAGTAGTAATGCCCGACTAATGAACACCTCAAATCCAAAGCAACGCTATTTTTAGTGAGACACAATGACTTACTTCTTCTATCGCCTCGGAGGAGATGTATATCCAAGAAAGAAGACATCCTAGATCTTCATAAGCCTTTCCCTCGCATATGTAGTATCACAGCGGGAAAGCAGCGAAGGTGCAAAGCCGTGTTACGAACGACGGGTTACTTACAATAATTAGCTCGCTTGAAGAAACTGGTTATCGCATTCCACACAACAATCTAGTATAGCTAGCCCCGCGTCGCAGATCAACACGTGGGCTAGCTGGAGACTCTACAAGTACTATAGTAGTAGTCGGGAGGATGCGGGATTTTGTACCGGCGGACTCTCACATGCGAAGCGAGCGCTCTACCACTAGTCACTATCGGCACAAAGCTACAACTAACTATCTTCTCTCATTAATTATCATGGTTTGGCACACCTTTTGTTTCGGCCTAACTCAACTCACTCGTCTCCTCACTGGCACTGCACAGCTCTCAGTTCCAGAAAAGAAACGTGCTGCTCACACGAGTCACGGCCCCAGTACAGCACTACATGTATACAGTCAGTAGCTTGTAGATCTACACCATGCAGGAGGGCTTCATGATTCAGCGGTACGCGGTTCAGTCCAGGTACTCAAACGCTATAAACGGGACCACCATATGCCGCGCTAGCGCGCGCTCGCGATTCCCCCGCCAACCCAACCGTCATGCACTCGATCAAGTACTCGTGCAAAGACTGTCACACAACTACCGCAGATTGAGTAACTGTATAAATAAAAATTATGAATGTTTAGGGAAGGGGGGGGGGGGGGGGGGCGGCCCGGGATGAGTGGCACATGGTGAACATAAAGAGAAACGAGAAGAAAATGATCAACAGAAAAGAAGAAAACGTAAGCTGAACCTGGGCAAATAAGTAGCTGGTGAGAGGCTAAACGTTCCCATGGCCCAATGTTGTCAAAGAAAATTGCACGATATCTGTCAAAACAAACTGGATCATGTCGCAAGGCGAGGACATGCACATGATGCAGATCTACCAAAATTAGAATACATGTGTCTTGTTTGATTCATTGCTGTGTAATATTAATTTTGTATTCGTCTACCACGTAGATGTCTAGACTACGGGCTGGTTTACCTGGTAGATCTACTGGTAGTGCCTAGTCTGTAGTCAGTACTATGTAGTAACTTCACTACATCACTCATCATCACTTATGATTCAGACCAGACCAGTCAGACCCGTACACTTGGTCGAGTGTTTTCTTGTAAATCCTGTTGTAACGAAACGTGTGCAATCTTACTCTGATCTGATCGTCCGAAGAATCCAGATAACATAAACAGTGAACACTGCGTACTGATGATTGCTGGCATTCAACGACCTGATGTTTAGCTGCATCATGTCTCGAATGACCAAACCAACAGCCTTCCTTTATAGTTATTAATATTATCGAGTTTGGAAGGTTCTCAACTCATCTACTTCGAAGTACTAGTAGTATGACTACAATGTACAGGCATGTACTGATGTAGTAGTTACTAACTTACGAGAGAGGGGATTCTCCGGAAGGCGACTTGCGGTAGCCCTGGCCTTGGCGCCTATAGTAATGCCAATGGCGGATTATGCTCGAAAAAACAATGGCAGATTCCGCCCGAAAAGCAGCGAAATTGGCAGAACCATACAAACCTGCAGGATTAAACCCGCACCAGTCTTTTCCGCCCTGTATTTCCAAAGGCAATTTGAAGTCCTGCCTCGACGTATTCCTCTCCAACGTACCAGAAAAAGACCTGTCTGTCAGACTGTCACATCGTATCCCCCTATCGGAGCGTCAGATACTAACTGGTCTCGTCATGGTCCTGTATTACAGTCGGCATTCTTTGTTGCCGCGGGACTTAGCTTGTGCACATTTTTGCTGCGCTCACCTTCCCCTCTTCGGTCCTACGTAACCATATGCCGGCCATGAACGGGGAAGGCTGTTGGTTTTCGCACTGGGGATGTGTTGGAGCTACATTGTACATGTACGTGTACATGTAGGTCTCGGGTCGCTGAATGTCTCAGTAGCCTGTCAGTTTTGTGCCCTATTATCATGGTTACAGTCGTGGATAGTTGCTGCATAACTCGTTCTCATGTGTTTCTTCTCTTTTTTTTACATTTTATTACTGGCTCAGTATCCGAGTTTAAATAATAATAATAATAATTTTGAAAAGGATTGGGAGAATTTCAAATTCAAAGGATCAATTGGGGGAAGTGAACTGCCTGAAAAGAGAAAAAACCGCCAGACCCACCAGGACTTTTTTTTCTCTTTTCAGGCAGTTCACTTCCCCAATTGATCCTTTGAATAATAATAATAATAAGAAGAAGAAGAAGAAAGGTTTGCTCCCCACACCGGAGCTCGCGCTATTCCGCCGACTTTACTTGACACTTGACTGACTCACGACTGCCATCCAGAGCACACGAGAAGTCCATCGAACCTTCGACTCGGCAAACCTTTCTTGCAGGTTTGCCGAGTCGAAGGTTCGATGGACTTCTCGTGTGCTCTGGATGGCAGTCGTGAGTCAGTCAAGTGTCAAGTAAAGTCGGCGGAATAGCGCGAGCTCCGGTGTGGGGAGCAAACCTTTCTTACAAATCATCGCCGAAGTCGCAACCACTACTTCGTAATAATAATAATAATAATAATAATAATTTGCTGGGATGACGACTACACCATAGCTCAGTGGTTAGAGCATCGCTGGCTTCAAGCGAGGGTCCCTGGTTCGAGTCCTGGTGGTGACAGTCAATTTTTTCTTCAGATTTTTCCCCTTTTGTCTCTTTCCCTCAAACCAGTTTATATTTTATGACTTGGGGCTCCCCGCGTGCTAGTTTGTACGTGAAGTGTGTGGGTTACAGTGAGGGCTGCGTCCCACCCGCCTGTGTGGATTCACAGGAAGTGTGAGTTACGAATTCTGAAGAAAATGTTGAACGGCCTCTGCTGGGATGACGACTACACCATAGCTCAGTGGTTAGAGCATCGCTGGCTTCAAGCGAGGGTCCCTGGTTCGAGTCCTGGTGGTGACAGTCAATTTTTTCTTCAGATTTTTCCCGTTTGTCTCTTTCCCTCAAACCAGTTTATATTTTATGACTTGGGGCTCCCCGCGTGCTAGTTTGTACGTGAAGTGTGTGGGTTACAGTGAGGGCTGCGTCCCACCCGCCTGTGTGGATTCACAGGAAGTGTGAGTTACGAATTCTGAAGAAAATGTTGAACGGCCTCTGCTGGGATGACGACTACACCATAGCTCAGTGGTTAGAGCATCGCTGGCTTCAAGCGAGGGTCCCTGGTTCGAGTCCTGGTGGTGACAGTCAATTTTTTCTTCAGATTTTTCCCCTTTTGTCTCTTTCCCTCAAACCAGTTTATATTTTATGACTTGGGGCTCCCCGCGTGCTAGTTTGTACGTGAAGTGTGTGGGTTACAGTGAGGGCTGCGTCCCACCCGCCTGTGTGGATTCACAGGAAGTGTGAGTTACGAATTCTGAAGAAAATGTTGAACGGCCTCTGCTGGGATGACGACTACACCATAGCTCAGTGGTTAGAGCATCGCTGGCTTCAAGCGAGGGTCCCTGGTTCGAGTCCTGGTGGTGACAGTCAATTTTTTCTTCAGATTTTTCCCGTTTGTCTCTTTCCCTCAAACCAGTTAATAATAATAATAATAATAATAATATGGCAATAAGTAGGACGAGCTGAAGCGACATGTGGACTACTTTATTAACAATGTAAGCGATGGAGACGATGCAAGAAACAACCTAAAGGGTAAGGAAAAATACATGTAAGAAGAAAAAGGGCAATGGAAAAAATAGATGATTCGAACAAGTTTTCGTACAACACTCTTCAGGAATCACCGTTGTACTAAAGAACAAAATGAGAACAAAGGAAATAATATAGCAATCAAGGTAGGGTGACACGATACAATGACAGCACTAGAATATCGAGGTGCGATTTCTCACAAAAGTGTGCAGAAAACAAGGGTATACAAGTAAGAACTAAGCGTGACAAGTGTGTATCAGCAACAAAAAAACAAAAAAGTGAGAACGAATGATAATAATAACAATAATAAACAAGAAGGTGACAAAACACATTTAGGCACAAGTGGCAACAACGTTGCCACACTACACAACAGAACATTATTTGAACAATTTTAGGGTAATAACACTATCTTTCTGGACACACAAATTCGGCTTATGAATGCGCTGACAAACAGCTTCCAAAACTTGTAACTGCAAAAGTTCACATCCTTCCACCCAGTGCGCAATCTGAGAGGCCCAAACGCGGGAGGCCTAGGAAAAAAAAACCCATCACCTAGACGGCAGGATAGTTCCCTGCCGCTGTCGGCCGCTCCCCCTCTGACATCTGTGTTGGACGGGCTGGAGCTTGGCAGCTCTTTGGAGGTGCGTGCGGAACCGCCACTGGTGCAGCCCTCGGGTGTGCTTAAGTCTGTGCCTCTGGGTGCTTTGCATGGGGCTGTGCCTCGAGTGGTGACAGCACCTCTGCCTCCCCCTGACCCTCCTCCTTCGAGGTCTGTGTTGGTGGGGAGCACCCGCGGCGGTCGATTTGTCCCACCGGAACCAGAGCTGGATTCAACAGAAAGACCAACAACCATGGCGGCAACAACAACACCAGCTTCACATCCAACAACAACACCAGGTTCACATCCAACAACACTAACAACTAATCCACAAAACAAAGCAGCAAATGACAGACCACGGAGATCTACAGCAGATTACAACCGGACCTATGAATTCACGGTAAAAATACAAAGGAAACAATCAGAAAGGACGACGACTGACGTGAAGGCAACGGCATTCAGGGTTGGCGTGGGTGGTGAAGGTGAGACGCAGGACGATGCAAGTGAGGAGGAGAGTCAAACCGCGGTGGATGACGGAGCAGGTTCTGATTCGGACAGTGAGGGAGAAGGTGAGCTGAGTGAGGGTGAGAGGGAGTGTGAGGGTGTGCGCGTGAGTCGAGATTGTGTGCGTCCGTCTCGTAATAACAAGTCTTCAGTATACAATCATTTGGTTTCTAGTACTGACTGTTGTCGTACTTATTCTGATTCCTGTTTTTCTGTTTTGTGCCGTGCTCGTCATGGTTATCTTTTGCAGTTACAAGTTTTGGAAGCTGTTTGTCAGCGCATTCATAAGCCGAATTTGTGTGTCCAGAAAGATAGTGTTATTACCCTAAAATTGTTCAAATAATGTTCTGTTGTGTAGTGTGGCAACGTTGTTGCCACTTGTGCCTAAATGTGTTTTGTCACCTTCTTGTTTATTATTGTTATTATTATCATTCGTTCTCACTTT